TGTTTCAATCGTTACTCAGCCTTACATCCAGTCTCGTGGCTTATTTTTCTTTAAATTGTTTCTTAGCAAAGGTCTGAAGGTTTACTGGGACTCGGGCAAGAAAACTTCCGATTGTTTTGGTTCTGCCTGGTGACCTAAAGGTCGAGTTTACAGACTGAGGAGGTTTTTGCTGACTGCATTTTAATGCCCAGAAACTGTTCCTACTACTCTACTGCAGTGACGTCTGGTTATACTTTTCCCTACAGCCGCAGCCTACATCTGGGGTGTCCTGGGTCTGGAAGCGACAACCGTCTTCATCCCCATCCTCATCTTCACCTTCATCCCTCAGCTCTGGACAGCAGCACCCCAGCAACCGAGGGAAGAAGCAACCCCAAGATGAGTGGCTGGGGACACGGAGGACAAAGACAGCCCCGGTGACCTGCCTGAGCTGGCGTAACCCAGTGCCTTCTTTGCTCACCCTTTTCCTCCTCGCCTCAGCCCAGATCCTGGTCCTGCCACGCTTTGAAAACCCCAGCTCCCCTGTCCACATTGAAGGGTGCAAGGGTTGCAGCTGCTGGTGACTTTCCACTCCCAGCCGAGTGGGGGTGAAGGCGAGGACGGGGCCTGGCCACACCCAAGCGGAGGAATGACTGGAAGAAAGCAAAGCCAGAGGCAACCTCATCCTCCCGCAGCTTAGAGAGGGCCGCACAAGGCTTGGAGTTTACGTGGTCTGCACCTTGCTGCTGCCTGACACTCAGCTCTCGGCTCCCAACTTTTGCTTTGCTCTCTGGTCTTACTTAGTCTAGGAACCCTTCCATCCCAGTCCCCTTGATGCATGGCACCATCTCATTATTTGGGTGCCAGCACTGGTGGACAGCACAGCCCCTCATGGTCATGGGGACCAGCGTGAGCCGCCAGAGCCCTGGGCCAGCGACACCTGGGTAGCCCCCAGGGCTCTGCTCTGCCCTCTGCATGGATCCGGATCAGCGCAGCTCAGCCCTGGATGCTGAGGACCGTGGCTCTACTGCCTGCAGCCGGCTTGCTCCTCTCGCCCAGCGCTGGCCTTGGCATCTGCTGATCAGTGCACGTGTGGATGGGTCTCCTGTGGCCTGGTGCCTATGTGGGAGAGTGATTCCCACCAGAGTCATTGTTTATGAGTGGACACAGAAGGGTCTTGAGGTACAGTTTTGCATTTGCTTGCCTGGGACCATGGATATTGACTTTTCTATTTTGTTTTTGAGACAGGGTCTCGCTATGTATTTCAGGCTGGGCTTGAACTCAAAGTGATTCTCCTGCCTCAGCCTCATGAACACTGGGATTCTGTAATTCTGCATGCAGCATCTCGCCCCACATCACTGACCTTTTTTTTTTTTTAACGGGAATCCTTGGCTTGGGTTTCCTATCCTGCATGCTGCACAGTGATGTGAGCGCAGACCCCAAGGCATGCGGCTCTGCCTTGGGGAATTTGCCATTTAATTTCCCCTCAGAACCACTCCAAGCAGACAGTGAGCTTGCACAGGGCTCTGTCGTGTCAGCTGGTACTGTTTTTACTTTTCCCCTTTTGGTTTTCACAAAGCCTCCGTGGGCTCAGCATAGCTCTTCTGGGGGGATGGGCCAAATCCCTGGCAGACCCCTGCCCACAGCCGGGGGTGGGAGGGGGCAGGAGCATGGGAATCCACGGATGCCTCACTTCCACACACGCACAGTGTGTCAGACCTCCGCCCAGCATGGCTCAGCCTCGGGACCTGAACTTAGGACATGCGTGACTGTGATCTGTTGGTCTAAGCTGGTTTACGCCCCGAGAGCATCTAAGAGAACCCCCAATTCTTCCTATTTATCCGCTTAGGTTCACAGGGAGTTGTACTTATATAAGTTCTCAGGAAGGTTTAAGGTGGGACAATAGAAGTAAATGTGAAAGGGAATATATTACTTGCCACGGTTTGACAAGTGAAAGGGAATTTAGGGGTAGGAAAGGCAGCTCTCAGATTATTTATTTTCAATGCATCTATTTTGGGATAGAAAAAGTAAAATTATGAAGCTAACCCGGAAGGACGTGGGGACGCGTCCAACTCGCCCTTGCTGTCTGCTGGCTCCAGACGCTGACACTGCGTGACTCTGTGTGTCGATTGCCCCTCCGACACGTGCACTCACACTTGGTGGGTCCCGGGCGCTCACACTTTTGGGGTGCACAGTCTCTGGATCTGAGTTCCAAGTGCGTTTGTTTTCTCGTTTAGAAATAGCAGCTTGAGCCATGCGTGGTGGAACATGCCTATAATCCCAGTACTCGGGAGGCTGAGGCAGGAGGACCATAGCAAGTTGGAGAACAGCCTGGGCTACAGAGTGAGCTGAAGGCCAGCCTAAACTGCAGAATGAGACCCTGTGTCTTAACCAAAAAAAAGCAGCTTGTACCTAAGCTACTGAATCATGACCCAGATGAGCTCACGGGCTGTTCTAAATGACTAAAACCAAACCTTGCCTGTACGGCTCTGAGCAGGACTGTCATTTGTGCTTCATGATCACTGCAGCCCTCCAGGCCTGGCTATGCCCACTGTGAGTCCCCGACTCTCTCACCACCCAAGGTCTTACCTCAGGTCCTCTGCTTCTGGACTCGGTTTGGGCTGGGGCCTGTGAGGAGACAGGGCCTTGTGCCCTGGGACACTTGCACTGGGGCCCTTAATGCTCACCCCCACCGGCAGCGTCCTCCCACGGCACCTTCCTCCTGGGTCACCCGTCCAAAGGTGGCCCGCCCCCTGAGGCTGGGACAATTTCAGACTGCTCCTGGCCACCCACCTTCCTCCAGGTCCTTCTGATCCCTGGGAAACTTAGTCACCTGCTGTATTAGGCTATTTTGTTTTATTTTGGGGACAGGGTCTTGCTATGTAGGTCAGGCTGGCCTGGAACTCACTGTGTAGCTGAGGTGATCCTCCTGCTTCAGCCTCCTGAGTGCTGTGATTACAGGTGGGTGCTATCTTAGAGTAGTCTATTTTTATTTTACTCTAATAAAACACTAGAAGCTGAGTAACTCTGTAAAGGAAAGAGGTTCTTAGCTCACAGTTTTGGAAGCTGAAGTCTAAGACTGGGCAACCCCACCAGCCTGACTTCTGGCTGGGGCATGGCAGGTGGTGTGGAGGAGGGTCACCCAGCTGGCCAGACAGGACTCCAGCAGGGGTCAGGACAGAACAGCTCCCTGGGGCAGGGCCACAGGAGACCACGGGGATGCCCCCAGGAGGCCCCACACTGCTCCTAGCCCTACTCCAGGATTGAGCTTCTGACATGCATGCTTGGGGACCCCTCAGACCCCATCCAAATCACCACACCTTGGCCAGGCCTAGAGACAGCATCTCCACCTGCCAGAGGCTTTCAATGACTGTCACTTCAGGAGCCTTGGACTCAGCTGGATAAGTCTGTGGGGGGCAACTTCTGGTCCTAAACTCTGCAAAGGAGCAGGTGCTCAGTTCTGCAGCCCATGCCCAGACCAGGATGCCTTGCTCTGGTCTCTGCCCCATGTTCCAGTGTGTCCCCGTGTTCATGTGCTACATGCATGTAGAGGACCACGTGGACAGCTCTCCTTGAATACAGAGCCATTATCTCCTTTCTGGCTAAACCCAGCCCTGTCTCCATGCACTGATGTGTGCAGAGTTGGCACAGCTATTTCCTGTTCCCTCAGTTGGTCTAAGCAATGTAAACAGGGCTGGGTGAGGCACTGATGTGTGGTCTTTGAAGCCAGGTGACAGTCGCTGTTGTCCCACCTCAGTGTCTCCCTAAATGCTCGAGCCCAGCAGGATGGCAGAGCCATACAGCTCTAGGGCTGTCAAATGTGACTGAGCCTTGAGATAAGAGGCTATGACTTCCCAGGGCAGAAAAGGTTTACACATCAGAGCTGAGGAAGGGTCCCCTAAACACTAACTGCTACCTCAACTGAGCCATGCAGATCCTGTTCTCTGCATATTAATAGCATGAATGTTTTCAGGGAGTTCACAGCACTCACATTAGTTCCTGCCGTTCCCCTAGCCACTCACCCTCTAGCCACTCCCTTCTTCACAAATTAATAAAAGCTGGGTTAGGCCCTGGGTCAAGACCTTTGTTCCCTGAACCCCAGTCTGGACAGGACCCAGGACCCCTTGGCTGCCCTTAACTCTAAGTACGTCTGTGTGTTTATTGTCACTGAGGGTTGCACTGGAGTGGTACACTGGAATTAATTCGCCAGGATTCCAATAACATTTCTATGGGATTACTAAATATAAACTTCCCGGACCACGACATGGATGGGAAAGGCACCTCTGTACGTAAGTATGTATGCATGTATCCGAGACGGAGTCTCACTGTACAGTCCAGCCTGGACTCTTAAAACTCTCAGCCTGCCTTGGCCTCTAGAGTGCTGGGATCACAGGCATGTGGTACCATGCCCGCTCATGTGCTGTAAACTTCACCTCCAAGGCTGCCAGTCCTGAGGAGGTAATCAGGCCCTCTCTGGGCTGCACCTCAGGGGAGCACTGTGTGGTGGTGCCTGGTGGCAGCAGCTTATACCCCTTGGAATGGTTCCTGAGAGGAAGGTGTGCTCACCCCTGCTTGGGGAGTCTTTTTCCCGCACTTCCTCCTCCATGCTGGGCCTGTGCCTGGAGGAGTCAGGTCCTGAGGTGTGGATGCCCCCGCCTCCAGAGCAACAGGAAGCCAGCTCCTTTCACAAGGCACAGAGCAGATGGAGACCCACGCTAGTGGGGACAGGCAGGCTCCTCATTGGAGCCCTTACCTGGGGCAGGGGCACACATGATGGGGGCTGGGCTGGACCCCTGTAGAAACGCAGTGGAAGCTGGATCCCTGTGGGGCACTGGCATCTTGTCCCACAAACCCAGTCAGAGGCTGAGACACCTTAGCCTGAGTCAGCCTGGGGCCAGGTGACCCCGTGGTGTTACCTCTGGCCCTGCACCCTCGGGGCAAGAGGAGGAAAGCAGGCCCAGCAGTATCAGGCAGTGGCTTCTGGGCCACCCGAGGAGTGGGGCCATGAGAGACAGAGACACCAGGAGGGGCAGACACGATTTATTCAGAGTGAGGAGCCCGGGGCTGCATGCGAGTCCCGACACGGCACCAACACATACACATACACACACGCGGGCCCCAGCTCCACGCTGTCCTCCAGGACCTGGTGCAGAATCACGATCCACAGTGCGCCCTGCGCTCACTGACCATTGCACACGGCCCTCCACACAACTCCAGCTTCTTCCTCAACCCTTTCCGACCGTCCATGAAACCAGTGGTATTTTCTCAACGCAGAATTTGCAGGTAAGGAACAAAATGTTTTGTTTTTCCTTTTGAGACAGGGTCGCACTGTGAAATTCAGGCTGGCCTTGAACTCACGTTGTAGACCAGGCTAACCTTGAACTTGCAGGGATCCTCCTGCTTCAGCCTCACCTGCTGGGATCACAGGTGTGCACCACCACGCCCAGCTGCATTTCCCTGTCCACGCACAGACATACACACACAGCAGGTCGTCCTGGCTCCTCTTGGCTGCCGCCCCTCGCAGGCCCCTGCTCACTTGGACTTCTGGGTGCCCTTCTGGGCCTCAGCCGTGGCCGTGCGGGCCTCTTCCTCGGGGATGAACACGCTGACCGTGAAGTCGCTGGTCTCGGTGCCATACTTGTTCTTCACCACCAGCCCGTACTTGCCCGAGTCGGCCGTGCTCACGCCCAGGATGGTGAAGTAGGCCGTCTTCCCGGCCTCCAGGCGCAGGTTGCAGTGGTCGTTGGAGGCCAGCGGCCGCTCGTTCTTCAGCCAGGACACCTCGGGTGCAGGGTCGCCCCACACGGTGCAGGTGAGGTTGAGGGCCTGCGGGACACGGTGGTGGGGAGGAAGGGGACACATCAGACCTTGGAGCACCCTGGGATTGGGATGGGCAGAGAGGAGGCATGGAGGGGAAGCTCCCGGCCAGGGGTTAGGGCCTCCGGGGACAGTGGCAGGTCCTGGGGGCCAAGGCTGCAGAGCACCCCATCCTTGGACCCTCTGGGAGCTTCATCCCAGCCCCTTTCCTCTCCCTGCTCTCTCCTCGCAGACCAGAGCAGCCCAGTGCAAAGGGGACTCGGGAGTCCCCTTGTTGTATCATTGCCATCTGCCTGTCCTCTGTCACAAAGCCCTGCAACAGCTGCTCTGATAATGTCACTGATGGCTGCTGGCTGTCACATTCCAGCGTCCCCCACAATGCAGGGGGCTGCAGAGGTCTCTACCCAAGGGCATCTTAAATAAACACTCCGCCTGTGCCTGAGCCTCCTATTCCAGCCAAGCTTTCACTTTCCTTGTTTTTTCTCAATTGAAAAAACGTTTAGAGGAGTCTAGATTCACCTGTACTTGTAAGCAGTCATAGAGACCCTGCATACTCCGCCCTGGTCCCCCAGAGGCCACAGCTCACAGGACCGCCCTACGGTGTACAGACAGTGTCCTGACACTGACCTTGCTGCCCTGCTCACCAAGAGGGCCTCAGGACTGTCTGTGCTCAGCTGCCTTTGAGTGCAGGTTTGGTTCTGTTTCACCCCCTCCCTGGTGCAGGTTCTTGTGCCCACTTCACAGTGGAGACTCACAGCTGCACCCCCACAGGGACCTGGGCCCATGGATCTGATCCCTCCAGCCGCTGGCCTTTGTCCTGCTCAGCACCTGCTAATTTTGTGTTTTGTCATCTTGACAATGTTATGCACAGGGACCATGTGTGAACTCTGGGGTGGCCTTGTCACTCAGCACGACACCCTGCACGCTCCCTGCCGCTGCTGCTGTGTCCCCTGCTTGCTCACTTTTACAGCTGAGGACTGGGCCAAGGTCCAGCCGGGGCCCTGAGGCTCATGCATGTGTGCAGGTTCCAGCCTGGGGCTGCTCTGAGCGCAGCCGCGAAGGTTTGTGCACAGGTTTTGCTGTGGACATGAGTTTGAATCTCTCCGGGAGAAGTGGTTGGGGTCTGAGTGCTGGGTTGTGGTAAACTCCTGATTCACCTTTTCCCCAGAAACCGCTGAGTGGCCGGGTAATTTTGGCTTGCATTTCCACCCACAACGTGAAGTGATGAGTTTCCCCACGTTGTCCTCATGGGTTTCCTTGTTGCGGACCATTTTCTGTCACAGCATTTCTGGGTGAGCTAAACTTGTTTTACTGAGGCTCCAGAAGGGTGACAGTGAGTGCGGGTGAGAAACTGCTCTGGGCTCCAGATAGCTTATTCTGCAGCCAGGCAGTGGCAGTTTAAAAAGCCAGTGGGAAAGGTGAGTATCCAGACGCAGGTGGAGACCTCAGGCTGAGCACCCATGGCACAACCCATCCACGTCCCGCTGCGCCAGAGCCGTGACAGGACGTTTCCATTTCTCATGACTTTTAGGGGGTGACTGCAGAAACACCAAGTGGCCGACACCTGTCCACAGAGGGGAAACCTCTGATGCTTGGCCCCTGGGGCATGAAGAGGGCTGTGTTTCTACCTTGTGTTTGGCTTTCCAAGCAAGTGGAAGCAGCCAGAAGTAAGACAGCGATGGTGCCATATGTCATTTAACAGAAGGGACATGGCTGGGGGCGGTCCTTCCCTCACACTCACCTTGCCCTCCTGGATGGTGACCACGTCAGGGAGCCCGCCCAGCACCCGGGCCCGATCTGCAAGCACAGGCACTTCCGGTTAGTCACTGCACAGTGACGGCCCTCCACCCACCCATCCGATGTTCCCGGACAAACTCCCAATTAACTTTACCTCTCCCCACAGGCATCTCATACTGGGCTCAACATGCAAAGCACAAATAGAGTGCAAAACCAATGACAGCAGGACATCGGGAAGTCTTTTTCCAATGGGAAGGATAACTTAGACGGAGGCAGGGGTGTGGGAAGGAAGAGAAGGAATTTTTTTTTTTAAAAAAAAGAGAATGGGAGAAAAAGATGGAAATAGAGCTTTTGTAAATGAGATGGGCAAAGCAGGGAGGGATGCGTGGGGAAGGGGACAAAAAGAAAATGTGTTAGGCAGGTGGCCCAACTCCTCATGATAAATGTGGTCATTATGTACGCCTAATGTGTACTTGTAAAAACATTTTTTAAAAATATGCAAAAGAAACAATGACCCAGCAGGGGTGGACTTTAACCCTTCTCTATCCACACATTGCATGGTGCAGGTGCCGCCAGCTGGATCCGAAAGACCAGCTTGGGACAGTGCTGTCGCCTGCAGACCTGCTCTGCAGCCATCAGGGCTGCTTTCAGCCCGGCCCTGCTGCAGCTGAGTGGGCTAAGCTGAGGGACACACAGGCTTTTCTGGGACAGGCTGGAATCTGAAGTTGCCTCTTCCTGGGGTCCCCAGGAGAGACACAGGTTGGGAAGCAAGGACTGTGTGCTGGGCAGGTAGATAGGACCAATGCAAACATGGCTTCCTTCAAGGCGTTCCTGAGAGCTTCTTTTTCTGGTCTCTTTGGGGCATGTGGCAGCTGTGTGCAGCCCACTGTCCCCAGATGAGCATCAAGGGGACCAGGGCTGTGTAAAATCCAAGATGGGATAGGTGTGAAATCCAAGATGGCGCCCTAACCTGCCATGTGTCTGTGCCCCTGGGAAGGAGCCTTTCTGTAACACACCCAAAGGCCTCCTCTCTGGCTCTGGCACAGTGGCTGCCAGCCTCACGATTTTTGTGCCAACTTTCAATTCTTTTTTTTTTGGTACTAGGGACCATACTTACGACCTTGTGCTTACCAAGCAAGTGCTTGAACCACTGAGCTAAATCCCAAGCTTGGGCCAACTTTTAACCTGTGACTCTCCAGCCTCATTTCTACAACTCCCTGCTCTGTGAAGTGAGGCTGGAGCTTTCTCCGGCTGATGCCATTGCATCAGTGGCTGCCCACACGACCTGCTGTGTGACACTTATTCTGCCGCCCTGTTGGGTGTGGGTGTGGGTGCAGGTTTGCACAACACCCATGAACTCTGAGTTAGCAGAGGTGCTCCCTGGCCTCCTTGGGGTCCGAGAAAAGAAGAGGAGCTAGGAAAGAGCCAGTGACTGCTCAAAGCGGGTGTCAGAGCAGAGGACCTGTGTCTCTCCCAGCGCTACAGGCTTGTGACTGGAAGCCAGGCTCCCAGGAAGGGCAGGACACTGCTGGTGGCTCACCTGTTCCACAGGCGGCCTGGGCCCTGCCCTGGCCACTTGAGCATCTTGCAAACAGAGGCCCTGAGCCAGGAAGGGGAGGGAGTGGAGCAGAGCGTGGAGTGGGGTTCAGAGTTCCCGGAGAGCCCTGCCTAGGGGAACACCCGCTCATTGCTTCTCCTACTTCCCCTGCTCCCCTTCATATCCTGCATGTGGCTTCCGCTGGTTCAGCTCCGCCTGCCCTTGAGAAGAAACCAGATCACTGTGCTGGCTTAAGGGCCCTTGGGGTTCTCTAAAAATCTCCCCGAGGGACGCAGACAGCAATGGTGACAGTGACAGTGGGGAGCTTGGTTTGAGCCACATGCTGGCGGCCTGCCAGGCGCCCACGTGGCTATGTGGAGACCAGGAGGGCACAAAGGCCCCATTGAGATGCCGCTGCTACCCTTTGAGCTCAGGAAGGCGCCCAGTGCTCGCTGGGGACAGCCTGCAGTGATTTACCCCATGTCAGGCTTACAATGTCTCTTTTCTTTCTCTCTATGATTCCCCCTGCTACACTGTGCCTAACACCGTGACTAACAGTCTGTCCTATGATCTGCAGTCAGGAGATTTCTCAGGGTGGCCCAGGGCTGGGTGACATTCTCACGGTGTAACCCCTAGACGTTCTGACAGCCAGGGAGTGAAAGAGGAGTGAACACACATGCGGGACACCTCAGGGTCTACGGGAGTGGGGTGGGGGGAAAGCACCATTCTCTCCTCCACTTGCAGCGGTGGCAGCTCAGGGAAGTGTATTTCCAGCTGGGCAGCAGCCTACTTACTTTTCTCGGCGATCGCAGCTTGTCTGTGGTTGAGGGAGACAAACAAACACAGAAACAAAGAAGACTGTGTTGAGCGCTACTTGGCAGCAGCTGCCCTGTCTGTGTCTCCCTCCCCAGGGCCTCCGGCTGCACTCGCAGGACAGAGGAGGACAGGGGACACTTTCTCACACTTGGCCCCCAGGGACACCAGGGATCACTGCACACACCAGTGGCATTTGCCAGGACGGGGACTTACTTTAACCTCTGGAACTCGGCATAGGCCTCATCATATGCTTTAAGAGAAAGAGAGAAAAAGCGAAGTTAGGATTTGCTCGCCATGTGTGAACAGACCATGTGTGACCGTGTACATACAGGCTCTGAACAGAGCTCACAGGAGGCCCAGCTCGCTTCGAGGGGCCAGACCTCAGCACCCCAACTTGGAGGAATATGATGCTCTGACGTACCCTGCTCTTCCAGGGCATAAAACGTGAGAAGTTTGCAGCTGAACCCTCTAAGTAGAAAGGCAGAGATTAGCTCCACCTAAGAAAAATGTTGTCTGTTTCAAATAAAAGTTGGTGTCTATTAAACATCTGAGCACCAAAAAACGCTTCTGCTGATAAATTACGCCTGGCCTCATGGGCTCCTAGCTAGCCGGCTAAGGGCTTCTTTGTCGTATCCACTTCTCTCTGGGTGAGAGGGCACTACGAGCTGCAGTCACAGAGATCTCCTGTCTGAGCACCACAGTTTTGGGAAGCAATTTTATTCTTTTCCTTGTACTTGCAGAGCAAGCCTTTGGAAGGAAGACTCTGGGCTAAAAGGCAGCCATGACTGGAAAGCCTTCTCATCTTAGCTTTCCGCTCCTCTGTGCTCCAGGAGCAGGGCACTGGAGGTGCAGCGAATGTGTGGAGAACCCAACTCCGGCTTCCCGCACGCTGGAGCGGGACTCGCTTCATGCTTGGCTTCATGTTGCTGGGTCTGTGTATCCTCACCTGCGCTCCCACCCACGACCTGCTGGGGCTCACATCATCACCGGAACATGAAACAGGGCGGGTCCCCCAGAGTGGGGCTCCCAGCAGCCTGTGTGAGGGGCCGGTCGACCTGAACCAGTGAGTCAGGACACCCCCTCGGCTTTGAGCTGCGAGGAGAGGGCTTGGGGGACCTGGCAAACACCAGTCTGCTGCTGCCCTGGTCCTACTACACACACGGGCACAGATGCCGCTCTCTGGGGATCACGGAGGAGGCCACACATCACTGGCTGGCATTTTGTTCTTTGGCATTGCCAACACAATGACCTCTTTTCACTTCCGGTTCTTTCTAAAAGATCCAATTCTCCAGGAAGACTAGAGGAGCTAAGAGGGTGCTCACATGGGTCTGCAAGTATTCTTGAAGAGGCTTAACTGTGACTTAGTCTTAAACACCGTCAGAAAATTAGAAAAAAAATTAAAGTCAAGGTAACAAGTAATAAAAAGCTAGGCTAGATATAAAAAGGGGTTCTATCACAGCAGCAGCCGAGGCTGGCCATCTGCACCTGTACCTGTGACATGGCCGCAGGAGCTGTGACTCCGGCCCCACCAACTGTTCAGAACCAAGTCCTCCCGCCTCTCAGGGCTGCTCGGAGCCCTTACACTACGTTTGAATACTCGCAGGTGGCCCTTTGCAGGCTCGGCTTTCTCAATCCATGCACCCATGGACTAGGAACTGCAACGTGAATATTCCCACTCCCAAGCGCTGCTGCCTCTGTGGCATAAACTCATTTTCCGCTGTCTACTTCGGACCTGGCATATGTACATTATCTGGAGTGGCCACTACAATAGGCTCGGGGCTACAGAACAGGGGTCAGGTCCGAGTTCTGAGCCCTGGGGCAAACCCTTGTGGTGGCACAATGAGCAGAAAGAGGTAGAAAGCTTCATTTAGTGTATTTCTTCACCTTTGTTATAATTAGAGTAAGAGAACATTAGATCTGTTTAACAAAACAAGGAAGAGCCTACGTGTGCCTCGGCTCCTCCCGCTGCCCCTAGGTTAACCCTAAAGCTCAGATCCTTGTGTCTAGCACTGCCTCATTCTGTCGACCCCTGCACCTTTTTGAGCTACTGCTCATCAATAGTCTACTTTTGACTTGTTGCCACGGTTATAAAAGGAAGCTGAAGTGTCAATGATCCGCCGATGTTCTCGCCCTCTTTTCAGACTATTAAAAGATGAGCACGAGGGGCTGGAGGTTTAGCTCAGCGGCATAAGCGCCTGCCTTGGAAGCAGGCAGTCGTGAGTTCGATCCCTGGTACCGATAAAAAGGAAAAAGACAAAAAAAAAAAAAAAAAAAGATGAGCACGAAATAAAACCTGTCTTCCTTTGTGATCAGTCCAGGTGAGACTTCTATGCCTTGCCTCAGCCTGAAGCATTTAAAGAAGAGGGGTCCTTGGAATATGGGGTCAAAGTCTCAGGGTGAAAGTGTCAGGGTGGGGGTGAGGTTAGATAGAAACAATAAAGACAGGTACGGAAGCGGAAAGGAAATCACAACTAAAAATTATGCTTTTAAGGAGCCTGCAACTCTGGACACGAGGTCACCCAAGGTTACCTAAGTCACCCTTCCCTAGGTTTGTCATACCTCTGACTTCATAAATTAGCATCGTTGATGAAGTAAAGGGCAGACATTTGATTTTATGATAAAAGGACAAATCAAATGAGTTCAAAAAAATATTTTTAGACAAAATACCTTACATCACCCTTTAAAAAAAACCCAAAAACAAAACAATAGAACTCATGCCTTTCCCCTGTAAAATGGGCCATTATCTTTCTGTCAGTGATGCATCTTTTTTCCTCTAACCCAAGACCGAGATGGAAGTTTCTACAGATTTACAAATTCCACAGATTTCCACTGCCAAAAACACACACATGTCCCAGCTCCGAACTGCAGCATATCTCTGCCTCTCAAGGGCCTGCACTCTATTTCTTTGAATGTGTACTTTTAAGTTTCTACCTACTAACCCCCTTCATGCCTCTTAAAAAACGAAACAAACAAACAAAAAAACTAAAAAGATCTGCCTGCGGCAGACCGTTTACCTTGTCCAGAAAGGTCCACCATCTTCTGGTGTCCAGTTTTCCCGTCGAAGAGCTCCATTATATATTTCCCTTTGTCATTAGGAGTGGGCTCATTGATTTGAAGCCAGATCTGCTCCCCGGTGACCCCACTCTTCACTCTGTCTGTGTACTTAACGGCAGTCCCACTGTGAGAATCAGAGCCAGCACTGTTACTGTCTGCTTTCATGCAGAGCGGAGCGGTCCTCTGTCTCCCATCAAAGGTCTTATCATAACTTTTACAGGCTTCAAAAATCTAAGATCCACCTCTGCTGCTGTTCTGCCCGAGGCCCAGCCCTGGACTCCAAGGCCCTGTTCTGAGAGGCGGAACGTTCACTTGATTCTCCCGACAGCCCAGTGTGTCCCGTGGGGGAACTAGCTGGGCTGTGCTCTGGTGGGACTGAAGGAATCTTTAATACTGGACAGCCATGCTGCACCGCTCTAAGGCTGTGAGCTGGATTGTATAACCTGGCTCAGAGCATGCTGTTGCCATGGGCTGGTCCAAAGCTATTGAAAACCTAAGTTGGTGGTGGGCGGTGGAGCCAGGGGAGCATGAGAGGCAGGGTGGCTGTGCCGTGTGAGTTTCCCAGCTCTGCACGCAGTGTAAGGGAATAACAGGGAAAAGGGCCCTGGGGCTGTGTAGGGCTATCTAGGAACGCCACCGGGACAGTCAGGGTAGAGAAAGCGAGGCAGCTACACTCTGCTGTTTAAACTTCACAGAGAATCTGCACAGATGGGAGGAAACAAACAAGACAGCACACAAAACAATTCATCACAGTAACAATTACACTGGGAGAAAAGATTCAGAGGAAGCACCCGGAGTGCTGCGTGGTGGCCCATAAAACGGGACTGCATCGGATTAAGAATTCCTTTGGATGTTGTAATACGTCATCGGTGTATTTTCCAAAACAAGTGTGTACTCTGTGTACAGTTGTAACGAACAAGAACTTCTTGAAAGCATAGAAAAGGAAAGTTTTTAGCCAATAAACTTTTAGTTTTCAAACAAATATTCCATGTTTTTCTTATACTACTGCATTCTTTGATGAATATTTATTTGTATATCTAAAAACATATTAAAAATTAACGTGCATAGTGAGGTAAAGAGACTTATCGGTACCCACACATTTTAGCTCAGGCAGTAGACACATCTTAGAGAGCCAGACACAGGGACTGGTCTCTGTTTTGCAGTAATACACTCAGGTTTCTTAACCTCTGCTAACACGATCACGGTGCCTTCCGTATGCTCAGCACTGTAGTCCAACGGGTGCCACTGCTGCTAGTTTATATAGGGAAAACCGAGATTTGTAAAATTAAATGACTGCCTGAGATCACAATGGAAGACAGAAGTCAAGACTAAAACCCATTTTAGATATTTTTTTCCCATTGCGCCATACCACAAAAGACAGCTAAGACAATCCTTGATTCCCCAGACTTTCACAGATACACAAATACACAAGATGGGCACAGAGCTGCTGAGAGCAAGTGATGCAAGTTCATGCTTTGTTACTCTAATAGCAGCTTTTCAAACCCCATCTTCTAGGCCTTATTTTCTGAACGAATAATTCTCTTAGAGAAGACGTAAAGTTTTTTGATGGGTGGGTCACCTAATTTTGCTTCTTTCATTCTGCAGACTGATGTATTAGCATGTCCTAGATGCCATGGAGGTTTTCCCTTGAATTTATTTCAACATATACATAATTACTTTCCTAAAACATATTCTGAAGAAGAAGAAGAAGAAGAAGAAGAAGAAGAAGAAGAAGAAGAAGAAGAAGAAGAAGATAAGCTGAATTTGTGCTCTGTACTGTATCTGTGGAGTTCAGGAAATGATTAATAATAATAACAATAATAATAAAGGTTCCTGCATAAGTCAGAGCAGAAAGCCCAGATGACCGCTTCATCAGCACTGGCTCAAGCTCCCAGTGCATCCAGACCTTATTTGTTCTGGTGGGGTTGGGGATTGAACTCAGGGCCTCACATATGCTAGGAAAGCTCTCTACCACTGAGCTACACCCCTGCCTGGGACTTTTCATTATATTTATTTTTGACTGATCCATAAAAACATTAGTGGGGTCACGTGGTATTTTGGCACATGTTTATATTTTGTGACATTTCAATAAGGTTAAATGTGTGTGTCCCCTGAAACACCTCTCGCTTCCTCATAGTGACACTTTCAATGTCTTCTCTTGTCACTTTTGGAAACGTATACTGCAGTCACCTGCATGCAGACAGGGCCTCAGAAGGTCTCACTCCTGCCAAGCTGAACATAGCACCGAGGGCCGACTTCTCCCCACCTCTCCTCGAACCTCGCTAGGCTTCAGTGACCTTGGACACAGCAGGGAATGCTCGGGGAGCAGGGTCTGGAGTGAGGCTGCCTCTTGTGACATTGCCATGAGCCTGGGCTTTCTGGTCACTGCAGGCCCTGCCTCGGGTCTGGATGAGCTAGCAGGTGCCTTGGGGCTTGGAGCGATGCCCCACACACTCGGTGCCCACAGAAGGCCTGATGGATGGGGGTAGTCACTGTCCCTGCACCCCCAGGACTGCTGCAGGGCCACTTCCAAGGCTGCTGCAATGGGGCTCTTGAGCACACTTGAGCACTGGACTGAAGGGGGCTGCACCCTAAAAATGAGCTCTGCCAGGCCTCGGCGCACTCGCGGGCCAGGCTATCAGGGAAGGGTGGGACCGGTTTGATTTAGATGCCACTTGGTCTCTTGCAATCCCAGGGATGAACCCGAATGCGGCTTCTTTACTGCTCCACCCAAGCATCCCTGGACAGACTTTCAGACCCAACCCTATCCAAACGCACCTCCTACCAGTGCCCCCGAGACCCCCAGAGTCTGTCCACCATGGCCAAGAAGCTGCTCTGGACCTTGTGAGCAAACCAGGTGCTCCCCCCACCCAGGGTGGGGGCTGCCTTGGCCATCGGCCACTTGCCTGCCCAGTGGGGGACCAGGGATGGTGTGGGCTGGGTGCCGAGCACTGGGATCATGGCTGGGGACCTGGTGAAGCCCTCGGCCCAGCTCGGGGGTGGGGGTGGGGTCCCAGTGAGGACACCTGCAAGCCAGGACACATCTCAGGGTGCAGAGGGGTGCACAGCAGCACCCAGGGGTTTGTGTCCTGTGAGCCTCAGGTTCCCAGCTGGGTTCCCAGTGGGAAATAAGAAGAGCATCACCTGAAAGGATCTTCTTCCTTCCCTTTCCTCCCTTCCTGTCCTTTCTCCCTTCTCCTTTTTCTTTCTTCCTTTTGTTCCTTCTGTCCTTTCTCTCCCTTTCTCTCTTTTTCTCTCTCTCTTTCCTTTCTCCCCCTCTCCCTTTCTCCCTTCTCTCTTTCCTTCCCTCCCTCGCTTCCTTCTTCCCTTCCCTCCTTTCTCTGTTTGTTTCCCTTCGCTGTCTCCAGGGGGAAAGCGCTTGCACACAATGAGGGAGGCTCCGTTTACTTACTTGTGGGACCAGTTAACCTTCAGGTCATCCAGGTAGTAGGTGACAAAAGAGTACAGCCGGATGCCCTCGGCAGTGCTCTGGATTTTCAGGTCTGTGGCTGACAAAGCTAAAAGAGGAGAACAGCGTGTCGTACACACCTATCTGTCTGTCCGTCCGTCCTGGCAGGAGAACAGTGAAGCACTGTGCATGGGAAATGTCAGCTTACCGATCTTGCGGCACACTTCGCTCATCAGTTCTTGGAAGGCTGGAGAAAAAGTTCAAAGCCAAGACGTTAGCAGAACATGCTGAGCGTCTGCCCGAATCTCAGACTGTTCACTCTTAAAAATTCCCTGTCCCAGGAAGGGAACAATTTGTTGACTGATTGCTAATTAGTGTGCTTGGAGGAAATAACTCAAATTTTTATTGGGCTATAAAAGATCTTTGCCTGTTTTGACATTCTGTGATATTTTTTCTCCCGACTCTCTGTGATTAACACCATATTTGAATTCTACACAGAGTCACAGTGAGGTTTCCAGGAAGGCTCTTGGCTTTAGGGTTCTCTTCTTTAGTCCCAGGAAGCCTTGGCTCCAGTGACCGGATGTTTTCTGGTCTGTGTCACCAGTTCAAGATGGATTGCCATGGATCCTGCCCGGCCCCCCACAGCCTAATGACTTTTGCTGGTCACTGTTAGGCTGTTGCTGGTCAACCATTTAGCCATGGCTTCACCGAGACGGGCAAGATTAAGTCAAAGACAGATTTCTGCTGTTTGTTAGTAATATTCCTAACAGATCTTGTTCAGAAACAGAACTGAGGGTTTTGGGGTCACAAGGGGGCTTTGGTGATCTTGACAGATGTGTCCCAAGTAGTCTCTGAGACATGGAAATTCCTTTTCTACTTTGTGAATAACTGTAAGACTTCAAATACTGCATATAAGTCTTCCTGGCTACCCCTTTATTCCTGGGCTATTTCTCAACGTGCTCTTCACTTAAGTTTTTTTTTTTTTTCTTTCCTGATCCTGGAACATTTTTATAGAGTAGAAACAAAAGCGATGATTTAAATTGAAAGCAGACACTTTAGCCACCTGTAAAGTATAAATTCTCCAAGATCAAAAGTACACTTCCAACCTCTGGGAAGACCAAAAGTGAAGTACTTGGGAAACAAAACAGCGACAGCAGTTCACTGGGTTGGAATTTCAATTAAACTAGACTCTGCGGGTGAAAACCCAGCATGGCTTTCATTTGTCAGCCCAGCCTCCATCTTAATCCTGGTCACCCCTGTGTAGGAAACACAGCCCTGAGCACCGACCTTCATCCACAAGCTTCAGCCGGCTTTTATCCTTTCCGCGGTCATCTTTCAGGATGACTTCGTAAAACCCAGCGTCCTTCTTGGAAAACTAAGGGGAGAAGAGAGACACCCGCTGTAGCTCGGCCCAGCTCCAGGCCTGGCATCACTCAAGGCCCTTGACCTAACAGTTGCCACGGAAGCAACCAGAAAAGCTCCAGCAGTGGCCAGTGGGCCACATGTTCACCTGCCCACAGTCATCTTCGCAGACGACAGTTGTGATTTCTCACCCTCTACAGCTATAATGAGATGAGGCGTTTTTTTTTTTTGTCTTTTTGAGACAGGGTCTCACTATGCAGTTCAGGCTGGTCTTGAGCTCACTTTGTAACCTGGGCTGACCTCATACTTCTGGCAACTCTCCTGCCTCAGTCTCCCAAGTGCTGGGATTATAGGAATGCACCACCATGCCTGGCTGAGACCTTTATTTATTAAACAGTAAATGATGACATATATCTGAAAGCTGTGCTCTAAAAGTAGATAAAAGTTTACACTTCAATGACTATTACATCTGACTTTCTTTACAATGCTAGAAAACAACTTATTGTAAGGTTTAAGCTTGAAGAAAGGCCCATTTGACTGCTTGCAGATGAGAAAGGAGCTCATAAAGCCAGTCCCATGGAGTTTGCTTGGTACTGGTGAGACACCTGAGAGACCCATGCATGTCGCAAAGCGAGGAGCTTTGGCTCCTGTGGATATTGTACATCTGTGGGCATGGGGTGAACACGGAATCTGATCCACTCTGGAGGAGAATGCGGATGTGGCCCTCCCATAGTTCCAATCACCTACCTCTGTTATCAGCAGTGTGCATATGCCGTCCTGGAAGTCGTGCTTCTCGTCCACTGATATCTCCCTCTCGTCTTTGTACCACACAATGTTAGTCTCTTTCTTAATATTTGCCACCTAGAGGAAGAACACACTTACCCTTTTTGAATTAGGGGAACATTACTCTTATGAAAATAAGGGGGGTATTTTACTTTCTACATTGAGGAGTGAAGCCAGGGTCTTTGCACTGAACTACATCCATAGGCTTTTCCTTAAAGAAAAAAAAATTTTTTTTTTTTGTCTTTTTGAGACAGGGTCTTGCTGTGCAGTTCAGGCTGGCCTTGAGCTCACTTTGTAGCCTAGGTTGGTCTTGAACTCGCAACAATCCTCCCTGCCTCAGCCTCCCAAGTGCTGGGATTACAGGCATGAGCCACCATGCCTGGCGAATAAAGAAATGGTTTTAAATTTTGAAACAGGGTCTCAAGTTGTTCACTCCTGGCTCAAGTTATCCTCCTGCCTCAGTCTCCCAGAGTGCTTGGGAATACAGTCATGCACCAGGCCCAGCAAACTAAGTAGGTTTTAATGTACCAAAGTATAGAAGAAAAGGTACTGAACTTGGTGTTAGATGACACAGCTTTTAAAGGGAATCAGTTGAAAATGATGTTAATTGAAAAAGGGCTTTAGAATAAAGTGGGTACAAATGCACGAATGAAAATCAAGAGCATCTATTTCCAGCAGTAAAAGTTAACTTTGCAATCACTGGCAAGCAGTGGCCCAGATCCACAGTCCCAGCACTCAGGAGACACTCCCAGCACTCCCAGCTGAGGCAAGAGAATCACCTGAGCCCAGAAGTTCCAGACCAGTTGGCAAAAACGAAGTACTAGGTATTCATACTTATATGCAAACTTACATGAAAGTAAGTGTGGCCACGAGAAACCAGTACACATCAGTGTTCCTCATGACTCTGGAAGCTGGTTGTGGAATTGGAGGAAGTAACTGGGTTCCTGGGTGACTTTGCTTCTGGCAAAATGCCCCTAAGCTGGGCATGCTGGTGCACCCCGTAATCTCAGCACTTTAGAGGCAGAAGCAGGAGGAGAGCCAGAAGTCTGAGGCCAGCCTGGGCTCCATGGTGAGTTCAAGGTCAGTCTAGACTACGTAGTGAGACCCTGTCTCAAATGCTCAGGGCCTGAGCACCCTGCTTCGTATAATTTGGAATGTATCCCCTGTGGGAATTGGAAAGCCCAAGCATAGAGTTGTCCCAAGAGGTGCTGGTTCTCTGGGGTCATAAGACATGTTAAGCCTTGCTGTGCTTCCCGCCCCTGCCCAGTATGGAGTGGTTATCTGAGAGTGGCAGAGGGAGCAGCTGTTACATGGACTCTTGCAGGTCAGCAGGTGGCCTAGCTCTTCCTTAGTCCTTCAGAGCTGACTGACGCTAAGCGGCCCTTCATAGCCGTGAGTCTAAATGGTCACTGCACGTGTGCCGTGGATTCTGATGCAGTAGTGATGGTAAATTTATGTAAATTGCCATAATAACATAACAGAGAGATATGGAGAACAGAGGCAGGGTCCTTCTCCCCAGACTACTGTGCCAGAGAAGCTGAAAGAAGGTTTTTCTAGGTCTTGGACAACAACTCAAATCCTTACCTCCAGGTATCCATAACCTAAGTGCTGTGGTTAACATCTAGACCTCCTTTAAAGTCTCATGTGAGCCTAGAAGGGGTTTTGGGGAGGTGACTGAACCATGGGGGCATGACACCCATCAGCGGATTCTCCAATGAGTGTTACCCTGGGAGGAGAAGCCTGGCTGCAGGAGGTGGGTCACTGCGGGCATGGTCTGCATCTATCTCCCCCCTCCTCCTCTGATCGCTCCCTGCGTGCTCTGCCATGGACTGTCTCTCCTCTGTGATGCCCTCTGCCATGCCACTCTGCCTTGGGGCCAGCCAACTAGGGACTGAAGCCTCTCCAAACAGCCTAAAGAAACCTTCCTCTGTCAACTTGTGGGTGTCAGGCATTGTGTCTCAGCAGTGAGGAAGGTGGCTAACAGTGTGTGGAGGCTTCCCTGGGATAAGTCAGGACTGGGGAAGGGCTGGTTCTCCTGAGGAGGCCATCAAAGTGGCAGAAATCCATGGGCGACACAGCACAGGAGAAGAGGAAAGCAGGATGGGCGGTGCCCATGAGAAAGTAAGGGGGTAGCAAGGTGCTGGGCAGCCAGAGGGCAGAGAGGCTGAGGGAGGAAGAGGAGCCACCAGGGAGAAGGTTTTTAGTAAGTTTTGCAATGTTCAGAGAGGCCAAAATGTAGGACAATTTTTCTTATGGGTTTCTGGTAAAATTGTTCCTTTGAATTAATCAGATATACTAGAAACTCGAGCACTTGGGTTCTGGCTCTTAGGATGACAGCCACATGCTCTGCTTGAGTTACTGTTGGCCATCACAACTTCACATGGCAACTGCAGGCAGCAGTTTCTTCTCCAAAACTTTTTTTTGGTATCAGAATTCGAACTCAGGGTCTCACACTTGCCAGGTAGGTGATGTGTCGCTGAGCTACCTTCTTGACCAAAACTTATGAAACAAATATGTAAAACCTGGGTCTGATGATATTGCCGGAGTGGGCCTCTCCCACCTAGGCTCGCCTCTGTTTCTCAAGCAGCTGGACCTGCAGGTGTGTCCCCCTGCCTGGCTCTCAGCAGCTGTCTTCTCATTGTCACCCTGTTGTCTCACACAGTACGCGCACCCCCCAAACAGGAGGCTGAGGAGGCTGGGATAGATCTACCACTTAGGTGGGATTTGGCCCCACACCCTAACACTGTGAGAGTCTTCTGCTACTAACATAGGGCGGCATCCTTAACACAAACTCCGAATTCCAAGATACTCCCAGTCTGAAATTTGATGTCACAAGTGGGGAACTCCATACTGTGAAACTGTTATGCAGTATTTTTAAAATTGCATAAAAATTACCTTTAGGCTATGTGCATAAGAAACAAACGAATTTCACATTAGACCTGAGTCACATCTCCAACACCCCTCGTTACATATACACAACTATTCCAAAAGAAAAAAACCTAAAAATCAAAATACTTTTGCCCCAAAGCACTGTGGATAAGGAAGACCCAGCCTGTAATTTAAAAGGAGCCCACATCTTTTTTTTTTTTATCTTTTTCTTTTTTATCGGTACCGGGGATCGAACTCAAGACTACCTGCTTGCAAGGCAGGCGCTTATGCCGCTGAGCTAAATCCCCAGCCCTGAGCCCACATCTTTATTAACTATGTCATGTTGATGCTTAGGAGCAATCACTTCAGCTTAAATTTTTTTAATAAACCACTGGCTACTGTAACATTCAACAGCAAGGATGAATCATTTATCATTTTGGCTCAAATGCAGATGGAAAAGTGATCTTCCTCTTCCTCTTCTTCTATTCTTTATTTCCCCAGCATAAAATATTAAAAATTCACCCACCTCTTACCTTGCATTTCAACAGTACATTACATTCACCTGTCACTTCCCAGCTCAAATACTCAGCAAAATGGGGGCCTGTAAAACGTTAATGATATAAGCGATCACCTCGTTCATCACAAATGCAAATTTAAAGCTCGCTTTTTTTTTTTTTTGGTACTGGGAATTGAGCTCAGGCCTCACACTTGCCAGGCAGGTGCTGTGCTGCTGATCTACATCCTCAGCCCAAAGCTCATTTCTTAAATCCTAAAGTGATTTATGTTTGAACTCAACTTGAAAAATATAACAGATTTAGTTTTAAAATATTTTAATTTCTATATATTTGATAAAAATATTTTAAATAACTTTTATTTATCAACCATTCTTAACATAATTAATACCATGTGTTTTAACTTGTTATAGAAATAATCCTTGAACACTTTATACAAAAAAATGGAAGTATTTCTTCTTACCCACTGCCTAAGTTTACCTTGTTTCCTGATCCATTCTTGCCGCTGGAATTCGGCTTCTTTCTGGAGTTTTTTATAAACTAGAAATTGAAAGACAAGCAAGTATAAAGTTGAGTTGAACAGTGTAAATGCCCCTGTCAGCTACATGCCGACGATCCTGCTTGTCTTTCTTTTAATAGATGAGGAAACAGGCTTAGAAAGGTTAAATAACTTTTTCAAGGTCATGAAGCCAGGAAACATTGAAATAGAACGGAGCAGATCTGGCAGCCTTTGTGTTGCTTGTTTAAATCTCACTCTTAAATCTTGGTGGCTTCCACACTTAGTTTAAGCAGCTGACTACTGCAGCTTAATTATAACGTGTGATCCACAGATGTGACAAACAGTACTTCTGCATATTTTTTTCTTTTCACGTTAAGTCTTTTAGAGCATCTGCACATCATTAACTAGGATCATGGTTTGTTTCTGAGATACATTCAGTCCCACGGGTCTTGTAACCTCCTGCATTGGAAGATTTTAGGAATAAGTTCTTTTTTATATATGCAATTAAGTACAGTCTTGATTGAGGGTCAGGATAATTTCATATTCTTTTAAATTAACATTTTTTTTTGTCTTTTTCCTTTTTATCAGTACTGGGGATTGAACTCACGACTGCCTGCTTGCAAGGCAGGCGCTTATGCCGCTGAGTTAAATCCCCAGCCCCAACATTCATTTTTATATGCAATGAAATACTATGGAAAGTGTAAATCAAAATGTGTATTTTTTTTCCCTCTTTTTATTGGTACCGGGGATCGAACTCACGACCGCCTGCTTGTAAGGCAGGTGCTTATGCCGCTGAGCTAAATCCCTAGCCCCAAAATGTGTATTTTGATAAAGAAGGATAAGCTTGAGACCGTTATGCTAGGTAGAATAAGTCAGACACACAATTTGCATGTGGCGTGGTTTCTCTGATACGAGAAACCTAAGCAGAAAAGACAGATAATAGGAACGGGGTGGTGGTGGTGGGGCTTCTCCAAGAGGAAAGGAGACCTGGAGATGGAGGAAGGGGATGAACAAAAGGTGGAGGTGCGCTACATGCAGGCACCGACTCCCCCAGGAATGAACCATCACGCTCTGCTATCATATACCAATAAAAACAAAGGTTTAACTGGGAAGCACAACGCAAGGCCGCCCTGCATGTTAAAAAAGAAAACTGCATTTGGACCATGGGGTTTGGTGAGGACCTGTTCCTGCGCCCTCTCCTGGGACCTCCGGCTTGTGCCCAGAGAGCAGAGGGGCACTCACCGTCCCCAATGAGCACCAGGGTGGAGTGGCCCGTGGCTCTCCCGTCCTGAATCTGGAACGTGTACGTCCCCTCGTCCTCGTCCTGCAGCTTCTCCATGAACATCTCGATGATGCCAGTGTTTCGGTCGACATGCATCTTGTATTTCTTCATTCATCGTGAAAAGATACAGAGAAAGCAGTAAGGTAGGCATTTCACCCCATGACAATGAGCCTGGGGATATACAATAAACTCCAAAGAATAAGAGCTTTAATAATATTTTTGACAAATTCTTTAGAATCTTATACCGTACAAGGGAATATTTTATATGAATATAGGATCCAGACCAGAATTGATTACGGAATAGTCTGTGATATAATTTCTTAAGTCTAAATGCAGTTTTGTTAGCCCATGTTATAAAATATTATCACAACTAGCTTCAGACTTCTGTTTTGTCTCCCAGGTAGTATTATCTCTCCTTGGGAAGATAGCAGGAACTATAGGTGGTCCAGGGGGAACATTCTCATGGAATGCATGGCGTGCAGTAGGCAGTTCCTAAATACCTGCTGGGAATGTGTGATAAAAACACTCTGCAGCCCCCAAAACTCCCTGCTCTTGATGACTGAAAGAGCTTTGTAGGCTGCTCTGTGTAGACAACTCTCATTCTGAGCCCAAGGTGACTCTAGGTTGCCATGTAGATGGGCACAAATCTACACCCATCTGCACTGACAAAGTCTGCTATAAAAGACAGCATGAAGGCTCAGGTCCCACCCAGCTCTGTGCAGCCCTGAGGCCTTGCTGGGAGCCGGTCTCCTGCGAGCCCAGGTCTGGCCTCGCCTTGACCCTGTCCCCTCCTTCGCCCTCCTTTCCTCTGGGAGCACAGCCCCAAGGTTGAGGATGAGCAGTTCTTCCTGCTGTCCTCGGGAGCTGACCTGAGACAGCAGGTGTGCACATGTGACAGCATGAGTGTGTGTGTGTGTGCATGTGAAGGAGGGGCACGTCTGCATGCGTGCGCCTGAATGTGCACTCAGGGATGTGGCAGAAGGTGGTGCCGATCAGTTTTTCTGCCTCTGCCCTGGATGGGCGGTGACCGCGCAGCTGATGGGGACAGCGGGGAGGGTGAGGGAGGACTGGCTGCTGCGGACATGAGAGTGACTCCTCCTGGCTGCGCGGTCACTGTGTGCCACACTGCACACAAGGAGGTGTCATGCACGACCCCCTCACTGAGGAGTCTCCATGGTTTTCAAAACCATGACAGTGGGAAGGGACAGGCTGCTAATGGCAGCAGCATCCTCACCTCCTCCCCCTGCCAGGTTCTCACTGCTGTGTCCCCACCCACTCCTCAGGACGTGGGACACCGGCCTGACCCGGCTCCTGGCAGCCCTGGGATGGCAGGGGAGCCCGGCTGCTGCACCTCCAGCTGCAGAAACTGTGTTCACATGAGCAAACTGACAGGGGGGCACACGCGGAGAAACAGGAAAAACCCACAGGACATACCCAGTCGTGCGCATCCTTCTGTCTAAAGTTTTGACAGTGAGGATGCACTTCATTGTTGCCAAAAAGACAATGAAAAATACTGCTTTTTCTGAGCCTCCAGAGAAGAGGTCATTTTCCCCACATAATGCAGCTGGTTGCTGGGTTTCTGACGTGGGTAATTTGCATCTTGTAAACTTCTCATTGGGAACAGAGGAACAAGGCCTGGTGCTGGAGAGGAGCATGCCCTGTGTAGTGTTCACTGCACCCAGTGGGGGCTCAGGCGGGGTACTTGGGGATCTCGGTTTCCAAGTGGGGACCGTGCTTCCCAGTTTGCCTGGGGCAGTTCGGAAGATGGGGTCCTAGGAAAATTACTAACAGCCTCCCCTTTCATTCTTGAAAGTGTCCCAGGTTGGTGAAATGATAGCATCAGTCTGTGGATTCCCTTCACTTAAGAAGAAGAAAATGTGACAAAGATGTAAACTACCTCACCCCGCAGTTCTCAGGGCACTGTGTCCATAGCCCTGCAGGGCACCCGTGTTGTGCTCCAGGAGAGCACATTTATAAATGTAAAATGCATAGAACCTACCGGTCCTTCAAAAATCTCCTTCTCGTTAAATATGTAGTTGACCTTGGCGTTGGCAGACAGCTTCTCCGCCTGCATCCAGAACCGGACCAGACCTTTCTCCAAAATCTCCACCGCCAACTCCGATTTAGTTGGGACAGCTATGAAAAATGAAAATGAACCCAGTAAGTAACTCCGCTGTTGGAAAGCAGCAAGGAGGGGGCCAAGAGTCAGCCGCGGGGGTGCTGATGCCCTTGCTTCTCGCAAAGCCAGGGAGCAGCGCAGGTGCTGTGGGGAAAGTGGTAGAGTATGGGGCAGGAGACATGGTGCTGGTCCTGTGGTGTCACCTGGCACCCACCGCATTTGTCATTCAACCTAGTGGTGGGGAGGATGAGATCACCTCCAGGGGCCCTTCTGGAGGCCCCTGGACTCTTGGCTGCAGCGAGGTTATTCCACGGCTGTAGTGAGCGATGATCAGAGGCCGGGGTGGGCTTCAGGAAGGCTGAGGTGAGCCCAGCTCTGCTGCTAACGAGGTGGGGAACCTGGCGGGCTGCTTTCTGGCAGCTGGTCTTACCCAACCGGCCCAGGTTGGCCGAGAAGTGCTTCAGTGCTAACATTCTTAAGAATATTCAGAACATTTAGAAGGGAGTACAGTCTTTGTAAACAATCAAACTCACCTGGGTTTCCCCCCTCACAAAAAAATTTAAAGAATCTTAAAAAGGAATTCATTCTGATTACATAGTCAGCCCTCCACCTCTTTGGGCTTTGAGCCCACATATTCAACCAACTGTGAATCCGACATATTTTTTTAAAATTGCATTTGTACTGGGCATACATAGATTTTTCTCTTGTCATTATTCTCTAAATAATAGAGTAGATTCTACTCAGCAGAGCAACTATTTACATAAAGTGTATATTGTATTAGCCATTATGATAATGTAGAAATGGTCTAAATAAATGGAGAATGCCGGGAGGTTATATGCAAATATCATGCGATATTACTTCGGGGACTAGAGCGTCTTGGACTTTGGTGTCCATGGGGATCCTGAAACTCATACCCACGGGTGTCAAGGATGACTATATATCCTCCCCCTTTGATGTCAAAGACTACTGTGTACCCATTCCCGTGGAAGCCAAGGGTGACTATTCACAGCGGTCACTTGAGTCCTATCTATCTCCATGATGTGCCAGCTCATTTAGCTTCCGGATCAAAAAGAATTCTTTAGAGGCTGATCTGTGAGTTGCTGAGGCAGCTAATTTAAAATGCAGTGTGCTTCCTTCTCCTAGAATACACACGAGCCATCTGCTCTTTCTGGTTTATACCTGGATGGCATAACCCAGTGACATCTTGGTAAAATTTAAAGAATTGGCTACCATCTCCCAAAACTTGGTGTTAAACTTCCTGTAACTGGAATGTGCGGTCAGGAAGGCTCCACCAACCAAGGGCTCTTACGTGACGAGGCCCAGGGCATATTCTGTGGAAAGCATGGCTCTTTCTCACGGCTGGGGTCCTTCATCCCTCATGGCCTTTAGGGGAAAGCATGGCTCTTAACTTTCTCTAAACTCTTCTTAAACTTATTTCAAAAAGTTGGCATGTCTATATTTTGAATTACAAGCACGCCAAACTTGTAGCAATGTGCATTACTATTTCTTTGCGTTTCTCCTAAATTGACCCTTTTCCATTTCCAAGGGCGGGTTACCCCTTCCCTGCTAAGCATCCAGTTGCCCTGCGGTTCTGGTTTGGAGCTGCAGGACGCCCAGGCCCTCACCTACTGCAGGGAAGGCGCCGTGGAGGCAGGAAGACGGGCCTTGGCGCTGCACTCTGACCTGGAGCCTGACTCTGCCCCTCTGACCCACGGGCCGCACCCACTAGCAAGGCCACTGCGCCCCTCGTGGGTGGCACAGGGTATAGATCTGTGTGTCTTTGGAGCTTGTCAGCCTTGGTGCTGTTGGGGGACAGAGGCCCATCTTGGATTGCCACAGAGGAAACACGGCAAGGACACGCGTGAGAGTGGTCTGTGACGTGCCGTGAACGTCAGCCCATGTAGGCATCACCAGCTGCGTGCTACTGGCCTAGATGTGCGCTTCCCTGGCCCTCACATTCTTAACCTTTAACCCCGAAGCGCCATGGTATTTTCCCTGTCGAGGTCATCATAGATTCAATGATTCATTCCGCCAGGGTAGAATAGGGGCTCTCTAAGCACTGGCTGCTAGTATTTTGGCATCTCTTTTTTCTCCAGTGTCTTTAATGGCAGTCAACAACCGTCACTTGTAAACTATGACGTACTGAGAACTAAGAGCCCGTATGAACCTGCGTACCTTGAAGAACGTGTGCCTGTGTGTACTATTTGTCTCTAGGCGGGAAAGGAGTCAGCTGTCTGACATTGCCTGTCGTGTGCTTGGTACTCTCTGCCCTTGGATAAGCTGCCTCCCCACACTGCAATCCAGCACCAGTGCCGACAAGACGCATTGTTGTTTTCTATTTTAGGGTTTGTATCTCCTCCTCTTCTTCTCAGCTCTAAATTTCCTTCAGCTCTTTTCCCTGGCAGTAAATCTGCTTCCAGCAAAATGTGTTATTTGTAGGTTTAAGGCATATGCTTGATGGCTTTCAAAATATTTTTGAAACCAGCTTAGTGTAGGAGAACTTACAGTGCCGAAGGTTACTCATTTACATATTCTTTATAAAATCTCAAGGAAAAAAATAACTAAATTAGCATGGCGACATTGAGGGGAAGTCTGTGTACACCTCAGAAAGGAGGTGAGCTGCTGTGACACTACCATTGGCTCTCCGGTCACGCTCGGGAAGAGACCTCGCTGGTCTGCAGAGGTGGAGTAAAGGGAGGTGCCAGAGCTGTAAGACTGACAGTCCTGCATCAATGGGTCTATGAAAGTCCCCTTGGGTTCTGGATTCATCTTGGTATTCAGAGTTTCAAACATGCTTTTGGATGCAAGTCCGTGCAGCTCTCTCTCCTGGCTCCAGCAGTAGGGCCCCTAGGTGTGTGCAAGGTCATATCTCAGGGTAAACAACAGCAGCACCAGCTAATCCTAGCTGCTATTGGCCGTTGCACCCAGAGAGGCCCAGGCAGGTGAACTTAGCAGTGACCCTGGAAGGCGTCCTCTCTAAGCTCAGGTTCAGTGCCACTGGAAGCAGCTGCGGCCTGGAGAGCTGTGTCTGCAGTCAGCTCACTTTGTCAGTGGGTGCTGCTGCTTCTCTCTGTGTCAGCAATGCCTGGAGAATGCCGGGCACGTCTCCACATGGGGAGAAAGCAGGTGTTCGTGCTGGTGCTGTGGACCATTACAGTTGCCAAGCCCAGAAAATGAGGCGAGGCGTGGGGGACGGAAGTGAGCACTGGGGTCACAGCCAGCCCGAAGTGCAGAAGGAAGACCTTGGAGGCCAATCTCGGCTTCACACAGGGTTTGAAAGCTGCTGGAGCTGGGATAGCTTCAGTCTTGTGAAAATGGTTTGCCTAGGGCCGTGCAGCAGGTTCTCCCTGAGTATAGGCAGCTGACATTCACCCCCCATGGTCCCCACGGGTCCCTCTAAGAAAGACTGTGCAGAGGACACTACAGCTAGGTCAATGGTCACCACGCCCAGCCTCATGGGAAGCAGATCACTTTTGGGGGACAGAGGAGAAGCTAGATGCTGGGGTAACACACTCTCTCTCTCTCTCTCTCTAATATATGTATAATCTCAGCCTCAGCAAAAAGCTTGGACCCTCTCTCTAGAACAGTCCACTTCTGTGAATATACATAGCTTTGCCATAAGCTGGCACAAGGATACAGTTTTTCTAGATTCTTGAACTTGCATTAAAGGAAAACTATATTTAAAGTATATTTGAGGAGTAAGGAAATCGAGATTCTTAATTCAACAGAGTACTTTGCCACTTTCCATTTGTTTTAGTGGGCCAGGGTGGTTTCTGCCTACCCCACCGCTCCACTCCACGGGTGGGAGAGATCTACCGGGCCTGTGGAACCTTCCTTCAGAGTGTTATTTCACACTTCTCACTCCTCTCGGAGGTGTCAAGTGTGGGGCTGAATCTTTTATGTAGAAGGTGCTTTATTTAAAGGTTTGTAAATAGTTCAGAAAGATTCTTTTTCAGGCTAAGGCACCTTGCCCTATTTTCTAAGAGTTTATGATGACAGGGACTGGGCTGAGACTACTTTTATTTAGAGATCTGGTTCTACTATTAAGCGCCAATGCCACTTAGGAAGAAATCAATTTAACATGCGAAGGAAGAAACCCTGAAGATAGATATGATTCAAAAATATGCCGGCAAAAGTGAAGGACCTAATCATCCGATTTTGCACCTGTGCACTTCTCCAAGTAACCAAGTACGGGTTATTTTTAATTTGAGTATCTCGGTTTCTCTGGCAAAGTAGAAAGCATTGCTCCCTGATGTGTCCCTGCTGCCCCTGACCAGCGGTGGACTGCATGCGCTCAAGGCCCTGCTCCAGCTCTGCTGACCCGGTCTGAAGCTGCCTGCTCTAACAGCAGCAGAGGTATCGAGGACACTTACTTGGGAACTTGTGTTCCTGGCTGAGAGCCAGCAAACGCTTCAGTTCTGTAGGGAGAAACAGAAGACATCAGACCATAAACGACTAAAACAAACGTCACCCGGGAAGGACTGAGAAATGAAGGCGACATTCGGTGGGCGGACGAACTGATTTTAAACTCACCGTCCTCGTCGATGACGTAGCTTGATGCTATCCCATCGGTGTCCGTTACGTCGCAGGAGTAGATGCCCAGGTCATCTGTCCCCAGGTCTTTAAAGGTCATTTTTGTCCTTGGGAACAAAACGTTTCTCTTAATAAAAGTTGTGCAGGTCTGCAGGCCTGTGGTTCACCCTGTCTCTAGGGAGCAGCTTGCCCCTGGTGTCTCAGGTTAAAAGTCATTTTGCTAGGAAGACCTTTTGTGCTCTCCCAGGGGCTGCCGGTTAGGGGGCTGGGGCTGGTACCACTGTTATATCCCCAGGTTTATACACCCTTGACAGCTGCACATTGTGCACAGAGCTATTTTGCAGATTAGTCCTTGCTGGGAGCCTAAATTTTTCTCCCACAGACCGGAACATGCTGTGGGTAACTCTGGGTGCCTTTCCTGTGTCATAGCCTGTGCTTCCCTTTTCTGAATTTCTGTCACCACACTGGTACCATCTCCCTGTATCATCACAGTGTCTTCAGAGACAGGATCTGTTTTCTGTTGTGTGCCCAGCACCCAGCACCCTGTCTGGCAAACCCTGTGTGGAATGAATATATGGACAGGTCTGCCGTCCAGTTCAGTCCAGCTGTATCACACTAGCCAACGTCTAACATCAACTAAATGCTTAAGTGTTAAATGCAAAAAAGTAGGGAAAAAAATCTATCATTTGATTTTCTTTTCTTTGACCAAAAAGTTCTACTGCAAAACCTTTGGAAGGTATTTTAGAGGAGTTGTTACTGTTAAGGTTTGTACTGTCCATTTAAGGTGCTGGTGACGTCATCCTCTTATCCCAGGTAGTCTAAGCAGAAGGCCGGGAGCTCACTGCCCGCCCCTGCAGTACACAGGAAGCCCGGGGCTGTGCCGGGGACCCTCCTTACTTGTTGCCTTTGCTTTCGACTTCTACCCGTGGGGAGTCCTCAGTGCGCACGTAGTCTTTGGACCAGGTGAACTCTGAATTTGGAGTCATCTGATCACATTCGAAGTTCAATGAAATGATCCCGTCGTCATCCACGCTTACAACGACCTCCTTGGTTCCTAGAAGGTGGGAGGGAAGACACTGATGCCGTGGAATCTCTCATCTGAGATCTTTAGCCTCAGAGCAAGGCCCTGAGCCTGGGCCAGGGAGAAGCTGCTTATGGTGGACAGTGCTTTCCCCTCTAAAATTCAGCTTTTCTGCAGTAGCGTGGAATCTGGCAAATGTGTGTATCTCCTGTGTAGGTGCAATAGATACGACTGCCATCCCTGTGTGTCCACAACTGACAGTGAAGCTATAGAAGTGGACTGAATGTAATAAGGGGTCCAGGCAGCCTTGGGGACAGGAGAATCCCCATCAGCCCTGAATTACTGACTTTCGCTTCAATAAAACCCAGGTCCAATCAGTCATGAGGAGAAGATAGAAAGAGACCATCAAACCAAGAGGAGTCAGACACATTCATGTAATCCCAGCACTCGGGAGGCTGAAGCAGGAGAATTGCTATGAATTTGAGGCCAGCCTGAGCTACATAATGAGTTCAAGGCCAGCCTGAACTATACATCGAGATCTTGTCTCAAAACAACAAACAAACAAGAATCAAGAGGAAATTGAAGGGGATAAACAGAGACTGTAAGAATTGCCTCCGCTCACATGACCAGAGTCTGTGAGTCATTTCAGAATGGAGAAATATCCCAGAACTTGTTCTACTGATGATAAAATCATAAATCAACTGAAAGAGACTCATCTAGGTTAGAATGCTCAAAGCAAGGAAAAACTGTTATTGAACTATGTGGAACTTCGAATGGAAATGAGTTTCTAGAGGTCTAGTTTGTTTCAAGAAGGTAAGTTTTTGAATTTTAAAGCAATTCAGTTAATGTTTTGATGCTTGCATCCAATACAGCAACTCAAAGAGAGTTTGTACAGCAGAGGAAACAATCACATCTATGCCTAGAGCCGGCTTGAAAGCAGCAAAATGTTCCACTTGGATTTACCCCCAGTCAGGAGTTAGCTTAAACTTGGTTTGTTTCTGTTACTGTATTTCTGGGAAAGTTAGATTTAGCCTCCGAAAGGTATAGCTTTATTTTCCCTGAGGTACTAAATATCTTCCGAAAGCAGTTTCCCAAAGGAGTTATGTTTTCTCTCTACCTTGCATCGTAACGGTCCAACATCCTGGCCTATTGTTGTTCAATGACATTTGTCAGGGGGAAAGAAAACATCAAAGTCCTTCCAGGGGAGGCCTGGAGAAACCGTGGGACCACAAGTGTCATGAGAATTTGGTTCCCAAGCCTCATAGCTGGCCTATCTTGTGTTCCTATTTTTGCAGTGTGAGCTTCAATCAGAAATCTCCAAAAAGTGATTTTAGCAGAGGGAAAGCTTAGAGTACACTAACTCTAGGAGGTTAAAAAGTTCTTTAGTTGTTTTTTTGAGACAGCATCTTGCTATGCAGTTCAGGCTGACCTTGAAACTGCTATGTAGCTTGGGTAGACCATCAACTTTCAGGAATCTTCCTGCCTCAGCCTTCTGAGTGATGAGATTACAGGCATGAGCTGCCCCCAGCTTCAAATTCCTTTTATTTTTTAAACAAAGGATTATTTTCATATTTAGCTACATAGGTAACCTGAAATAATGATCAGTTAAAGTCTTAATTGTTCTTTAGATGAAACATTCACTGTTTATTCCTTGTAAAGACTGTGTCTACTCTGCTGGAAATTGCAGACTATATTTTATCTCCAGTGTTAATAACATGAGAGCAGTCCTCACACTCCACTGTTGAAAACAACTGTTCAACAGCGCTTTTATTAAAACTTAAGACTGACTGTGAAGAGTGCTGAGGCCTGGCATTATACCCAGTTTGCGTGGCTGAGCCACTGAGAGGACTCGGCTTGGACATCTTGTTTGTGTCTCTGCTTACAGTAAAGGAGACAGAAGTGAGGGGTGTGGACAACCTTTGTTTTCTGTATAACGTCTGTTTTGGAAGTGTGGCTGATGCTCATGTTAATCACCGCCTTACCTGTGACCCTTTGGAAGAAGGAAATGACTCATCTCTACACTTCCTGCTTACAGTATTAAAGGCGTGATGGAGGCTACAGCAGGAAAGTCTTGCCTAGGTGGATTCTTCTAAAGTGAGAGAGTTGACTTTCCTGGAAACACAGGAGCCACAAGAACTGGCAGAATTGAGATAGTTCCTTTAGTTTTGCATTTCTCCCAATTCTTCAGGCAACTTGCGTACCGTTAACACCTCACCAATCTTAATCCTTGTCCCAGACTGAGAAGTAGACGACACACCCTGAAACCTGGGGCCGACGTGGGGAAGGCTGCGTGCTAGAACCCCAGGGGGCCCACTCAGACCTCTCTGAGATGCTTGATAGTGTCCTCCATGCAGTAAACTGAGGAAACAGAAAGCAGGAGTGCCCATCCCTGTGGACACTGACAGTAGGAAAATGACTGCAAAAGAGGAGGCGTGGAACCAAAGGGCAGGCACAAAGGCACTGTCCAGTGTGGGGACAGATAGGGCCTCACCCCTTCCTGACATCAGCCCATCGCAAACTACACCGCAAGTAAGGTCAGCCCAAAGTAAAGGGTTTGAAATACTTATGGGCCCAGCTGGATAACAGGTCAGAAACCAAATGTTTCATTTCACTGTTAATTACAACTAAAGGTCTCTATTAAATATTTGACAGCTGCAGTCATCAAAAAAATAATAAATAAAAAATAAAAAAGGTCGCTGCTCATGGCTGTGAGCCACACAGGAGCAGGACCATGAGATCCAGAGCCCTGTATCCCCCAAGACTGCAAAGCACTGCGTGAGATGCATAATCTATTTCAAGGGAATTTCATCCAGAAGTCTTAACGCTTTGCATGATGAATGCTTTAGCAGTAAACCCTCAGGGAAACAGAAATTTTGGTGTGAAAACACATAGTCTGTTCAGGTTTCAGAGTGGACAACTTTGGTTCCAAACTCAGGCAGCCTGTTCCCACCTCAAGCGCCTGAGTCACTGAGATAAGAGGAGAGAGGAGAGAGAGGAGCACAGTGACCTGCGAGATGGGTTTTACACAGTTACTAGTGATCTTCTGTGAAAATGAAGTGAAATAAACAATGCCATTTGTTTAAAAGGTATTATTAAATAAAAAACACTATGTTTAGGTCTCCAGCTACACATGTGCCTCCGCTCAGTCTGTAAGCCTCGCCTTTCTCATGAGGCTCAGTTTTGACATAAGAAATGCGGTTGTGTATACCATCAGAAAATGATGTGGGAACTTTTAGAAATCTTGGATTAAACTTTGTAATGAATAAAGCAGGTAGATGTGAGCCACCTCAATCCATCAGACGGAGCCCAGGCGGCCCTGTGTTGCAGGTGAGGCTTGCTGGCTGACCTGGCACGTGGGCCAGGTCATAACCTGTGCTGGATGTTTCTTTCCCAGCTCGTCCTTCCTGACTAGGGCCTGTCTCACAAGCCACTGAGGATTAAAGGCACACATGGAGGCTACCAAACAGAGCCACACTCAACGGCTGAAAGGGGTTCCTTCCTCTGTGACACACTGGGGACCAGCCTAGCACTCAGCAAACATCCACGGAGACACAGCCACTGTTCTAAGCAGCCCGGAAAGTAATGCATATTTCTCAAGCCCACTTGCAGACTGGAATTACCCACGGAGTTGCACAAACACACAGGCTGTGTCCAGGCTTAGCCCTGGACGTTAAGATTTCTCTGGCCTGGAGCAAGGCCTGGATCCAGTACTGTCAAAGTCCTGGCCCGCTTCTGAAGTACAGCGAGGTGGAGAGCTTCTGTTCTAGTGGGTGAAAGAGCTAACTGAGTCAGAGATGTCTAGGGCCTGGCTGCCCACTGCAGAATCCCCTGGGCACACACATCTTGCCAGTTTCAGACACTAGGGCTGCAAGGTGCCTTTGGTGACAAGCGGGTCACCTCAACCCCAACTCATTTCTGCTTTTGGTAGTGCCTGCTCCTCATCTGCTTGTTCTTGATGACCCAATCCTCATTTTGTGTAACTGATTCCTTCTGCAGACCCTGCCCAGTGCCCAGCTTCTCCTGCTCACTGCCCTGTTTTCTGGTAAGAATGCCCGCAACCCTCACTGGCCGCTGGCTGCCCACATCATCTCCTCTGTCTCCATCTGATCCCGCTCACCTGGCCTCCTGTCCCGCCTCGGCTGAGGGAATCAGCCACAGATGCTGTTTTTAAAATATCAAATACCAGGAAAAGAATTTTTTTTAGGTACCAACAAATCCACACTAACCATGTTTAGCCTATTCCTTAGCTAAAGGATTCCACAGGAAAGCATGGCATAATCTGTGAGTATCCAGAGCCCGTCACCAGCCCAGTTAGACTCGGTGGCAGTGGCTGGGCTATGGACAGCTGCTTGCCTATTTTTTGACTTTAAAAGGAGACCAGTGAGCCTACCAAAGCCCTGGATTAGGCTAAGGTTTCTCTAGAATTCAGTTTCACTTGAGCTATCTGTTAGATGAGTGGTTTGCTGTTACATGATAAGCTTTGTTTTCTACCTGAAATTTTAATAACCTGTCCCCAAAGAGGCTGTTTTTCTGAAATAGCCATCCAAGTCTCACATCCCAGATCTTGAAATGGGTATAACATGCCTTCCCTCTCCCTGCCCTGTCTCTTCTCACACAAAACAAGTGTGTGGGAAGTCACCAGGCCGGTATTTAATGAAATGAATGGGCCCAGGCAGCTTTAGATATTGCAGGTTTTTACGGGGGTCTGGGGTATGGCGCTGACTCTGGAGATCGCCTGCACTTTTGTAAGGCCACTTTTGTCAGTCTCGAGCCTATGAACCAGTTATAAAAGAAACCAAATGCAATTACTAAAGAAATAGGAAAGGGCACAGAGTTCCCCAGGACCTCAGCAGGGGCCCCATATCCCAGTTTAGGGCCTCTTTGGCTATGTGGATATTTTATAAATGTCATCACCCCATCACTCTGATGCTTCCACTGGGTGGCAAACCCCACGTGTGGACCAGTGCCACCTTACTCCCAGGCCCAGGCAGCACCTGGCATGCAGTAAGAGCTCCAGAAACACATGTTGCAACAGTGAAGGTGCCTCTTGCCCATGCAATGGGTTCAAATGTCACTGGAGCATCGGTGCTCCTACATGGGGAGCTCCTGCTCAGCCATGAGCCAGCGTCTCTTGCACAGGTTAACACGGAGCTAAGTGTGTGCATGGCCATAGCTGTTACTCCAGGAAGGGGACAGCCCCAAAATAACTTTGGGAGCTCAAGTCCCATCTGTGAAACTAAACTTTAATCCAGGTGGTTGCGAGGAGACTTTCTCTGGTGGCATGATTTCCCAAGGGCTGGCTTGGTTAGTGTCATGCCTGGCCATTGGCCATCCTAGGACTACGGTGAGAAAACAAGAAGCTGACCTGAGCTGTCTTTGGTCAATCCACTGGATGCTAGTGGCCCTGGGGTGCTCTGGTTTGCCTGTGACTAGTGTAAGGGGTCACCCCACAGTGGTGTGTTTTTATGAGGGTGGATACGTACCTGGGTCCCTGCACATGCCTCAATACCCACACAGCTGGCAGTGAAAGGGCCTGACTCCTATAGGAGCCTTTGATCTGGTGTATCTGTTCCTAGCGATTTTTCAATTCCTCCTGGGATTTTACGAAGGTTACAAATCTGCCTCCAACCCCCGCCACACTCATGTAAGGGTCACTTTTGTCTAAAACTAGTTGAAGAAAAGCTGAAGACAATTATGAAAAGGATAGGAAAAGGGGAGAGAGTGCCCCAAAGGGAGGACTTGAGCTTAGATTTTTCAAATGAAAGGTAGTAAAAATAGAGTTTCCAGATGTTCACTTTCTTTTCTCATCAAGAAAATAATTGCATTATGGATCTGCTCTGTTTATTTCAGTTCTGATGGTAGGGACGGCCTTGGACTAGAATGACTATGAACCGAGAAATCTCTGGTTAACGTTTTGACTCTGCTCTGTTTCCAGTGCTGTCTCTCACGTAACTGTAATGAACTGAGATATATAACTTTAAATCCTCTAGAGTGAGTGAAGAGAGCTATTATTCTGTAAGGCTCTGCAGCTCTGCAGGCAGTGCACACTCTCAGCTTTGTTCCCTGATGAAGGCGAGGCTGTGTTCTCTGCTCTCAGCTCTGTGGTCCATTCAGGCAGCACCCCTGTTAGCTTAACCCGGGGTCGGGGAACTATAGCCCGTGGGTGGGGTCTGTTCTATTGCCTTTTTTGGTCTGGCTCACAAACTAAGGCTGGTTTTTACATTTCTAAGCAGTTGAAAAAAAAATCAAAAGAAGATGAATATTTCAAGACTTGGTAAACTTAGGTAGAAATCAAACTTTACAGTGCATATAAAACACAGCATGTGGTATGTGCACCTAACACACATGATGAAGGTGAACTGGAACACAGTTGTGCCTGCCATTTATCTGTCATCTGTGGTCTCATTCATGCCATGGCTAAGCTGAGTAGTTGTGAACTGGACATGCTGCTCTAAATTCAGGAGCCTTTGCTATCTTCCCTTCAAAGAAGGTTTGCTACCCCTGCTTAGCTTCACAGTTACAGGCAGAGATGTCCTGCATTTCTTTAAACACGGTGCCTGCGAATTGGGTTACTCCAGCCTCCTCTGTGATTAGAAGATCTCAAGGGGTGTGACAGCCAGGACATAATAGGAACAACTTCCCAGGGGTGTATGCTTGGCAGAAATGGCTTAGGAAGCACAGTTTGACCCAGAATTTCCCTGCTTTTAGGTTTGAGCAAGAGTAGCCCTGATCACCTCACACCTGGCACATCCCTGTTCCAGGGGCCTGTAAAGCGGTAATCGCTTGTCATGTGCTAAGGTCACACTTATCAGTGACTTAGTGGGCATGAACTGGTGACTTTGACAACCAGGAAAAGCATAGAAAGATAGGGTAACTGTGCTTTCAGCATCTTACCTGGAGGAGATGCATCCTGCATGTGGGTGTATGTGTGTGTATCCACGGAGGGCTGAACCCAGGGCCTCATGCGTAGCAGGCAAGCACTGCACCCCTGAGCTGCATCCCCATCCTGAGCTGAATCTCTGGAAAGAGGTAAATGCCCACCTGGTCGGGTTTCTGCCACTACAGGGCCAGCGAGATCAGATGGCTTCCCGACGCCTGCCTGGTTGATGGCTCGGACCCGGAACACGTAGCTGACGCCCTCCTGGAGGCCTTGCACCTGGAAGAAGCAAGTACAGAAGCAATAGGTGTCTTAGGTCACTTCTGCAGAGGCGCTCATCCTATGTTGTAACAGTGGAGTACACGGCACTGAGGGAAAGGCTTCAGGCTGCCTTCCCTGCGGACCTAGGCAAGGCATTCCTAGACCTCTTCCAGCTCAGACATGCTGCTTTTCTAAGACTGCGGGGCGGCCTCTGATGTCAGAGTCAGAGACCATGCACACACACTGTAGAGGAGCCAGGTGCCTCCTCTTTGGACAAAATGCAAAGTGTTCGCAACAGCACACAGGCTGCCCGCCCCCCAAGCAGCCCTGACCCCTTTGAGATGATCCAAGAATTTCACACAAAATTCTTAGCAAGAGAGAACTAAAAGCCTGGGTCGCAGACATTACATTTGCTGAAATTCATGTTCAAAGCACTAGAGTAACAACAGAAATTCTTCCTATAAATTTCATGTTAATATTTCTTATCAAACATCAGTTAACCTCATTGTGAGTTTAAGTAATTTGTAAATAGTCATAGTCTACTGAAATTCTGAACCTTCGAGTTTTTACAAATTAAGAATATTTTTGCTGAGGACGTATGTCACAATTTTTTGTGGCTTTCTTTAGATTCAGTGCTGCATTTACAATCTATTTGCTGTTTGTTAGTCCCACTTCATAGCATTTTATGACTTTGTTTGGGTTCCTCACTGTCCCATTACTGTTATTTCAAGTACTAACATATGTTCATATTTTATCAAAAACTATCTTTTAATTTTAAAATGTGTGATTTGTAATAACTATTTTAAGAAGGAATTTATTACACAAAGTATAATTTTTCCCTGACTCTATGATGAAAATCGATACCACAAGTTGGATTTAAGTCAAACACTTGTTCAACTAAGCAAAGTGTTTGCGACTTTGCATTTAAACAAGTTGTACCTTAAACGGTTAAGTTTTTAATCCATTTATTCGTATTTGTATAGTATTGATGATGACAAAATCTCACTAGGTAGCTGTAGTTTTCACTGAATTAGGGATTTTAGAGATGAACATCAGTCTGTAAATAAACTGGCACTTAGGCACAGGCACGGGCACGGAATTTGAAATATTTAAAGTTCTGTGTTAAGAAATAAAGTTGGGAAGCTTCGGGGTGCTAAGAGGAGGAGCCACATTTCCTTGCTGTGATAAAAGTGCACATACAGGTGGCCAGGTGCAGGGCACGCCTACCCCTGCCCAGAGGTGAAGGGAGCAGGAAAGGAGGATGAGGGGTGCCATGTCCTGGGGTCGCGTGGCTGTGTGACCGGCTCAGCTACACAGGTGTCAGCAGGGCCCGGGACCAGGACCTGAGCAGCACCAGCAATACGCGGTGTGCCTGTGTCTCTCTTCTGACCTTGTGCTCCTTTCTCTGTGACTCAGCATTTGCTCGCCTCTCCCTCTGGTCCCTCACCCCTTCCATCTACTCCCTTCTGGCCACCCTGGCCACTGGGCTGTGATGACCAATGGAAAGAAAGCGAGGCAGCATGAACTAGGGTTCCACTGCAGTAAAGCGATGATGACTGCTGAGTGACTGGCCAGTGGTCACATTCCCGGAGCGTTTCCGAGGTTCTGCAGGGGATTTGTGGTCTTCAGGTGCTCCCCAACAGCAGGGATATGTGCGTGACACCAGTCAGAGTCAGCAACTGCAGTCCTGCCTGAGCTAGCGCCTGGCTCTGCACACCAGAGACAGCCTTGGCGAGGGCGAGGCGGAGGTCACCACCTAACGGGGCCCAGGACAGGAATCCCCGAGAGCTCAGGGAAAGCAGGTGGGTCAAGGACACTCCCAGGTGCCCACAGTGACAGTGGACTGTGTGACCATCATATGCTCAGCACCCCTGAGCAAAAGCCACCCTGAAAGCATTGGAGGTGGAGGAGAAGGTGGCTTTGGGGGGGGGGAAGAGGCAGTGACATCTGAGCTGGAAGGGGAAGCTGATGGGAGGAGGGAAAGGAGAGGGAGGAGGACCCGGCCAGTGTTTTTCAGAGCCAGGCAGGGAGCTCAGGTTAAACATCACTGCTGCTGCAGCATCAGGAAAAACCCCAGCCCAGACGCTGCTGCCTGGGATGGATCCCACCAGGAGCCCAGGGAGTGGAACAGGCCAAAGCACAGGCACTGTTTCTATCTTGTCAGGTGTTTGTTTTGAGATACAGAGCAGGGTGGCACCTGCTCTGTAGTCAGGCAGGCCTTGAACTCACTATGTAACCCAGGCTGGCCTTGAATTTTCAGAAATCTTCCTGCCTCAGCCTCTAGAGCACCAGGATTAAAGGTGTGCAGCCACCATACCTGGCCTGTCTTGCCAGTTCTAAAACCAGTATCAGTTTCCCTTTTAGATAGAACCAGAAAGCACACTGAGACCTACCTTCAGGTACGTGTGTTCAATGGCGGTCTCATTGAGTCCTCGCCACTGGTCCTCTTTAGCACTGGCCTCCTTCAGGTCCAGAAAGTAGCCAGTGACTGGAGTCCGCCCCGAGTAGAGAGGGGGCTTCCACTGCAGAACCAGGGAGTTCTTCCTGACCTCGCTGTACCTGAGACTGTGCGGTGGACCTGGGCAGGACAGCAGGAGGCAGCAGGAGAGGGCAGTGAGTGGAAAGGGAAGCCAGGGCCACAGGAAGGTCCCAGCGGGCTTTCCCTCCAGTGTTCCATGAAAAGGGGTGTCTGTGTGTCCCCACCACCATGTTGCCTCAGCTTCCCAAGTCCTGTCTCAGGGGCAGGTGGGGACGGGTGTGCCAGGCACCCACCGGGCCGGCTTGCAGCTTCCCAGGCTGGGCCTGGACCTGCATGGCGACCTCTTACCAACACAGGCAGCCTCCGACTCTGCTTCCCATTTTTGCTGCATGACAACTTAAAACCTCCCCTCCATCTCAAACCGTGGAAGAAAGCAACTCCCTTGGACCTGCGTCTGAGAACAGACGGCAGCAGCTCTTTCTGGGGAGACAGGGTGCCGCCCTCCACGCCACACATCCCAGGAATGGTAAAAGGTAAGAGTGACAGCGTATGGCTTGCAAACACTTTTCATCACAGTAAACGCCACAGCCCAAGGGTCCATGGGCCCTGGATCTCCGTGAAATAACACCACACTTTCCACTCCGTGATCCCATTTGTCCTTAAGAAACCAATAGAAAGCTCTCAGCAGGTGAGCAGCTTTCCCTCCAAAGGGGGCAAAACCGCACCCCCGCCTGCTCTGCATTCTCGGGCGTGTTGGGATGCCTGTGTGACTGTCATCCGCTCTGTGTGACCGCGTGACTGTCAGCTGCTCCTCAGGTGATATGCTCATTTTCTTCTTTCCTTTCTTCCTCCTCCACCTCGCCTTGTCCTCTTCCTTCTTCTCCCTCTTCTGCACCTGATTTCTACCCAACCAATCAAAGCCACCTGGGGTGACTCGAGGTGGCCTGAAAGCAACTCCTAACAGACTGAATCACTCTGTGATCTGGCCTTTTGCAATCCAAAGTTCAGTGTTGATTAGGTCATTTACTTTGGCTTGGTTTCAAATATGCATCACCTTTGTCTTCTGATGTCTTACATGGAAATGCATTTAATCTGAACAGGAAATGCCCTAGGACTACACCGGTGTGGTGTGTTCTGCCCGGCCGAGGGATTTCATGAGCATAATCTTGCGTCACACAGAGCCCCACGCAGACAGCACTGCCCCTTGGCCCGCAGGAAGGACTGGGTCCTGCCGTGCTCCAGCGTCTCCCTTGTTTCCAGTGCTAGCCGTGCCCCTTTGTGCCCTGCAGGGCACCATTTAACCTGAAGCTTGGCTTCCTCTGAGTTCAAGGAAAGGAGCGTGCACCGGCTGCTCGGTCTTGTGTGAGCTCCATGCAGCGCAGGGTGGGAGGCCAGGCTGGGTCAGAGGCGCCAGCTCTCGGGAGGACTCTGCTCCATTACACTCACTGCCACTTTCTGTAAACTGGACATATCGCTCTCTGTTGAGATCCTTTCCACAGCCTGCTCAGTTTCCTCACCTGGTCTCTCACAGCTCCCTTTACCCGGAAATGCCAAGCGTGTGAGCACAAAGCCACCTGTGTGCAGGCGGTGGCAAGGCCTTTCCCAGGGGTGCCCAGGCAGGAGGGGGGTGCCAGTCTCCCTGTGCCCTCGGCCTCTGTGTTTGTCCTAGGATGTTGTCAGTCACACTCAGCACACAGGTGGCCCAGATAGGTGCTCCCTGGGTGCAAGCAACATGCGGCTCCTCATGGGCCCAGGGCTTCTCCCAGAGGACAGGGTGGCACCAGGCAGGACTGTGTTCCCCAGGAGCTAAGGTGCCAACGGCAGGGCCACACCTGCCACTGTCAAACCCTGGTGGACAGCTGCACCTGTGTCACTCAGGATGCTCAGGCTACTTGAGTCTGTAAAGTCTGGTCCACTGGGAGAGAAGTCATCCAGCAGTCATGGGAGCACTGCTAGTTTGAATCTGAAGCAGCTTAGTAAATTTGTTCACACTCAACTTTTACATTTGTTTTATAGCTCTGTAACAACGTGAAGCCTAGAAAAGCTTTCTGCCTACTTCCCATTTTATTTCCTGCCCACCCAACCATCTTCCAGGAGGAACTCCAAAGGTGCGGAGATTTTTCTTGCAGAGCAGGGTTTAGGAAACATGGAGGGGGACGGGAAGCAGAGGCAGAGGGAGGTTAGAGGGAGCTGGGAATGTCAGAGAGACAGAAGTGCAGAGAGAGAGAGAGAGAGAGAGAGAGAGAGAGAGAGAGAGAGAGAGAGAGAGAATATGCCAGTGGAGAGAAGCCAGGCTTCAGGACTCAGGCGGCTGTGCCTCATCCCTCTGTGTAACATAACCAAGAGCTGGGAGGAGGAGGGGAAGCCCCAGGGCTGGTTTGGAGGAGGTGGTTTGGGGTGGACAGATGAGAGGCCCCACAGCAAGGGGAGAATGCGCCCAGGAATGCAGGACATGGGGAGAAATTCCGCCATGGGATGTGAACTGGATGCCCTTTGATGGCCCTTAAGAAGCAAAAGCAAAGAGTAGACTCCTTTCCAAAGCTCAATGAGCTCTCCAACCAGGTGTTTCTGCCAGCCCCAGCCCTGGCAGGGTCGGATCTCGAACTCTGGAATTTATTTGGAACACGACTGCAAGGGCTTAATTCGTAGCTTCCTATCGCTGTCCTTTAGAGCTATCACAAGAACATTCTAGGTGTGCAGTAAAGGACCGAGAGAATTCCTTTCTCTAAGTGGAGCCAGGAAGGGCTTCATTCCAGCTGCAAGGGTGGTGCTGTGGGAGCCCCCAGCCCAGCAGGCGGCCGCCCCCACTCACCGGGCACGGCGATGGTCCACTCCTCGCACTTGAAACTCTGGCTCACGGCCGATGGCGCCCCCAGGCCGGCGAGGTTCATAGCAGCCACTTGGAATTGGTACACCACGTTTTCCTTCAGGTTGCTGATCTGCAGGCGGGGAATGTTACAGGTGTGCTTCCAGCCACTAACGTCATGGCTTTGCCTCCTGCGGGACAGAGCTTCCATAACGGCTTCCCTGCATGCGGGAATGGCACTGGAACAGCAGCTGTGACCCAGCCACTCCACACGGATGTGATAGATTAAGCTCTCAGTTGGGTGGTTTGGGGTTCATTGCCAAGGAGACTATCCTGGATGAACCTGACTACTCAGGTAAGAACTCTTGAAATGCAACTTGGGCCCTTCCTGGAGACAGTCGTGGCCTCAGGCCTTGGAGAGACAAGATCGTGTCTCACACGACCATGCCACTCGCATGGGGAAAGGCAGCAGCCTTCGCCCTCCAGAGGCAAGGAACTGAGCTTTGCTGACAAGCTCAAGATGCTCAGAAGAGCTCCACTTGGCATGAGGGAGCGGCCCCACTGACACCAGACCACATCCTCGTGAGAGGGGGGCAGAGGGCCTGTGGCTGTGCCCAGATCCTGATGCATGGATGCTGTGACAGGACAGCCATGGGTCCCTCTGAGTCACATGGTTCACGGTAACTCGCTTTGCATCGAGTTTGCACACACAGGAAAAATGCATGCTAAGCTAGCATTAAAATATTACAGTTCTTACAACGTTGCTCGTTATCTACATTTCCTCTATTCCTCAGAAGGAGCTTGACTGTGAGGGTAAATACACATGATAAAATAATGAATGGAAATGTCTGTGAAATAGAAATGATGGGATACATTACTGTGAAAAAGTTAGTGGCAGCAGTAAACTATAGGACATGCAAAATAGGACCCCGGAGAAAAGGGAACTGCAGCAAGAAAAGGAAAGAAGGGGTGCATGTACCAGAGCCATCGTACACAAGAGAAGACAGAAGCTGTAAACCGACAGCTGACGGAATGACACAGTCTCCCTGCAGAGAGGCAGAAGGATGGGGAAAGAGAAAGCGATCCACACATCAAACACAGACCTGATGAGAGTCTGAGAGGCGGGGAGACAGGCTGGGGAGTAACCATGCTGTGGGCAAAGATCTTCTAATTATCCTGGAAAAGTTCACCCACACACATTGAGGAATTCTTCTTCCTCAAATTAAAGGCACAGTTTTTTTTTTTTTTTAAACTGACACCTAGACAGATAATACCTTAACTGGAGCACATCAAAGGTAATATGAACATATTAAAAGTTATCTACGGTAAAAAGAGGAATTTCGGTCTTGTGAGCAAGCAGACTGAGTTGGCAGCCCTGGCAGCCGTGAAGCGCAAGGTGATGGAGCTGTGTATTTGAAGCACCAAGAGAAAACAGCTACCATTCTGGGTTTGTTTGCTTGTTTTTTACCCAGAAGAAGTATTTTTTGGAGGATGAGGAAAAGGTCATGTTTTCAGACAAACAAAAAAGAAGACCATTTGCTCTCAGAATACCTTCACTAAAAGAAACTCTAAAATATTTAAGGCAAACAGAAACTCTAAAGTATTTAATTTCAACTAGAAGGTTAAAGATGAAGAATTAAAGCCAAATAAAATGGTTAGTGTATAGGTAAATCTAAACAAATATTGTCGCTATAAAACAATAACCATGACACTGCTTATTAAAAAGAATCCAAGAGACACATACATGAACCATAGCAGTGGAAAGAGGGCAAGTGGATCATTCAAGGGCTTTTCCAGTTCTGAGACAAGGGTAAAACCGACGGATGACATTAGCTCCTAGGTTTCCTCAGCCACTGAAACCAAACAAAGCAAGAATCGCAGAATCTATAGCTTTTATGATACTGTAAGGGTAAATAGAATGATTTTTAAAAACTTTTCAGAAATAAGAAAGGACAAAAAATAAACATAGAAGAGGGAGAATAAACATAAAGTACAAAATTCAGCTGAGTGTGGTGGCGTATGCCTGTGATCCCCGGTACAGGCAGGCGCAAGACTGGAACATTGCAGGTTCAAGGCTGAACTGGGAACTTAGACCCTGTCTTAAGATACAAAAATTTTAAAAGATGTGGGTGTAGGTCAATACTAAGATTTAGGATTCAATCTCCAGTATCACAAAATAAAGTGATTTTAAAAAAAATTCAGCCAGGCGTGGCAGCTCACACCTGTAATCCCAGCACTTGAGAAGCTGAGGCAGAAGGAGTGTGATAAATTCAATACCAGCCTCAGCTACAAAGTGAGCTCAAGGCCAGCCTGAACTGCATAGTGAGACCCTGTTTTAAAAAGACAAAAAAAAAAAATCCATAGAAAATTAAATTTTCCCAAATGACAAAAACTGTCAGGTCAGAAAAAGAAACATAATTCTATGCTATTTTATATTATTATTATTATTATTAACAATATTCTCTTGGTACTATGGATCAAACTCATGACCTTGCACTTGCCAGACAGGTGATTATGCCACTGAGCTAAATCCTTGGCCCCTCTATGCTATTTTAAAGACACATATAAAATACTGAATTTATAGAAAGATTGAAAGTTAGAAACATTACATTCCATGCAAACACCTACCAAAAGAAACCAGTATATCTGTATCAGTAACAAAATAAAGATTTTAAGTCAAAAATGTTCTGTCAGGAATAGTCACTTTGTATACATTTATAAAATCACTTCAAATACAAATGGTGACTCTGTGTGCTTGTGTGCCTGTGTGTGTGTGGGTGTGTGTGTATGTTACTCGGAATTGAAACCAGGACCTTCACACTGAGTTACATCCCCCCTCCCCGCCTTTTTTTTGAGAAAAGATCTCTCTAAATGACAAGGTCTCTCCAAGTTTCCCGGGCTGGGCTTGAGCTTGCCATCCTCCTGCCTCAGCCTCTTACGGTGCTGAGATTAGAGGCGTGAGCCACTTTGCCTGAGCAACATTTTAAGCAAGAGAATTTTGTGATATGTCAAATGTGTCTCAAAAAGTGAGATTATCCTGCAGTTTTCCCTTCCTATGTTATCCTCATCAGATGTTAGTATCAAACTAATTCTAGCCTCAGAATAATCTCACTTATAAACATAGAAGCAAAAGCCTGGATGATGGTCAGCTGCAAAACCCAGGTATGTATCAAACAGTATTCCAGGATGTATCTATCCTATGAAACATCTAAATTGGGTGTACACCAGGAATGCAAGTTTGTTTTAATGTTAGACTATTGCTAGAATATACCACATTAAAATTAAAGGAAAAATCATATAATTATTTAATATACTCAGGAAAAATTTTTAATAATTTAAATTCACTCCTGATAAACTGGGCATAGATGGAAACTTCCTTTAACAGGTGTTACTGTCCCCAAAACACCTATAGCCAACATAACACCTAAAGGTGAAATGTGAGAGAGTTTTTCCTTTAAGATAACGATCAAGTCTAGAATAACCAACTTTACCATTTCAATCCAGCATTCATTGTACTAAAGGTTTGAGGTGAAAAACAAGGTGAGAAAATGAAGTAAGAAGATATAAAATTTGGAAATGAAGACATGAACTGTCTTTATTTGCAGATGATATGACTGTAGAGAGAGAAACCCAAAAGAATTTGTAAGTAATTTATTAAAGTTGTAGGAAAATTTAGCAAAAAAATAAATATATGGTAAATGCATACAAAATCAATATATAAAATTAGTTATATTTTCCTATAACAACAACAGAACACTGTGGTAAATCATACCATTTACTATACTCGAAATGTATAGTATTTTTATAAATAAATAACAGATGACGTGCAAACTTCTGTAGTGAATAAGAAAACTTCCATGAGAGATTTTAAAGGTGAAAATAAATGGAGAGAAATATTCAGGTTCATGTATTAGGAGGATATTTATTTATTTTCTGGGACAAGCTCAATGTGCAGTTTGGGCTGGCCTCAAACTCCCAGCGATCCTCCTGCCTCTGCCTCCCGAGTGCGGGGATTCTAGGTGGGAAACACTTTGCCCTGCTAAAACTGACTTCACAACTGTCCTCTTGTTCATAATTGGTTCAGGTGGAAAGTTTCCAATGACAGTTGTGTTGTTTTCAGCATATCTTACAGTTAGAAGCCAGGTAAATGGGCAGAACTTCTCAGCAGGTGAACTGTAAAGGAGGACCTCAAGGTGGGTAATCTGTGTGAGCAAAGATGCTCAAACTCACTTGACACCTAGACTGTCGAATCCAAGAACATGTGACTATGCCAAGGGCTGGCCAGAACACAGAGCAATGGGAAATCACACCTCAAGAAAAATAAGCAGACCCGCTGACCCAGTTATTTGATTTTGGTAATAACCTGGAGAGACTGGTGCATACCTATGCCTGTAGCTGCGTAAAAAAGTGCTCATAGCTATATTCTTCGGGTGGCTAAAAGCACAAAAACGCCCACTTAGCACTCAATAATAGGATGAGAAGTATACTGAGATACAGTCACATGCAGGAATACTATACGGTGAAGAAGAAGAACGAGCCAACATGGAAGAGTCTTACGGTTACAGTTTTATGTTCTCCTAGTTTGCATGATAGTTCATGAATTCCAACTGTCAAATTAAAAGACTGTGGCTTTACATTGAGGGAGACACCATTCCCAGGTCCTGCCCTGCCTGGAACCCTCTCGGGGAGGAGTTTTGTGAGATCTAGGACACACAGAGAGCCACACACTCACCTGCAGGACCATCTACCCGTGGCAGCCCCACTCACCTTGTAGGCCTCCTCGCTGACCGCCTTGATGTTGGCTTCTCTCCAGGGCCCTGGTTTCCCATCGGTCACCTCTCGGTAATTCACATAGTAGCCAGTGATTTCTGCCCCTCCGCTGTTATCCGGCTGCTTCCATCCAAGAACCATCGAGTCACGAAAGCTTTCAAGACAAGTGATGTCATAGGGTGGAGACGGCGCGGCTGTCGTGATACAAGCAGATGGTGAGTGAGGGAGAAGTGGCTGTGTGAGTCCACACACATAGCCTGATGGGCTGCTGGCAGGTGCAGGGCGCCAGCGCTCACGGCAGGAGATCAGAGCACGACAGTGGCCAGTGATGCTGCCTTCCACGTGGCACATGAGGACAAAGTGAACACGTGGCCACAGTGTGTGCTTTGTAATTATCATTGCAAAGATTAAAGACCAAAAATCTGCTGCAGGAAAATGGAGCAATATCGTGGGAAATGTTTGCTTTTTCCCCATAAGAAGAAATATTTCCTCAAGCCATAATTTTTGTTTCTGTGTTATTTTCTTTTCAGTTGCTTCCTGAGGGGAATGGAATGTGTGTATCAATTTGTGTCTCTTTACTTATTTGGAATTTCCACAAATTTGCAATGGTCATTAGTGCCCCCCCCAGCACACTTATGCTTACAAAACTTCTTACTGATACACATTCTGTCCATACTCAGGAAAAACAGCTTATTCTGGGGCTCAGCTCTTTAAGAGAATTTAAAAACCAAAGCACACTGACTTCCGCTTGGTTTATACCATTTAGTCACAGTATGTTTTAGTTGGTGCTGGATGTCATTCCTGTAGTGCAAAATACTATACACCTGGCACTGTATTCATTAGTGCCAAGCTAGAAAGAAACTTGGAAAGATATTTCAAAAGGCCTACATTTATGTGGCTTTGCTGATCAAATTTTCATTCAACTCCCGAAATGAGAGTTTTCAAAAGAAAAGATAGGGCGATGGAAAGAAATCTGTATGCAATGATATCAAAAAGAATTTTCTGAATGTTTATTTGGATTGGGAAATAAAGAGACAATCTCATTCTTATTCCAAAAGAAACTCAGGATAGTAAAAAAATTTTTTTTTAAATTTTTTTTTGCCTTTTTCATTTTTATCGGTACCAGGGATCGAACTCACGACGACTGCCTGCTTGCAAGGCAGGCACTTATGCCGCTGAGTTAAATCCCCAGCCCCCCAATTTTTTTTTAAATAAAATGCATTTGTTTCTTTCTTCTCCATTCTCTATGTTCAAAAAAAGCCTGCCCCTCCCTTTTCCTCCTTCACAGCGCTTATGAATGTGGATCTCAAGCCAACACCAGTGTCACCTGGAGTTGACGGGACAGGTGCCTACGTGCAGAGAAGCAGTCACAGAGTGGGGACGGGGCGGAGGAGGGACGGGCCCTGGGCGTTTGCACCCTTGTCAGCAGGAGCCCATCATTTCAGTTTCACACGGTAAGAGAAACACAGTCTGGGCTGCGTAAGCCACCAGAGCCCTGCGCAGCGTTCTTAGTTACTGAGAGCAACCTTCAGTGAACCCCGTCTGGAGGTGTGGGCTATCTCTCCCAGAACACAGCTCTGGGCAGTTCTAACACCCAGTTCGTGTTCATAGTGATGAGATGGTGATTTGAATGAAATGTGAAAATCACTTCAGACCTGGCTGAATGACGGAGGTCAGTGGCTGTGACCCTGATGCAGTGTCACCCCTTGGTGAGATCTCAGTCCTGCCGTACTGATCGCATGGCATTTCGAGGAGCCATACATGGGCCCCTTGACGTGTCCTCCCTGCCTCGCATCTCTGAGCCGCGCCAGGCTTGGGTGTCGTCTGGGGACTTGAACCCAAGTCCTCGAACCATTGAGGCATCGTTCAGCCCAGGGAGTGACGTGTTATAGCCAAACCCACACACAGTTACACAGACACTGACCCAGTAGGGGAGCCGAACCCAGGAAAATTCAGGACCGACATTGATGGAGGGGGACACGATGAAGGATGGAGACAGAGATGGAGATGGATGAAGAGTCAGACTTTCCCACTTCTCACCTACTGGGTCCTTCTTCTCTTTCAGGGGCTCAGACTGACTCTGCCCCTGGGGAGCCGCCTTCTGGGGCGCGGGGGTGAGCCCCTCCTGAACTGTGTCACTTACTTTACTCGCTTCTGTGTGGCCCAGGTCGTGAGACACGCGGGGAGGTGAAGGTTTGCTAAGTTTGCTATCGGGCAAAGCATCTTTCGGGCAGCTTTTCGGGGAGGCTCCATGCACAGCCCCCCTGGAGGCTGTTAGTCCGCCGGGAGCAGCAGGCAGGTCGGGCCACACATCCGGAGACACTGCGCCTCCTACAATCGCCAGACAACAACGGAGACACGTGAGCCACAGCGTGCAGAGCTCTGGGGACAATGGGTGGGAAACGAGGTACACGCTGGGCCCAGGCGCCCTGGTCTAACGGGATCGCTGGGCTTTATAAGAAACGGGAGACACATGCTTCCCAGAATTTACACCAGGAGATGCTGCAACTTCTCCATGGTCTGGAAAAAGGAGAAATGAGCACAAAGAAGCCACAGACAGAACAGGAAGTAGCTCACTCCGCAGAACCCAGAGAGGTTTTAGTTCACGCAAGAAAAAACAAACCTGACTTTCTTGAAAGAAATAAGCGCTGTTATTCAACAGAATTGGAAAATGAAACATGAAGAGCACAAGAGACAAAACATCAAAGATGCTGATTTTATGTACCGGAACCCCATTCATTACTGCACCCTCTCGCCCTCCCCTCCTTCCTTTCTTCCTTTCCTTCCCTTCCCCTTCCTCCTGCTCTCTCTCTCGTCTTCCTGTCTTGTGCTGGGGCCCAACCTCAGGGCCCCCCACACTAGCCAAGAGCTCTGCCCAGCCCTGAGCTACACACCCAGCTCAGCCTCCACCCTCCACTAGTTCAGTTCTGCTGCCCTGAGCTGCCTGGCTTCCTTCCCTACCTCCCCCCAGTTTTGGAGGCACGTCGTGCACACACACACACACTTATTTTACGACTGCCTTTATTCTGTGTGTTACTTTGCAAGCAGAGATGAAACACAGGCTTGAGCAAGCGTGTGCACCTTACATGGATGTTAGAGGGCTGCATGAGGAGCACGTTAAAGTGCTGTTAGTGAAGCCAGCCAAGCTGCACTGGAGATGAGCGGCTCATAGCTACGGATGGTCTGCGTGATGGTGCGGTACCATGTCACGGAGGTGGGATGGCCCTCCATGGTCCCCGGATGAGCACAGAGTTAGGGTGGAGTTTCACGGGATGGCAAGTGCCTGAGGAGACTCGGAATGGGGAAGTTGGAAGGGTGACAGGTGTATGGAATCTGGATAAGTGATGACAATCTGCAAAATGACAGCTATGGAAGGTTACGTGTCACTGAGAGCCAAAGAAAATGATCATTTAAGGATGGCATCATGGAGCAACAGGAGAATCCATAGGAGACCGTGCCATGGCCTCTTCCTTCCTCATGAGACACATTCTCCTGCCCCTCGCCAGGCTGTGCATCAGGAACTTACCGATCGCGGCTTTGACTTCGATTGCTTCTGAGTCCTGCGAATAATCGCTAAGCCCAGCCGCATTCACTGCTCTGACCCGGAAAATGTAGCTCTGACCCGTCACCAGTCCATGGCAAGTAAACCTGAGAGGGGAGAAAGTTTCAGGTCTTTCCTAGGAGGAAAGCTAGGGAGGTGATTGTCAGCTTAGCTGGCTACGTGACACTGATTCTTTTATCAAAAGGAAGAGAAGACATAAAGGGATTCAGGGAACATGCTCACGTTAGACAAGAAGGCAATTAAGTAATTTTTAAATTTCACTCTGTCAAAAAACGAGGAGTCCTAGATTTCCCCTGGCATTCATCATGGTGATAAGGATAACAACACATAAGAATGTTCACAGAGCCCCTATGAGCGACGGCTTCTCATCATGGCGGACCCTAGAGATAAGGCGCTTCAGGACTACCGCAAGAAGCTGCTGGAGCACAAGGAGATCGACGGCCGTCTGAAGGAGTTAAGGGAACAATTAAAAGAACTTACCAAGCAGTATGAAAAGTCTGAAAATGATCTGAAGGCCCTGCAAAGTGTTGGGCAGATTGTGGGTGAAGTGCTTAAACAATTAACTGAAGAAAAATTCATTGTTAAAGCTACGAATGGACCAAGATATGTTGTGGGTTGTCGTCGACAGCTTGACAAAAGCAAGCTGAAGCCAGGAACAAGAGTTGCTTTGGATATGACTACACTAACTATCATGAGATACTTGCCGAGAGAGGTGGATCCATTGGTTTACAACATGTCTCATGAGGACCCTGGGAATGTTTCTTACTCAGAGATTGGAGGGCTGTCAGAACAGATTCGAGAACTGAGAGAGGTAATAGAATTACCACTCACAAACCCAGAATTATTCCAGCGTGTGGGAATAATACCTCCAAAAGGCTGTTTGTTATATGGACCACCAGGCACAGGAAAAACACTCTTGGCACGAGCTGTTGCTAGCCAGCTGGACTGCAATTTCTTAAAGGTTGTATCTAGTTCTATTGTAGATAAGTACATTGGTGAAAGTGCCCGTTTGATTAGAGAAATGTTTAATTATGCAAGGGACCATCAGCCATGCATCATTTTTATGGATGAAATCGATGCTATTGGTGGTCGCCGGTTTTCTGAGGGTACTTCAGCTGACAGAGAGATCCAGAGAACTTTAATGGAGTTACTGAATCAGATGGATGGATTTGATACTCTGCATAGAGTTAAAATGATCATGGCTACAAACAGACCAGATACACTGGATCCTGCGTTGCTGCGTCCAGGAAGATTAGATAGAAAAATACATATTGATTTACCAAATGAACAAGCAAGATTAGATATATTGAAAATCCATGCAGGCCCCATTACAAAGCATGGCGAAATAGATTATGAAGCAATTGTGAAACTTTCAGATGGCTTTAATGGAGCAGACCTGAGAAATGTTTGTACTGAAGCAGGTATGTTTGCAATTCGTGCTGATCATGATTTTGTAGTTCAGGAAGACTTCATGAAAGCAGTTAGAAAAGTGGCTGATTCTAAGAAGCTAGAGTCGAAATTGGACTATAAACCTGTGTAATTTAATATAAGGTGTTTGACGGCTGCATGACAGACACTGACTAAATGTAAAAATAAAGTTAAGGAAAATAATGTGTGTATTGGCAGTGATCTCATTAAAACCAAATAAAATGTATGTGAATAACATCATAAAATTAGTATGTAATTCAGTAATTCAACTTTAAAATTGATACAGAAAAAATTTGTATGTTAATGTTGCATTATTGCAGCAGAAGTTATGAGTATTGAACTTTTCATATTTGCAATGTGAGCATTTTGTAAAACATTGAAAGTCATTTGAGATAGTATGAGAGCATTTCTTATGACTTATTTTATATCATTTGTTTTCCTCATCCTAAAACTGAATAAAACCTGTTTGATTTAGTGCTAAAAAAAAAAAAAAAAAAAAAAAAAAAAAGAATGTTCACAGAGAACTGCGTAATGTATATAAAATAATGTCACAGTGTCTGCATAGGCAAGGCCTCTAATCAGTTACAGGTGACATTAATACTATTCTTACTGGCTACTTCTGGGGTATGTACATGACCACAAGGCCCTGCTGCCCCACCACAGCTGCCTGCTGAGTGCCCCAGAAGCTACAGATAATTGAGAAATTATACTGGAATCTGAAAACTCTGAAAACAACTTCCTGGGATGGCTATTTTTGTTTTTTTGTTGATTTGTTTTTTGAGTCAGGGGGTTACTACGCTGTTTGGGCTGGCCTTAAACTCGCTTTGTAACCCAGGCTGGCCTTGAGCTCACAGCAATCCTCCTGCCTTGTCCTCCCAAGTGCTGGGATTACAGGCGTGTATCACCATGCCTGGTCTTGTGATGGCCGTTTTTTTTTTTTTTTTTTTTTTTTTATCGGTACTAGGGATTGAACTCACGACTGCCTGCTTGCAAGGCTTATGCCGCTGAGCTAAATCCCCAGCCTCCTACTGCTTTAACCTAAGGCTTCAGTCCTGAGGCGGAGGAATCCAGGACAATGTCACACGTAAATCAAGATTACTCTCAAATAGCTCTTTGGCTATAAACACCTGTGTCATGAGTCACCTGACATTCAAGCCTGTCCTCAGGACAGGCACCGAGGAAACCCAGGTGGCTAATGCCTCTGTCAGCTTGCTCAGACATTCAGTAGAGGACAGCATAACCCAGCCAGTTTTTTGGTCCTCAGTTCAGCCAGGATTCATCAAGTGCTCCAGTGCTGGAGACACCGAGCTGAGTGCTGTGGGCTTGGGGGTGAGTAACCTCGGAGCCTGCGTGTTGGCTGCTCCCGCCTGTACAGAGCCAGACTCGAGGCCTCATAGCCACACTGCTGAGAGCTGGGGAGCACACAGGAGTACCCGGAGTGGGAGGCAAGGCACGAAGAGACCTCGCTGTAAGAGCGAGTCTCATAATACACCAACTTCTGCCACGAGTCAGTTGTTTTCCCTCCTCTCATGCTCTGCAAAAGAACTCACCCATCCTAAAGGGGTCCTCAGGCCTAGGAGGGCCCACCAGGCCTGTCTGAGAGTTTCTGGGGGCCCCTTTCAGAGGGGTCCTTTCAAAGGAGGCTCGCATCTAGTACAGAATTTATTATATATGTAGATATAACATTCCTCACATGCAAAACAGATACAGTGAAGTGTTTCTGATAAGTCTTTGTTTTTCTGTTTGTTTTGGTACTGGGGATCGAACTCACAACTTTGTACTTGCCAGACAGGTGTTTGAGCTGCTGAACTAAATTCCCATCCTGCATTTTAGTGTTACTTTCTGTCTACTTAAGATTAGGCTTGATCATGTTGATGCTCAGAGTTTACAAAATGTCGGTGCTTTGTTTTTTGTCCATGTCAAATGCCTGGGTCTTTGGGTTGGGTAGAACTGGTCAGATCCTTTGCATCCAGCACCACATGGCACGTTAAAGACCAGAACCGAGGGGAAGAAAGAAAGAAATAGCGGAAAGAAACAGAATCACAGAAGACCTAGGAAACTAGCTGTACGCTAATTGCCATTTCTGGTTTCTGAGTGTTAACAAAGAAAGTTTCTCTTCCTGAAAAGTTTTCTACATGTTCAGTTTGAAATGCACTGGGATACTTAAAACACACCCGTGCATGTGTGGGCACCCGCACTATGGCCCAGGGCCCCTGCTGGGTTACCTTGTGCCCTTCACCGGGTTGTTGTTGCAGGGCTCCCACGTGCCGGAGCCGACCATGCTGGCCTCGATGTAGTACCCCACCAGCTCCTTGGCATCCGGGGGCTCCTCCCACGAAACCACCACCGAAGTATCTGTATTCCTGCTCGGGATGACTTTGCTGGGAGCCTGGGGGATGTCTGAATCAAGAGGAAAACAGTGACAAGGTAGCTTTAAGAGACTCAGCACACGTGCACCAACACACGTAGAAATTTTACACAAATAACCTTGTGAAACATCCAATTGTTTGATTTCACAATGTGTTTGTTAAAGCAGGAAGCACTGGAAGTGTTAGTGTGGGAGCATCATAGTAAACTGATGTCTGTGAGTTTCAGCAACACACACACATGCACATGTGCATACACAGACACACATACCTGGGGAAGTTTACTTTCTATGAGCAAAAATCAGCCTTACTTAATGGAGAGGCTAAGCACAGCTGCAGACTTCTAGTAGAAGCATGACCCCTTTAACCTCTGCGTACACACGCACTCACTAATGCAGCTCTTGCTCATAAAGTAAGTTCTCAGCCTCTCTGTCCAACGACACTCACCGAGTTTGTCCCCCACAACGGTCACCTCTGTGGCCTCTGAGGGCTCACCGACCCCAGCCGAGTTGGAGCAGCGCACGCGGAATTGGTAGGACTTGCCCTCGGCCAGATCGAACAGGGCAAAGCGAGGGGACTTCACGGGGAGCTCTGTGTTCACCCGCTGCCAGCTCTCTGTCCCCGCGTCACACTGCAAAGAGGACAGGGACACCCACTGAGCCCCAGCCCAGCACTGCCACTTCGGTGAGTGGGGCTGGAGGTGAGTAGGGCTGGCTTCCTTTAGGGCATGGAACACAATAGCAAGGAGCACAGAAAAGGGACCCATCCACAGTGTGAGTGTGGTGGGAGCTTGTGCAGCTGTGGTGGACGTCGGTAGCGAGATTCCACAGAACACTAACTCCGGGTCCACCGGACCCTGCCAGACCCCCCTGGGTATATCCCTGGAAGACCTCAGGCTGCGATGACGCATGCGTGCCCGTGTGCACACCAGCGCAGGTCACAGTGGATAAGCTCTCCCTCTCAGAGGACGAATGGCCAAAGAAAAGGTGGCAGACACACAGCATAAAACACTCCAGCCACAAGTGGAGTGGAGAGAGGCCACCTCACTGGCAGGACAATGACTTGTGACCATTCTGTTAATAAGTCAGGCACACACAGTAAAATACTGCATGGTTTTGCTTTAGAAGAAACATAATAAAATATAAATAAAGGAGTAAAATAGATAAAGAAACGATAGTAGGAAAAAGGGTTTTTCTGGGGCTGGGGGTGGGTATCGGTGGAGGGGAGTTAGGGAAGGGGTAAAACATTAGACAATGATCCGGATGTGTTATACGTGTGCACCAATTCCCCCAAGCAAACATAACTATGAGGTATTGCAAACATTCACTCATTTAAGAAAGTTTACTAATACATCACAGGCTCCATTGACTTGATACGGAGCTACGCCATGGTGGAAGGGATCCAAAGATGGAAGATTTGGTCCCAATTGTGTTAATAACTTGGAAAACCATGATGCTCTTGGTCTCAGTTTGTCAACTGTAAAACGGGTAAATTTAGCACACTAACCCTTAAAGGCTGGTGCAATGTCTCTAATGACCATGTGTCATTGTATGTGGGAGTTGCTTCCTTCTAAGGGAGAAAATCTTCCCAGACCTTTAATTTTTTCAGCTTTGATTCATCATGACTTATTTTACCCTGAGAGAATATGTAAACAATTGTTGGTCATTTATACTTTCATAAGAAAAATAATAGCTATCTTTTGCTGTGCTAAGAACACTGTAGGCCATTGTAACTTTGATCCTCTCTGCTACACCATGCAAGTTGCAAGAGAAGACTCAGGGTCAGGAGACTGAGAGACAGCCCGGTGTAGTACAGGTTAAGCATTCTTTACTCAAAATGCTAGGGAAAGGAAGTGCCTCCGAATTCACAATATTTTGCATTTTGGAAAATCTGCAGTTTTTACTTGTGGAACATCCCCAACCCAAAAGGCTGAAACGTGAAACATTTTGAGTGTCTCGTGGGCTCACAATTCTGCACTTTTGGATTAGGAATGCTTGGCCTATCGTCAGATTGTACAGATTCAAATCCAAGCAGCCTCATAGTTGCAGTAGAACCTCGGGCAAACCAGATGCCCTGGGTGGTGGACTGATGACTGGTCAACTTCAAACACCAGCTAAACTACATCAGCATCGTGTGTGTGTGGATGGTCCACGTGAGGATTGTTGCCAAGATAAAAAGAACTGGAGAGGAAGAGGTGTGCTGTTAGTTCTCCTGTTGCTATGGGTTCTCCTAGAGGAACCTGTCAAGCTTCTTTCCTGACATGAACTTGGCTATTTTCGTTGTCAGAGGAACTCTGGACCTTGTTGCCCTGAGAAGGGCTGTGGTTCACTTTGGGGGAGCTCTGGTCCTGACTTTGAACATCACTTCCCAGCTCTGGAGGGGAGGATGTCTCCAGGAGAAGCCTGTCATGCCGGCTTCCTGATATGAGCTTGGGATCTTGTTGTCACTGAGGACGGTAGTAATACTTTTCAGGGGAGCCTTGGTCCTTACTTTGAGCATTGCTTCTTGGCTCCAGTGCGGATCCCTCAGCTGCTGGCACAGATCTTTTGCCCCACAGGTCCAAACTTTGTAGTTTCCACTGCTAACCTCTGGGTTTCCCAGTGCGGATCCATGAAATAGACTTGCATGAATCCTTGTCGTGGGTTCTGGCTCCTCCTCGTGGGAGGCACTGTCATGGGCTCTGGGTCTTTGGTTGGATTCATGCAGGACATTGCCTTGGGATCCAAGCCTTTAGCTGGATTTTTGGGGTCTTTAGTGTGTGACAGATTTCCTGCACTTCTTGTATTCTTTGGGTGGCTATTATTAAATAATACTATAAATTATGTGCCCTGCATTGTCTTGTTCTTGTGGCAAACCCTGACAACAACGCCCTATAAATACTTTTGACATCCTCACTGGCCCAATAGGCACAACGAAAACCATGGTATGACCCTCATAGAGCTACCTTGGAAATTAGGTGGGTTAGGGTATGGGAAATAGCACCTGGTTCCTGCCAAGTACAGAAACGGGCTGAGAGCCATGCGGGTTTTGTCTCTAACTTGACCAGACATTTGCAAGGGAATGAGGGAAAGAGCTCAAGGCATCAGAGCCACAGGGGAAGGCATGGAACTGAAAAGATCACAGAGGATGGGGGCCCTGCACGCAACTGTTCACCCATCGGATTCCTGTAAGACCCCAATCCCGCCTTTTCAGGGATCGAAGATGTGGTGTCACTGGCAAGCGGGTTCCTGTTCTCTGCAGGTGAAGCCCAGGTGACAGGTGCTACGAAGCAATGCAGGCACAGACTCATCACGAGGAGGTGCCGGCCCTGGGGCTGGAGGGTCCTGGGTACCCTGTTCCCTAGGGGGAAGGTGTTCATAGAAACACCTCGCACCAGCTCAGGGTGCCTGAGCTGGTGCCTGTGGACCCCAGCTTCCTGCGTGTCCTGCAGCCCGAGCCTTGAGCCCTGGGTGTTCAGTGAGTCATTCAGGGACTGACCCCATAAGCCTCTCCCCGCCTCCTGCGTGGGGGGCTGCTGGGAGAGTATTTCAATCTCCCCTGCAGCTGCAGCTCGAAGGAACTCAAGTTTGGGGCGTGGAAGACTCTTGCAGAACCAACATGACAGGAAACCGTAATTACCCATCTCAGTGTCAGGAAGATGGTGATTACTGCCGGGTTATTCAGTGCTTCTCTCCGGGAGCCTTTACAGGGATGTACGGGACACCCTGGGAAGCCAGTGTTTATCTCTCTCTCTCTATTATTTCCCTCTAAAAGAAGAAAAAGTGTCTAGGGTGCTACTGCAGGTTGTGTGTGTATGTGTTGCCAATGTCTAGAAAACATAAAAATAGAAATATAAATGCTTAATATTATTTTCAGAAAACCAGACTCCATTGGCAGAGGTCCATCTTGCATGTGGAGGTGGTGCTGTATTTATTGTTACCAATTTCCCAGGGGTGAGAAAGAGGCGAGCTATGTAGCTCAGAGGTTGGGCTGACTGTCTATCACGAAGAAAAACCGATGAATGAAAGGAAATTGCCCAGCCTAGGGCTTCAGCCCCACTATAATTTCTCAAGAACCACTTATTGGGCTGGGGATTTAGCTCAGAGGCATAAGCACCTGTCTGGCAAGTGTGAGGTTTTGAGTTTGATCCCCAGCACCAAAAACAAACAAATAAACCAACCAAAAATCCCACTTATTTGAAATACACAAAGGGCCATAATGGTATTGTGTCTTATTTTGTGTTGTTACCTACATGGCAGGGCTTGGTACACCCTGTTATCCTAATGCATTTACCTTCTCAGATAACCGTCAAGGACCATGATCAAACACAGGTTCTGAAATGTATCGAAATAGCATTCCAGATAGAAAAGGGAAAATTAATTTAGCTCCGTATTTTTATAAAACAAAAAATCTCTTCTGTGTTTTTTTTTCTGTCTAAAATATAAAGACGTTTTTATGCTATCACAATTTTGTAGAATAAAATTTAAAAGTTCAAACACTGGTTTTACTTATTATTTTAAATATGGTGCCTCATCATCCATAAAAATGTAAATTTTTAAAATATAAGGTCAAAATTTTCTCAATTCTGCCCCAATCAATCTGTCTTTGTTCGCTTGTTCCCAGGACTGGGGTGAAAGCCCAGACTCACTTCTAACCACGCAAGCACTTTACCTCTGAGCTGCAGCCTGTTTACTCTGATCAAAGCTTTCTTAAAGCAAGGGACCTGGAGCCTCACCTTGAGCAGATTCTTTTCAAATATCCTTCTCCCGGAGCCCAGTTCTGTGGACTGAGGGCCTCCTGTGCACTTTAGTCTGTGCCTTGTGTCCAGGCCATTAGGTTCCCACACCAGCAGCCCGGTTCTTCCCCAGTGAGGTCCCACCAGGCCTCAGCTCCCTCCCATGTCAGGGGCATCAGCGCTTTTCAGGACTGCCTGGACACTCACCTACCATCCTCATCCTTCACTCTCACTGTGTGCAGCTTTCTAATGATCTGATCCCCCTGACATTCGATTGGAGGGAAGAACTGCCAGCTCTGCTGGTTGTCTTCCCATCCCTAACCCCACTGTCCCACCAGGACACCGGGCAGGTGAGGGTTGGCTGTCTTAACCTCTCCCCATGCTTGGGAAGTTGCTCTCCTCCTCTGGCTCCCCACTTCCCGCATCGATGTTCCCTTCCTCCTGCACAAGGGTGAGTGTGGGCAGCTACAAAGCCACCAGCCAAACCTGGGAGACCGAGACCATCTCCAGAAAACACCATCCTACAGGTGGCCTACACTTGCAGATCTGTTTCTCTTTTAAATCACAGGGTTTATGATCTGGGGTCTGTGACCCTCAAGAGAGGGTGTGAGTGAGTTCCAGGGGTCCCTGAGGCCCCTGAACCCTCAGACACAGTTCTGGGTGATGCACAAAGCTGCCAAGGTGGACACTCAGAGTTCACGAGAGTGTAAAGTGTCAGGGACATTCTCTCTCCCTTCCACCTCACTCCACCGTCCCCAGAAACTCCGCCTCTCCCGCTGAGCAGCAATGTTCAGGAACTGACCCGAGCTGACATTGACTCCAGAGTCTTACCTTCTCCACAAAGTACATGATGCCCTCGTGGCCCCGCTGGCCGGGGGGCTTCCAGCTCAGCACCACATAGCTTCGGGTTGCCTCGGTGACACAGAGGTCTGTGGGGGGCCCAGGAACAATGCCGGCTGGAAAACAACAAGGAACAGTTAGGGACGCACATCCTGGATAGGCCTGGACACTCCTCCTGGAGGAAAGGGATTCTGGCTCCCCTGTGCACCAAGGAGCTTGTGTTTTGACCTTTCTCTGAAGCATCAGTCCTGCAATTGTTTGGTGCCCTGGAGCACTCAGCAGACAGAGCTAAGGATCCAGGACGCTGTCTTTGTCTTTGAATTGTTTACATTTGAGTTGATGACAGGAAAAGCAAACAGTACAGGGCAGGGTGTGCTCGCGGTGAAAGACGCAGAAGGTCACAGGGGAGCAGGAGCTGTCAGGGGCTTTGGGGCTGATCCCTGTGTGTGTGGAGGTCTCCCATGGGTGATTCAGTTCCATCTTAGTAGGAAACACCAAGTTTCCCGGACACAGCCAATTCTTGTCACTTCTTGATAGACACCAGCACTTGCAGCACGTTCTCCTGACTTCTTTGGTGTGTGCTTTTTAATTTCAGTGGAGTTTTCATTCCTGTTCCGCCCTCCAGCCTCCGGCCACTTACTGACCTTGACCTCTGACATCTGTGTCCTTCTTGACCCTCACTTCCTGCCTGGGAAGAGCAGCTTCACTATGACTCCAGCTGCAAACCCAGCTCCACGGGGACCTTGCTGGCGGCTGTCTGCTCCAGGATTTGTATTTCACCTCCTTCTCCCCTTGGAGCCATTGAAAGCCCTGCTGGAGATGGGTCCAAGGACTCTAAAGTCCTGGGGCTGCTTTGTTTTCTCCCTTCTAATCCCAACCCAGCTATCAGAATTTTTTGAATACCCACCTAGGGTTGCCAGAGTAGTAGAGGATGTCTTGAAATTTTAGTTTCTAAATCAGCATCATGGAATTGTTAATATAGTTACTGCCTTGGGCATTTGTTCTCAAACCTGACATAGTTGGAAATGCAGTCACTCCCCGTCCCCTCTGGTCCAGTTAAAACTTCCCCTTGCCAAGTGGCTGTTGAAAGGGCAGGACTCTGTAGCCAGGAAAGCCTCAACCGGAACCAGGAAGCTCTTATCTTCCCTGCCCCTGAGAATATACCTATGGCGCGAAACCTAGGACCAATGGGCTACCCGTGCATCCCTGATGCCCCCTTAGGTTCCACCCCAAACCGAGGCTACTTACATACCCCCCACGCCACGTGTCTGCTGGAGAGATCGCTGGACACCAGCAGTGGGAGGTGCCGGTCATCTCTCTCTGTGTTCTCAGAATAAAGGCCGCTTTTTGTTTTATACTTCTCATCTTTTGGAAATATTTTTCATCTTTTGGAAATAATCCTATCAGCTGTGATACAGGCTGCTTGGTCCCCATCCCACACACCAAAGCCCAGCACACCTTGCAGGTGCTAACCACAATAAACCTGGTCATCAGAACTGATGGAGAATCCAGTGAATGAGCTCTCCCTTCCTGTGTGTTTCATTCTTAAATTAGCTGATCCATTACTCCTGCAAGAATGCCTAAGGACAATGCCACAGTGACCATTAATTGTGATCCATCAATTTAACTGGATTAAAACACAGAAGGGATGGGGAGGCACACTTTCGGGCCAAGGCTGTGACCTTGGGTGCCCAGTCAGGTCTCTGGCGCTGACCTTGCTGGCCCTGTTCCCTTGCTCTCTGCTCCGGGCCCACCATGAACTGCCAGCTGAACATGGAGTGGAGTCTCTGAAACCATGAACTAAATAAACCTCTTCTCAAAGCTATATCGGATAATTTGCTCCAGGAATGAGAAAACTGACTGAAACACCCCCAGTCATAAAACACCCAGAAGGGCACATTCTCCTAATCCCTCCCCATGCATTTCCTGCTGCCTGCTGAAGGCAAGCCTTAAAAAGATTAAACTCTTCTTCCAGAATGAAGCTGAAGGGTATTTCTGGAAACAGGAAAATACTTAACACCAAACAGTGTAAACTTGAAGTGTCCAATATCAAATAAAAAATTATCAAGTATGTAAGGAAGCAAGGAAATAAAGCTAGAAGGAGGGGAGAGAAGCAGTCAGTAAAACTGAAAGGTTTGGCCCAGACAGGACACTGTAGCCAGGAAAGCCACAACCGGAAGCAGGAAGCCCCATCTTGCCCTGCCCCTAGGAAGTTACCTGTGACGCCATCTTCCCGCCCCTGGGAATTTACATATGGCGCCAAACCTAGGACCAATGGGCTACCTGTGTATCCCTAATGCCCGCCTTAGGTTCCACCCCAAACCGATGTTATTTACAGGCCCCCACGCCGCGTGTCCACCGGAGAGATCGCCGGACGCCAGCGGTGGGGGTTGCCGGTCATCTCTCTCCGTGTTCTCAGAATAAAGGCCGCTTTTTATTTTATATTTCTCATCTTTTGTTAATATTTTTCATCTTTTGGAAATAACTCTATCAAAAACAGAACCAGAATTGTCACTGATGATACAATTTGTGTCACCCATGAATTGCTGCATGTGATTTGCTCATCAAGGCCCCAAGACAGTTATTAATGTGCTCCGTACATTCGAGAAGGTGAGTATTGAACAAGTACAGCCTCAACCATGTATAAGGGGACTTCTTCAAGTGAGAGGACAGGAAGGAGTAGAGGAGAAAATATTTAAAGAACTAATCATAAATGTTTTCCAGATCCAGTAACAACCATAAATCCAAAGAGCTGAAAAATTTGTTGATCCTGAACTTAAACTGTATGAAAAAAATGAGACACATACACATTATAGTCAAATTTCAAAAGAAAAATGGATAAAGAGAATATCTTAGAAGCAGAGATGGGGAAAAAAGACACACTATGCCTCTAGGAACAAACATGTAATGACCACAGCCGTCCATAGTGAGGGGCCAAACCACACGGGCCGAGTGTCACCTAGGGTTCTGTGTCCAGTGAAGGTATATTTAAAACTGAAAGTGAAACAAAGACCTTTCCAGACATACAACACATAAAATAATTTGCAGTCAGTAGACCTGCACTACAAGAAAGTTAAAGAAAGGGCCTCAAAGTGGAAAGAAAATCTTATTGGACAGAAATTTGGATCTATAAACAAACAAAAAATGAAAAGGAAAAAAACAGTAAAAATGTAAGTGTTGAAAAACATTTTTCTTTTAAAATTTCTTTGTAAAACAGCATAATGACATTAAAGTCAATGATGTTGTGTAAGTATGCATTTGAATAACCTGTATGGCCCCAAGGCAGGTGACGGGGCACTGCTGTGCTAAGGTCCAGCACTGCTAACGATGTTAACAGTACCACTGAAGGGTGGCGGAACAGGTTATATTATAAATTTGAAGCCACTAAAGTCTAAAACCAATGATTACCCCAGCACTCCGGAGGCTGAGGCTACAGGACTGCCTTGAATTCGAAGCCAGCCTGGGTTATGGGGTGAGTTCAAGGCCAGCTTGAACTACATGATGAGACCCTGTTTCCAACAAATTAAAAATAAATAAATAAATAAAATGATTGTAGTCAATGACATAACACAGATAAATGGAATGATAAACCACAGCCAAACTTTAAAAAGTAAAAAGACAGAAAAAAAGGAAACAGATGAAATAGACAGAAAATAATATAATGATAGATTTAAGTTGAACCATATGAATAATCACATGAAATGGAAATGGTTAAAACATCTCAATTAGAAGCCAAAGGCTGGAACTTCCAGGAGAACATGGTAGATGGATAACAGCAGCTTTGGAGGCATTCTGAGAAACCACACTTAAAATCCAGGAATGATGCTGGGCGAAAAATCCTAGGCAAGGGGAGATGTACTTTGTCGACCCAGGAACGAACTAAACTAAGAGAAACCAACTGGAAACGCAATCCCGGTGATATAACAGGAACAGATAAGGTCTCAGCACGGAAGCTGGACCCCGAGCCACTGGAAGCTGTGATTTGAATTTCCTGCAGCCGCTGCTACGTCCCACTCGGCACGGCAAGGAGAGAGGCGCGAAAGCTCTGAGAGTGGGAAGCAGTAAATAGAGTTGAGAGCGGGACTGGCTGGGAGCTCTGTATCGACCTGTGGTGAGTGAGCAGATCAGGGACCCTTCCATAGAGTAGGAGGCTTCAGCAAAGGACATACTGGGACCAGGTGGGCTGGCTGGGACAGGATGCTGCAGTGACTTCAGTCACATATTCCCCTCTCAAGCAGGATTGGTGGGGAGTGCCTGGCCTGCATGCCAAAAAAAAAAAAAAAAAACAAAACAAAACAAAAAAAAAACCCCAAAAAAAACAAAACCGAAAGGGTCCTCAGTCCCCAATCCTGAGGACACTGATCCAGGAAAGGTGAATACAAAGGAGAATGAAGACAGAAAACATGCAATATCAGGCACAGCACCAATAGACATAAAGCGATATCTCCGGAGCCTCATAGATGAGTTCAAAAGTGAAGTATTTAATGAAGTAAAGCAAGATATAAGTAGAATAGTTAGAGAAATGCTAAGTACTGCCCAAGAAAAAACAGATGGTGGAATGGAAGAACAGAAAAAAAGGGGAGAATTGTTTGATGAAGAAAATAGAGAAAACACAGAATACGTGAAGCAGGTTCAAAGAGATTACCAGGAAACTAAAAACTCTATTGAAAGCTGGCATAACAGCTTGAAAGAAACTAAGGATAGATTATCTGAACTGGAGGCCAGATTTGTAATATGGGAGCATGAAATGGAAAACTTCTTAAAAATAACAAAGAAACAAACAGCAATAATACAAAGACTAGAAGATGGTAAGAGGATCTATAACTTAAGAATTAAGAACATAAAAGAAGAAGTAGGGACACAAACAAACGAACTACAAAGGCTATTCACAGAAATAATCCAGGAGAATTTCCCAAATTTAGGTAAAGGTAAAGATACTCAGATGTATGAGACATACAGGACCCCAGCCACCTACAACCTAAACAGAGCTACACCCAGGCATATAATAATCAAAATTCCAGAAATCCAATATAAGAACAGAATATTAAAAGCCGTCAGAGACAAGAATCAGATCACTTACAAGGGAACACCCATCAGAATTACAGCAGACTTCTTGGCACAAACCATCAAATCACGAAGAGTGTGGGGGGAAATAATTCAAGCTTTGAAAGATAATAACTTCCAGCCAAGATTAATATATCCTGCACAACTGTCCCTAGAAATTGATGGAAAAACAAGGTGTTTCCAGGATAAAGAGGAACTAGGGGAATTTGCAACTACCAATTCAACTCTACAGATAATACTTAGGGTTAAAAAAGGAAAATACCAAGATTTCAGAAATAGTGGCAGAGAGGCCACAATGAATGGAGCAGAAAACAAAATGAAGAAGACAAACTGACAACAAACGATAGAAAAAGAGCTCAACAAAAATGAGGCAGAGAAGATTGGATGGTAGGAACAGCTATTTTGAAGAAAACAAGACATCATAATAGTGCTGATTTAGTATCATCTTGTTTTGAAGTCCCATCAAACTTGTACTCTTCTGTCTCCATTGGTCTTAAGTGGTTGTATCTTATTGGATTTTATTATATATGATAATATAAGTAAAAACTTTTATAGACAAGGAGATTATACAGAAACCATTGTTCATTTTCTGTTAATTGGTTCTAAATACCCTGTAATAATGTCATTCTCTTGAATGGTTTTATAGTGTCTTGATATGTTTGGTGCTATAGTATATGAAGTTATACTCAAAGATTTCAAGGAAAGAGACACTATGGTAACTATTTTTATGTCAGGATATCTTGTGGTGAAACACTATTTTGCTTAAATGGTTATGTTTTGACCTGCGTTGTTCTGTTGTTATGCCCTCTTTTATCTCAATCCTTTTTTAAAAAAATTATTTACTTTTTTCTTTTTATCTTTTTAATTAAGGGAAAAATAAATAAAAAATAGCCAGATACATTATAGTAACCTACTTTGATTTCCTATTAACTTGATTCGAAATCCTGTATTGCCCTCACCATCTTGTTTTGACTGATTTTCCCCTATTCTGCTTTGCTTGATAGTACCAAGTTCGAAAGTATAGGCAAAACTGTGAAGACAATAAGATTCATTATGACGCCCATTCCGGTTGACTATTATCTTCTTTTAAAGTCCTGTAATGTCTCCAATGCTTTGGTTTTATTCTTTACTGTTTTGTTCAATTTTATTATAACTGGCAATTCTTCTTAAAATAGCAAGAGGCAACCATTGTTGATCACCTTGTATTTTGTTTTTACATTATCTATTATATCCATCCTTTTGAACTGAAAAAAAAAAGAATGGAAAAAAGTGTACAAGCTCACTCTGGATCAGTACTTACAGGAAGATGGAATTACGAAGGCACAACATTAGTTACAGTTGGAAAAGATGAACAAACAGAAGTTTGGTTGAAGATTGGGATGCTTAGATCAATGTTAGCTCAACAAGGAACACCAGTGTATTGGTAGCTTGGGTCCCTAATTCAGAAAAAGTCCTTTACGCAGTAGGAAAGCAACTGATTATGAATCGTATTTGCAATATGCAGAAGGTTTCCAAATAGATTAGGAGAAGATCAGCATCAAAATTCAGATGGAAATTACTAAAGAATGAGAGCGATCATCAAGCAGTCAGTCCAGCAAGAATACAAGTCTAAAGCACTAATTAACTTGCTAGCCTTTAAGAAAATTGTAAATTAATTCTGATTAACCAAAAAATAAGCATGTTTTGGTAGCAAAAGAAAAAGGTACAATTTTAATTATAAGTACTTTCTGTGTATTTAATAAAGTATAATCAGAAAGAGTAAGAACAACAACAACAACAACAAAAAGCCAAAGGCTGCCAAATTAGCTAAGAAATCTAGAACCAACCATATGCTGCTTGCAAGAAAGACAGTTTAAATGTAAAGACAAATACAGGCAAGAAGTAGAGTTGGAAGAATATGCCATTCTGACACTAATCAAAAGAAAGATGGAAGAACTGTATGGAAATCAAAGCAGGTTTCCAAGCAGAAAACACTGCCACAGGAACAAGGAGTCACGTTACAACAATGAAGTGGTCAATTCATCTATCTATACAAACATAGGTGCAAATTTCCTTTAAATGAATAAAGGTGTGAAAATTTCTAACAAGTTTAACATGTAACAATTATGTAAAAAGGGTAATATACAGCATAGTTGCAAAAGTCCTAAAAAAAATTTTAGAAAATAAACTCCACCAGCATAGAAAAAGAATAACATAGTATCACTAAGAGGGATTCATCCTAGGAGCAGAAAGTTAATAATCTAAAATCAGATCAGTAATTAATGGAGAGGAAAAAAATTATCCAATAATCTCAGTACATACAGAAAAGGCATTTGACGAAATGCAGTACTCATTCTTGAGATACATACAGTTCAGGCAACTAGCACTAGAAAAGATTTTCCCCAACCTGATAAAGGGTGGCGATAAAAGCCTTCCCTGAGTTGGGTGTAGTGGCGAGAACCTGTAACCCCAGCACTCAGGAGGCTGAGTGAGGCAGGACTGCTGAAAGTTTGAGACCAGCCTGGGCTGCACAGAGAGTTCAAGGTCAGCCAGAATTACCGAGAAAAAAAATCTGAGAAAATCCTCCCTGTAATGCCAGATTTGATGATGAAGGACTAAGTATTTTTTCCTTGAAATCAGAAAAAGGCAAAAATGCCAGTTTTCCCACTCCTAACATTATATTTCCAGAAAACAATAGCAAACATAGTCAAGTATGACAAAAATGTCAAACGACACAAAAACGGTGAATAAGCACATAGAAAGGTGCCCAATATTGTTAGGGGAATGCAAAAGAGAACCCCTCAGAATACCGCTCTTCACCCGCGAGAATAGCTGGAATAAAAAGGGCGGTCACGCCAAGGACTGTGACAACGAGAGACAGCTGGAGCCCTCACACAGTGCCCGCCAGGCAGGCACGGCTCTCGGAATGATTATGCCAAGTGCGGGAAACCCGGCCCAGAGGAGGACGAGTCCATTGCTGTAATTTTTTTTTTTTTTTTTTTTTTTTGGTCTTTTTTATCGGTACCAGGGATAGAACTCACGACTGCACACTTGCAAAGCCGGCGCTTATGCCGCTGAGCTAAGAGTCCATGGCTTTAAAAGCGTGGCCAGGCAAGCTGCAGTGACAGAGAGCAGGTGACGCTGGCCTGGGACACTGTGAGTGAGCAGGAAGAGCCTCGAGGAGGCACAGGCAGATTTCAGGAACTTGGACCCCTGGCTTCACACACCTATGCACACGAAAAGCACAGCTCACACCTCCCATGCCTGCAGTTTATTGTGTGGCGACCGCCCCCTCCCCCTGCCACTGAGAAAGCCTTACAGAAAACACGATGCCTGGGCACCTGGATGCCTGAGCCCCTGCTCAGGGCTAGAGTGAGAGCCCCACATACCCGACCTGTGACTCTGTCAGTTACCTTGTGGGTCCAAATGTCTCAGCTGTTTTGTCTGAAGCATCACAACCTGCATGATGCCCCCTGCTACAAAGCGTCAGCTGCAAGGCAAAGCCCAGCACCGGCATCGGGGTGACCAGGTCCTTACCTGAGGGCTCCTCTTCCGTGACGATGATCTGTCCGGTCCAGGGTGCTGACGGGCGACCTGAACAGAGATGGAGACGAATCACAGGCGTTGACAGGGGCGGCTGACCTGCTGGCTGGGTTAGTCCTGGATCTGCTGCTAGCTCACTGGAGCCTTTTCCTAAGGCTGAGTCATATAGGGGCATGGAGGGGACTGTGGGGGACACGCCCCATCTTCAGGGCCAGGACTGAATGTGGCCACTGGCATGGGGCAGCAGAATAAGCCACATGCGAATCACTGCTCAGGAGGGCTCTCCCAGCCTTCCTCAGGGGCAGCGCATGTCTGGGGCAGCGTTCTGGGGCAGCGAGGAGCCCCACTACTACCAGTCATCGCGAAGATGAGAGGCAAGAGGGCGCCCACCCGGCAGCGCAGCGCAGCAAGGGCAACACTTTTCCCTTTCCGTTTTTGCAGTGTGTCGTCTACGGTGGAGATCAGAGCGGTCTTTCATGAGAAGGGCCGAAGAGACCAGCTACAGTCAGAGGGGAGATGCCTCTGTGACCCCCATAAACACCGGAAAGAGAACAGTTCAACTTCCGCTTGCCTCAAGGGACTTTTCCAGGTGATTTGGCAGGAAAGTAGAAAGGTGATGAAGAAGACAATTTAATTCCAATTCAATCCAACTCTACACTGGCTGAATTTGTAAGACAGCAGTAAATGGAAGCCCAAGTAGGATCTGAGAATTTGGGTAAGAGAGAGGAGAGGGAAGCCTGGAGAAAAGTGACAGAGAAGAGCACAGAGCTGCCTACAGCCGGCACAGCGAGAGGTGACAGTGTCTTACTTAGATTCCGGAGAGGCTAACTCATTCGGATAAGGTAGAGAATAACCTCAGGAGACACCGTACACCTGCAGTCCATCACTAGGGAGATTTGCCCCACCCCAGGGGGGATTTGGCAGCATCTGGGGACATTTTTGCAAGAGACAAAAGCATCCTCTTATACCTAGGACACCTCCCTTCCTCAAACACAGAACTACTGGCCTAAGGAGCCAACAGGGTCAAGGTTGAGAGGCTGGTATGACTGAAATGTCATTGTCAGAAATCCTTGTAATGTCATTGTGTGGTCCCTATTCCTTAGGATGTCAATAAGTTCCATGAAACAAATGCAGGCCGTCATTCATGGACCATGGTTTTGACCTTAAAATCTGGAACCTAGCTAGGTGTGGTGCTGCACATCTGTAATCCTAGCACTCTCAGGAGGCTGAGGCAGGAACATCGATATGAGTTTGAGGCCAGTCTGGGCTACAAAATGAGTCCAAGGCTAGCCTAAACTGCATAGTAAAATCCTGTTTCAAAAAAAACCAGAAAACAAAACAAAAAGATTTGGAAACTAAGTAACAGGAAAAGATTAAATTTTCGTGTGTGGAAACTCAAATTCAGATCAGATATGATGTAAATCTGCTTTTCTGCTGATATAAAGAAACTTACAGTGTTGAGACTTAATGCTTGGGGAGAAGATTTCAAAGTCAAGAGATACACTTGGAGCCAGGAGTGTATTTCAAATGCACTAATAGCGTGGATAAAAGTGATCTCCAGGCTATATGTTTTCATATTTCACACAGTGCCTGTAACCCAGATTAACAAGGCAGCTTTAAGATAAAAAATAAGACAAATAAACTAAGATTGCATACAGCCCCAGATCGACTGGACAGGAAAACCAACCTTCCCTCTCCCCAGGACTTCCTAATGAGAGAAGGATTTCTTATTCTCCTCTCCCTCTAGTGGAAGAGAGCGGGACAGCCTTGCAGTGAAGTCTACTGCACTTAATTTAATTTAATGTTAGTGGCACTGGCGGTTGAATTCAGGGCCTTTGCTCGAGCTACATCCTCAGATCTTTGTTACTTTAAGACAAGGTTTCACTAACTTTCTAAATTTCCCAGGCTGGGCTTGAACTTGAAATCTTCCTAACTCAGCATCCCAGGGTACTAGGATTACAGGTGTGTCCCACAGTTATCTTTAAAAGATAAAGAAGTTCAAGGGAGGATGATGAAAATTGCAGAGTACACGCTTACTTTTAAGTCTTGCTTTCTCAGCTGGATCCAGGGCGGCCACGGGCTCAGAAACTCGGGAGGGCAGGCCTATTCCATTTTTATTCACTGCTCGAACCCGGAATATGTAGGAACGGCCTTCTATTAACCCGGTAACTGGGAAGCGAGCAAACTTCACGGGTGTGTCATTGCACTGAGACCAGCTGTCCGTGCCCACCTCACACCTGGAGGAAAGAGCAGATGGACAGGAAAGTCACACATGACGGCTACATTGATGGCCCCAGGGCTGAGGGCCGGCTCCTGGCCTCAGTCATCTGGTAGCCCAACACCGGGGCGCCCTCCTGAGTACCCACACAGCAGCACCCAGTTCTCAGCAAAGGCGACATCTGTCCTGAATTTCAAAGCAGGCAATTGAGAGGCCCATGTGCTAAGCAAAGAAGTTTGGGGGAAAGGGGGAAGCGGGGAAGGAACCCCCAAATCGTCACGTGGCAGAGGCTTAGAGGAGGACTCCCCTGTCCCCGTATCTCCCTGGCTATGCCCTCCATCTAGCATTAGGCATTTTTTTCTTTGTCTTCCTTAGGCTTTTTCTTTCTAAAACGGCAGGGCTAGCGGGCATGGTGGTGCATGCCTGTTAGCCCAGCACTCGGGAGGCTGAGGCAGAAGGATCGTTGTGAATTCATGGAGAGCAGTCTGGGAGGAGAGGGCAGCATGAATTGCAGAGTGAGACCCTGTGTCAAAAAAGGCAAAAACTAAAATAAAATGACAGTGCTGCTGACATTTTGGCCCTCTGAAAGATAACTGTTTCCCCTGTGGTTTGGAAGACAGCTCTGCGTGTGTCTTACTGCATGGCTGTGATAGTCTATGTGGGTGCCAGGGTGAGAAGGTGACTGTGTTGTGTTTGCTTCTTTAACAGGCAGGGGGATCCTGATCCTGTGTGTGGTGGTCAGCAGCCAGGGGTGGGCAGGGTCATTCCATGGGAGACAGTTTGCCTGGTGCCATTGGCGTGATCAGAGTATGGTGGAGTAGACATGTTAGCATTTGGGAACGCATTGGTTTTATGAGCAGAACCTAGCACGTCTGCTTCACTGCATTCCCCAAGTGCCCCTGTGATTAGAAAGTGAAATCCCCAGTGCGTCTCATGGCGGGGAGTGCCCCGGGGCAGGGCAGAGGCGTAAGGGGCTCTCCCTTCGGCACCACCCCTTTCCATCCCTGCAGATGCAACAGCTTCTCCCTCAACTCTGCACCGCCTCCAGCCCTGCCTCCTGGCCGCTCCCCCTGAGTCTTTTTCATGAACTTCCGGAGCTGCTGTGGGTGGGCTGGGGTCTCGGCAGAGAGCTGGGAGGGCCAGGACAGTCCTGGGGACCACTGTGTCTCCTGGATTCTGCAGACCCACCCCAGGGGCCCAGGGACATTCGCATGTGCTTTCTTTCTAACACTTGTGTGGGCAGGAAGAGAGGCAGAGAGACACCGTGGGTGCAGAAACTCTGCCCGTAGCCAGCTGGGTCTGAGTCCTGGTCCTGCCGCTTCCTGCCCGCGTGACTCTGGGTGGTCAGTGTCTCCTCACCATTGTGCGGTCCTGGGCCCTGCCCTTCTCTCCTGTGACAGTGCCATCCTCCAGGACACAAGGGGCTAGCAGTAGACACACGCAAAGTGTTCACACGCTAGCGGTGTTGGACTCACAGTGGTGCTTAGTAACTGCAGCCACAAAGCAGGCGTTTCTGTTATGACCAAGGGACAAAGACAAAATGCTCTGGTTATTCTTCATCTTTCACTGCTCAGAGTTTGCCAGTCTCTTGGAAATTTGTCAAAGCCGATAGATCAGATACCGAAAAGATCTGGGTAAACCTTCACAATTCTTCTCTACTAAAGGATGCATCCACAGCATTTCATGTGGATGGTTAAATTGTATATAATTTATAAAAATATTTCTAGAGAGGGTCTTGAGCTCGGTGAGCATACATCTACTTACTATTATAAATGTAGGGTTTAATCCACTTTGGTGCAAACCTGGTGTATCAGAGTGACACCTACTATCTATCTCTAGTGGTTTCCATAATCAAAAATAAAAAACAAGAATTAAAGCAATTACTTGAATAGAAACCAAGTCAGAGAACAATGTATTCAGGCTAATGATATCTAAATTTGTTGTCTGTATGTCTGAACAATTGATGTGTAAAACCTGAACTGTAAACAGCAAGAACTTGTAGAAAAGAACATAATTTAATATTATTTTGGTTGTTGGATTTCATATAACTTGAAACCATATCCTGCAACAAAAATAATGTTTTTGTATTCCTGAAGTTAATTACTGACATATGAGGAATACAGACGTTAAATGCATCACATATCAGCTGCTTCATTCCCGAAGGGCCTCCCCTCTTAGGTCTGCAAACTCATGGCCTTCTTGCCAAGTTAGTGACTTCGCATGAGTAGCCCAATTCAGCGTTTATCTTTGGAGTTTAGGTGAACAGCAGGGAGACACACACGTCTCGCCAGCGGTGCGAGTACATGTACGTGTGCACACAGAGAGACAGAACAGAGACAGTGGTGTCTGAACAGAGCCCCACAGGAGAGCTGGGGCACACGTGTCCGGGCAGGGAGAGCAGGCACTAACTTATCAATGAAGTAGCCCAGGATAGGGCTCCCTCCGTCCACGGCCGGCTGCTTCCAGGAGATGATGATGTAGTCTTTGTTGGCTTCCAAGCTCACCACGTCCAAGGGTGTGGCAGGGGCACCTTGGATCTCGGCATCAGCATCTGTGGAGACGCAGGGAGAGCCGGTTACCATGCCGCGCCTGGCCACACAGTGGGTGCATTTTCGGCCCGACTGAACTAACTTAGAATCTTGGGATTTGTTTACTAACAGAGTGGTGTGTGCTTTTCACCTTTGGAGGGAAGAACATTATATGAGAAGAGAGAAAGGACTCTGAGAGCACTGGCCGCGGCTGCCCAAAATGTACCAAAATGAAAGGCGCAGGGAGAGGCCGGTAACTGCGATCAGGTGAGTCACCGGGCCAGCGTGTCTATTCTCAAGGCACCGATTGTACCATGTTACTAATAAATCTCCAAAGCTTTCTGGAGGACAAACAGCCTCTCTGCCACCTTCTGCCCATCTGCAGGCCAGTGGGCACTACCATTTTAGAGAAAAGAAACACCCATTTAACCAAGAGTCAGCCCACCCTGAGGACCCTTGGGAAAAGATCCCTGACATTACTTCCAGGTCTGAGCCGGTTTATCTGAGGTTAGGGAAAGTCCAGGCTAATGCAGGCGACAGAGACCCGCGGCTGTTTATGGAGTGGGATCTGCACAGCTGGATCCATACATCAGGGCTGCTGTTAGAGGGACAGGAAGGGAACTCAAGACCCCATGAGCCACCTTTTAAGACTGGAGGCAGCGTCCCTCGGGCAGGGCTCCCATTTCCTCCTGGTAACTGACTGACACCTCGCACACGGGGTTAGCAGGAGAGGCTGGGTACATGGGGCTGCTGTCCTGGAGGGAGACACCCTCGCCGACTGGACACACATACCACCTTTCCTTGTGATCTATGCATCTGCAATGTTTATGAGGTCACATGGCAGAAATAGCTGCCAACCTGGGAATGAAATAGCTTTGATAACTGGGAAAAGCCCAGCATTACTTTTTCTTTTTTTCTTCATTATTCCCAGGGATTGAATCTATGCACTGAGCTATCTCCTCAGTCCTTTTTAATTTTTCTTTTTAAATTTTTTTAAATTGTTGAGACAGGGTCTCACCTAGCTGCTAATTTGCCCTGGCAGGACTTGAACTCACAGTCCTCCTGCCTCAGCCTCCCGAGGTGTGGGCAAATCTCTCCTTCAAATAGACTCTGGAAAGACGTAACTGAATCACTGTGCCTGAAGCTGAACGCAGAACCCTGGAGCGCGAGGGGGTAGGAGATAAACATTTGGGTGCAAAGACCCCTGTGCTTCCCGACTCTGACTCCGGGAGCCCTGGACAGGGCGCGTGGGGCCGCTGGGGGTGAGAGTAGAGCGCCGGAGTGCAGGTGCGCATCTGGGTCGATCTGCCCAGGCAGCAGAATAGGTTGGCTAGAAAGCCACTCGGCCCCCAGGGGACAGGGTCCCTCTCACTGGTCTTTTGTTACAGGCCTGCAACAAACCACAGCACCCCCAAAAGCAGTCTGGGGGAGGCTGTCAGCTGACAGGCTGTGCGTCTTTCTAGGATGGCGGGGTCAAGTATAACAGAGCCTGGGGGACAAGCGGCACCAGGGGGCCACCTCCCAAGGTCTTTATAATGTGGTCTGGACCCGCCTCGTAGGGGTGGGCTCCGCAGTCTTTCGAATACCCAGCTGCATTCATGAGTGCATTCATTCATTTGCTTGTTAGTCTTCTAGGTACTAACACAGAAGTTAAAAAACAAGGCTCTTTCCTTGTCCCAAGAAGGTACAGTACAGCGGGGAAAACGGGACACTGGGAAGGACAAGAACACAACCGTGGCCGCTGGACAGGGAACCTGCCTACCAGCGAGGGCTCCTGGGCGCCAGCCCCCGCCCTGCGCAGGCGCAGTAGCACTCAGCCGCAAGAGGACGGCCCTTTGCGCAACCCGGCTATTGTGGGTACAGTTAATAGCATCAAAGATGACCTGTTTATATCCTGAGCTCTGCACAGACTACTCTTCACTTTTTTCAAAATATAATTCTATTGCCTTCATTATAAAAATAGTGCATGGACATAAAATACAGGACAACAACGTTTAACTCTTTTCATTGTATAACACCGAGATTACCACTACTAACAAGCCTTTCTAGATTTCCTCCTTACACTTATCAACTCAGAAATGATTATTTTAAAAATAAAATGGGGCCGAGCTCTATGAAAACTGTTTTCTTGATACACTTCCGTATATATCAATTACATATGTATGTGTCCTTAGTTTTCACTGCTTTGCAGTATTCCGTTGTTATTATGGAGTGCTTGGATACTTTATTACATAAAGCACACACTTATATTTAATATTTCCCATCAATAAATACACATATATAAATATACTTTATTTTACCACTCTCGTGTTAGTAGATACCTAGATGTTTTTATTTTCCCCAATAGGAATATTGTTTCTTCTCTGCCTACTGTGTCATTTGTCTTTGTGTCTCCATGTGAGTGTGTATGCATGGGTTTATGTGCTCGTATTTGCAGGGGTAACAGGAAAGAATATAGTACACAGCAAAATGGTAGCATTGGGTCCTCTGGATGGTAGGTGTAGGGATGGCTTTGCTTTTGATTTTTTTTTGGCTTATGTACATCATCTGTATCTCCACAATGAATACATAATATCTATGTAATAAGGCCCTGGCCAAATATGTACAGCTCTGCAATGTCACTGCGCTTTGCACTAAAGGCTGGCTTCTCTCCCTCCAGCAGTATCTGACGGCCAGGACACTTCTGTGGGAGGGACAGCCCCATGCTGTGTGCATCCGTGTGTCTCTAGCAGCTTCTGGTCTGTGGCAGGATTCATTTACCATGTACTCTATATGAGTGTGGTGCAGACTGCTGGGTGTCCTCTCAGGACAGGGGACACACTGGTCACCTGCCGCTGGCACCCTGGGGAGGTACATGTGTTTGTGCTCTGCAAGCAGATGCGACTGGCCAGCTCTCTCACTGCCCTTCCTTTCCTCTCTGGAGACACATGTGGGAGAGTGACTCGGCACCACAGGGCACGGGAAGTAAGGGGATCTGGGATGCTGCCCTGCCACATTCAGCAGAGGCCGCCTCTGCCAGACAAGCAGCAACAAATTCTCTGCTGCCTGGAGTCTCCGGGGTCACCTCTGAGGCCTGCTTCTCCTGGGAGTGAATATTCCCCCTCCAGGTCATCTGAACACCACTCCGAATGTTTTTTTTCATCATTGCCAGACCCGTTCAGAAAGGTTAATCTGGCTTTGCTGTTACAAATGCAGCTGGATGTTCTGCTGTCTGCCTATGGGCTCTTACCTCGGACAAAGACATAGGCGCTGTACTGCTCGTAATAGTCTCCCATCCGCACACGGATCGTGTAGAGGCCTTCGTCTTCCTTGTTGAGGTGGGAAAACGTCAGGGTTGCCCGGTCGCCGCTCCAGTGAGTTTGCACCCACTTCGATGGAGAGACAGGCTCCCCTGGGAAGAAAAGATTTTTCCGTGCTGTATCATCTGCTCTTGTTTCTCCTTTTCTGCATTGAAAATGACCTAGTAGCGGAGGTCTCTAGAGCTTTGAGCTCTTCCTTCAGATGTGCAGTGGTACCTGGCCTCAAGAACTTAATGTGTTCCATGATTCTTTTTTTTTTTTTTTTTTTTTTGACACAGGGTTTTGTTATGTGGTTGAGGCTGGCCTAATCTCACTATGTAGCCCAAGCTGGCCTCAAACTCTCAGTGACCCTCCTGCCTCAGCCTCCCAAGTGCTGGGATAACCGGCATGCACTGCCTTGGCTTATTCCGTTCAGGAGGAGATGGCATGTTTGGGTTTGTGCAGGAAAGATGGCCACGGCCACATCTGCCACCTGAGACAGAGTTGGCAAGCAAAAACAAAACTTTGCCAAACACTTCTGTTTGTAAACCAAATTGTCCACAAATAAAAGCTTCTGTGAACTGAGGTGCCACTGTATATTTGTAAAAGTACCGGACAGAAGTGAGAAGCCATGTGACAGATGCTTCATTTCTAGGGCCAGTGCAGAATTAATTACAAAGCCCTTTGTCCAAAATGCAGAGAGAAAATGCAGTTAAAGGCACCAAAGTATAAGGTTTTTTTTCTTTAAAATGTTTTATAATTCATGAAGCCTACTAGAGGGAATACAGACTGCAAAAACAATGTTTATGCTGTAAGTTTATATACAATAAGTAATAGTACTTTAACTACATACTATCTTGATTGATAAACAATTCTAGCTTGCTCCTTACAAATTTATTAGGACCTCAAAATTTATATTTTGAGCAACTTCATTTTAAATCAATATCATCAAAAGTAATGCTAGCCACTCTACAAACCTAAGTGTACCTTAAAATGTTGATAATTCTTATTTAAACAAAGATCTTTCTGCTGACATAGCTATTACTGAGGCTGTAAACGTGTTACAATAGATTATGACAATGTTGGATTAACATTGTATTTCGAAGTCTACATTTTATATGCTCTAGAACTGATGATTGTGGAGGAAGAATATTTCTAAAAAGATTTAACTCCATACACAGTAGAGTTATGTCTGAATTTTATTATAAATATAAATTTACACAATTCCATTTCAGTGTTTCTCCTGACATGTATTCTAACTTATGGAGCTCATACTAGAAACCAAAAATGATTTATAATTTGCCTATAATTTAACATATCTGCTTATACTTTCTATCACCATATACTGGATAACAAATAAATACTAATTTTTTTTTTTTTGAGACATAATCTTGCTATGTAGTTCAAGTCATCCTTGACCTCACCTCACTGTGGCCCAGGCTGGCCTGAAGCTCAGCTTGATCTTCCTGCTGCAGCCTCCCAAGTGCTGGGATTATAGACATGTGCCGCTAACATTAACTTTAAAACTGTCCTCCTGTCCACAACTGTTTCATCCAAGGCTTCAAATAAAAGTCAAGTTCTTTTCATCGAATCTTACAAATTTTAAATTCAATTTCTAAGCCTCAAAACCAGAGTTCTGAACTCTGGAGAGCCTAGCTCCTGGCGTGCTTGGCCTGCAGCGTCTGCACGTGGCTTTTGGTGTGACATTTAACTGACAAAGTCACAGGCTGCCACAGTTCCTGTCTCAGCACTGAGGGTCCCAAGCTGCGCAGATCCCAGGAGGTGACTGTGGAGCAGGGGTGGGGGAACAGCAATCCCTTCCCCCGCTCTGCAGGGGCCACAGCCACAGCCACAGCCAGCGCTGTGCTGCTGGTGGTGCTGCTGGCGGTCCAATTTCAGTCAAGGCCAGGTGCTGATCTCAGCCTACTGTGAACCCTAGGTGTCTCCTCCCCTCCCCTCCCCCTCCCTCGCTGGTACCTACCCACCGCCCCCTCCTCCACCTCCTCCGTATACATGGTAGTACCCCCCCCCACACGTTCAAAAGCAAAGTGATGAGGAACCTCAGGGTGGTGGCTGTGCGTTAAATCAGGCTCCAGTCCCCTTCCAGACCCTGCATTTCACATGCCCAGAAAAGTAACTGGAGATGTATAGTTAGTATATTCTGCATTCAAAATACACACCCTGCCTGACACCGCTTAAGACACAGAGTGCCTGCTGTATGATATGCCATTTGATTTGATTTTTTTTGTATACCAGGGATTGAACTCAACCTCACGCTTGCCAGGCAGGCACTTATGCCACTGCGCTAAATCCTCGCCCTCCATGCCATTTTATAAGGGTAGCTCTACATTTCAAAATTGTGCAGAGCATTTGACACATTAAAACAAAATTGCTAAGGTCTGACTCCTCTTCTTACTCTGCTGGTTAATTAGTATCAGGATTTACAGTTTCATATAGTACTTGTATTTCTAAAGTTCCATGCAATTTTTACAGTATAAATGGTAAGTCTATCAGGGAAAGTATTTTAACAAAAATTAAATTACAAAGTGAATATTCATTTTTGGGGGGTAATTCTACTTATTCGGTGATAAAAAAAAAAAAAAACTCCACGAACATATTATTATTTTGAGACAGAGTCTCTTATTCAGTTCAGGCTGGCCTTAGGCTCACTTTGTAGACCAGGCTGGTCTCGAATTCACAACAATCTTCCTGCCTCCGCCTCCCAAATGCTGGGATTACAGGAGTGCCTCACTATGCCTGGCTCATAAACTTATTAAAGTGTTGCTACTTTAAAGTCTCATTTTTCAACAGCTCTGCACTCCAGCGGCTGCACTTAAAAATCCAAGCAAGGTTTGTGACAAAGACTCACCATTCCTGTACCACTGGATTTCTGGCTGGAAACGCTTGATTTCAGGAGTGATGACCACGCGGCAGCCGAGACTCATCGTCTCTCTCTCTCTCCCAAAGGACACATCAAACTTGTCATCAAAGTGGATCTCAAACTTGGCTGCGTAGCCATACGGGGTCACGGCGACTGATTACGGCCAAAACAAATATCAGAGATTTATTTCTTCTTTCATCAAAGAGCCACAGCATTTTAAATAGCACAGGCAGAAAGCATTGCCACAGAGAAGTAAACAAAAGTTTTATCAGGGTAAAAATAAAGTTCTATGTAAGAACTACGTAGAACACGCATGTTTCATTTGTGTGAGTACATGTATGTTTCATTGCTTGCTTCATTGATCATATGATCTAACTGCTTATTTTAATATTGCAATAAATAGAATCAAAGGGTTAGGTTTAATAACTAAAAGTACAAATTAATCCCACAGTTAGCCCACATTTGTTCAGCTGCAGTATCCTTGCCTTTTAATTTAGATTGTCAGTTACCTTAAGATCTACTGCTTATCCTCTTGAGACAAAATAGTTATATCAACTCCTGTTAAAAATAGTCTTTCAGTAAGAGAAGAGACTTCATTTAAAATTTTATTTAAAATCCCAGTAAGAGAAAATGGAAAAGTTTAAAATGTTGTAACTTGAAAGTAATTATCCTCAGAGACATCTTAGTTATGTAATAAATGCCTGTATCATTGACTTGTCTAGGTTTTCTTTCCTTCTTTTTCAGAAGGAGGTTAGGAAAGAAATGACTATTGCTGGTGAGTCTTTAAATGCCAAGTCTTCATACGTGATATGTCATTGACTTTTTTTTTTTGTACTGGGGACTGAACTCACAACCTTGAGCTTGCCAGGCAAGTACTTGTGCCGCTGAGCTGAACTCCTGGCCCCAGTTGATTCTTGCATCTTGACAGAACAGATCTGGGCCTTTTCTGTCTTCATAAGAGATGCAAAAACTCTGATGGTAAGATAGCACCCAGGCTTTGCAGGCAGCATTAAAATTCAAGTCCTAAGTGGCCAACTCCTAACCTAGCACCCTTCTCTTTATGCTTAGTCTGTTTTCTGAAGGCCTTATGATGGTATCTTGAAAATGCAAGTTATTTAGATCAGCTTGCCAAGTGTTGTTCCATGTATTTAGTAGCTGTCAACTCTGCCAAGATGCAGAATCATCCCACCAGGCAAGGATCACGATCGTCTCTATTTTACGGAAGAGGAAAGTGATGCCAGGGTGGCCAAGGTGCTGTCTACCTTCCTCCCCAACAGAGCCAGGTTTACAGGGCTGTTTGCTCCCAGCCAGTGCATTGCAGGACCTGCATTGTGTTCCCACTCATTGCTACGAGGTGGTAGTTCTTTGGAGCCTCTCTGCCATCTGCCTCGTTTCTGTGGGATAAGTCCCCCCCCACACACACACACCCTCAGAGACGCCGTTGCCTTGGGAGCAGAGGAGGGGTTTAGGCAGGCCCTGCAGTGACCCCAAAGTTCTAGGCCCTCTGGAAACATAGCGGGCTCTGACTTCTGGGTTCTTTGCATCTCTGAGATTCGGCTGCATTGTCCAGGGTGGTTTTAGGGTTCACATGGAACCTCGCTTACTCAACCCTTGATCTTGGGACAAACGGTTTGGGGCAGGGCGAGGAAATCAGTGGATTCCTCCTACATCACACCCTTTAGAATGGTTTTCAGCTTTTCCCATGGCTGAAAACAATCACAAGGAAAAGACAGCACCGTGACAGTTACTGAGCACAAGGAAAGCTTCCCAGCCACAGCCACGCTTGCTGCCCAGACTGGCTGCTTCTGCATTTCAGCAGCAGAGCTGAGCAGCTGTCACCCAGACGGTGCAGCCCACAAAGCCAAAAATATTTACTGTCTAGTTCCTCACAACTCCTGCTTAAACTACAGTTTAGAATTAAGAAGGCTGGGCTCCAAGCCCCCAGCTACCAGTGTGTGGGGGCTCGCCCGGCTATTTAACCTCCAAACTGCTTCCCTATCTGCCTGGTGCAGAAGTAGTTCCGATAAAAGCTTTATAAGATACTGTTGAGCCTCAAATGAATCAACGCATGTGAAAACACCTTTGCATGATGTGGAGAGCAGCAGATCGACGTGGAACTGCTGGAACAAAACCGAGTTTGGGGAGGTTTGTCCTTGTCTACCAGCCTGTTACAGCTACCGGAAACCACAGCAATCACATGGCCATGGGGATAACTAGCAGCTGAATGCAACAACACGGCCCTCTGCGTTCTGCTAGAAACAACTGTGTGTCAGTCAAGGCTCTGGCAGCCTCTGAGCAGTGAGTGGGGAAAGCTGGGTCGTCAGCCCCCACAGGAAGGGGAGTGAAGGGAGAAGCACAGAGAGTAACACGGCCACGAAGGTGAACAGGACATGTTCAGAGGACACACAGGCCAGGCCATCACTCTGCCCGGGGGTGCATCATGAGCTTCTCAACTGGATCCAGAGAGGCTTAAAAGAAAAGCATTTGCCATCTTTAGCCTATCCCATCGTGGCTTTCATCATACACAGAGCAATGAGACTGCGTTAGAGAACAGTGACCAAAGAATCGAAAGAACAAAATGAAAGATCCACCATAAAACCATGTGAGCCTCTGTGGTGACAGCATGTTGTGCATAGAACAGGCATTTCAGCAGCACAGAACTGCTTAGGCCGTGTTTCCATGGAGACAGGAGGACGCTGCCCAGCAACCTCCCAGTGGAACTTACAGCTTGGGGGCATGGTGGCATGGTGTGAGCGCATTTCGTCCAACTCTCCCTTGTACCCTAGGGCAGAAACAGAGACACAGGAGATGCTTCACGATCCATGGATGGAGTCCCCAGCCGTGGGAAGAGGATTGTAAAAGCCACTTTGAGCAGAACGAAGCAGGCAAACCTACTCTTTACTACGACTGACGCGTAGGCTGAAAGCTCGCCTTGGACATTCATCGCCGAGGCCCGGTACTGAGCTGTGTCTTCGAAGTCACATCTGAAAGGACACGTGGGAATGAGTGGCCGTCAGGGCTGATGGCTCTTCAGGTCTCTGGCAGTTCTGCTGGGGACACTTTGCTAACACCGCACCCTGTACCCCAGTGGCTCCTAGGGACGCTGGCTGAAGCCTCTGTCTCTGAGCTGGTGCCCCAGGACGTTACACAGTGCTGCCCACACGGCGGCCGCAGAGAAGGAGGAGAACATCTGTGCCCCACTGTAACCTGAGTCCAGGTGTTCATTGGAGTTTCCAAATAAATAAAGACCCAGAATCGGCCAATCGCTCGGCATGTAAATTACAGGGTGAGCAATGTTAGGAAGGCTCGTCTGCAGCTGTGTGGGGAGGAGGCAAGGTCCAGCCAGGTTCCCTGGCCTGCAGGTATGCTGGAGGGTGTGGCCTCCTGGCTGTTCTGCTCTCTGCAGGACTTTCAGCCCTGGGACTGTGGCACAGGGTGACAGGCAAGAGAACAAAGCAGCTCCTTCCTTAGGAGTCTCACAGCCCTCGTGAGCCAGGCTGGTTTAATGTGCGATTCTGTGCTCTGGTCTCAGAACGGAAGTGTGTTATTCACACTTCAACTCTACTCACGTTCGGCCATGCTTGGAGTTTCTGCCCAAAGCATAGCACAAAGCCCTATTCCTGTGAATGACGTCACCCAGAAACTGGAATGCCTGGTGACATGGGACCAGGGAGGGAAGGAGCTCACACAGAGAGGCACCGGCTGAGTTTTCAAAGCATCACAGCAGCTCTCTGTTCTTCCAATGTCTCTTTTCATTGGTATAAACTGGTTTCTCTCTAGCCCTTTAAGGACATCCTTGGGGCCCCAGGAAGGCAACTGCAGTGTCCTTTTCCATCTTTAATTTTGGAAGCAGCCACACACTTGCGGCTGTCCTGGGAAAATACTCACTTGCTGAAGCCGTGAGACTTCGGAGCAGGGTCAGCCTTTGGCGAATGTCACAGGGCCCAGAGCTCTGTGTGAGAGGGCACCTGGAGCAGAAGGCTGTCACTCTGAGAATGGGGTGACCTTTCTGCACACTGTGGTTTCATCTGAACTGAATGTGATAGAAGCTTGTTTACTGCTTTGAGTCACATACCCGAGTTTGGATTTTAAACCCATCTTGGAGATGTAACAAGTTTGAGGGCTTGGGGTTTTCTGTTTTGTTTTGTTTTTTGAGACAGGATCTCATTACAGTTCAGGCTGTCCTTAAGGGCACTACGTAGCCCAGGTTGGTCTCGAACTCATGGCAATTTTCCTGTCTCAGACCCTGAGCGTGGAGTTACAAGTATTTGCCACCATTCCAGGCTTTTTGTTGTTGTGGTTTGGGGTTTTTGTTTTTGTTTGTTTATTTTATTTATTTATTTATTTTTTTGTCTTTTTCATTTTTATCGGTACCAGGGACCAAACTCACGACTGCCTGCTTACAAAGCAGGCGCTCATGCTGCTGAGCTAAATCCCCAGCCCTTGTTTGTTTATTTTTAAGACAAGGTCTCACAGCGTAGTTCAGGCTGGTCTCAGGCCCCTAGTGATCCTCCTGTCTCAGCCTCCTGAGTGCTGGGATTATAGGCATGCACCACCATGTCTGGCTTTGTGCTTAGAAATTTTGATGTGGATTGTATTTTCAAATATTGCTTGGGAATTTGTGGGGCTGGGGATATAGCTCAGCAGCATAGGGTCTGCCTGGCAAGTGCAAGGTTGTGAGTTCAATTCCTGGTCCCAAAAAAATAATAATTTTTAATAAAAGAAATTTGCTTTACCCTAAAATATTCCAATGTCTGTGCCTGCCTCTGACTCATAGACTGACAAGGTGCACAGCCTTCCCCTATTCCTGGGGAGCTGAAGGAAAGAATACTTCAAGCTCAGCCACCATGCAGTGCCACCCAAATTGTCTCTGTGGCCTTTGTTAATTAAAAGCAAGAGGACTCGGATTTGCAGCTCTGGAAGGGTGACCAACTAGAAATGCCTACTTATGCAACTTACTTTCTTACTGAGGTCTAAGAAAAATTCTCAAGTATTAAAGGGAGATTTAAAGACAAAAATGAATTTTTCTTTCTTGCTTTGAGAGGTGGCGTGGGTGAGGATGAATCACACTGGCTCCTGACAGATGCGCCAAGAGGAGAAAGGTACTCGACTGTGATTGTCCCTGCGGTGTGCAGGCTGCCTTGGGAGGGGAGGGGGCTGGCTGTCAGCCGAGTGATTGTGGGTGACACACACAAACACGATGTCATCTTACTCAGTGATCTCCAGAGTGTGTATTCCATATCGACTTCCAATGATATACTTTCCGGGGCTGGCATGGACATTTATTGGTACCTGGTTTTTGTACCTGTAAGACAAGGGAGACGAAATGAAGTAGGCTGAAGGGCACACAACTTCATGATTAGACACACACTCAGGGCTGCTCACGTCCCTGCAGATGCATCTTCTGTAAGTGGACTCTGAGGGTGTTGGCCGCAGCTATCTGATTGATGCCCATCATATTAGCTTAAATTAGATGTACTCTTGGACAATAAAATCCCTTGTCCAAGTGCTTTCCATCTTCCACAAAATTACATGAAAAACATGGACTAGTCACAAAAGTATAAATGAATCCCATGCACTTCGTTGTGAAAATAGCTAGTTACTAAATTGTACGTAGGCCAGGTGTGGCAGTACATGCCTGTAATCTGAGCACTCAGGAGGCTGAGGCAGGAGGATCACTGAGTTCAAAGCCAGCCTGGGCTACAAAATGAGCCAGCCTGAACTGCATAGAGAGACACTGTCTCAAAAAGACACACACACACACACACACACACACACACACACACACACACATATATATATAGAGAGAGAGAGCTCATTTTTACTTGAAGTACATAAAGAAGAAGATGAGCTCATGTTGCTGAAAGCCCGGATGTGGGGTGGGGTGGGGCACCTGGAGGAGGAGTCTTTGATGCCTGTGATATTTGGTTTCCCGATTTGTGTGCTGGTGAAGCAGGTTGTTCCATCCACATGAATTCACTAAAGCTCTACATCTCTACAGAACATGCACCTCCTGTGCCTATATTATACTTCAGTCAGGAAGCGTAAAAATTGAGCGGCGTTAACAAAGAACAAGGCTTTCTGTGGGGGTTTTACGTTGGCGGTCTAGGAGGAGGAAAGCAAAATATTCTTGCTGCTAATATTCTCACTCTGCGTTGTTCAAAGCAATGCCATTGTATTGAAAAACCAGTAGATTTAAGTTATTGGGGTTCTTTATCTCTTTCTCATACAATCCAGGTTTGCAATATAAAATGTTTGCATTCCTTGTGTGGCTGGTGCATGAATGAACCTCTTGTCTTTATAGATTAGCCAGCCGCGGGGGTCTTGACACAGCAGTGGGAAAGTAACATGCACCCTACAGCTTAGTATCGTTTTCCCTTTTTTCTTATGCATCACTCTCTTCCACCTAGCAAAACCCACCTGGTCCTCGAAAGCTCGGACCCGATGCCACTTCTCCAAAGGCCCCCTGCTTCCAAACCCAGCAGTGTGAATGGGTCCCGTCTCAGTCAGTGCCTTGTTCAGACTGACAAAGATAATACTGGTCAGATGCCAGCTGGGTCTGTGCCGTGCTGAGCCGCGAGTCCCTTTACGGGGGATGGTGTCTGCCTGCTTCCCCTCCTACTCCTGGGTCCCAGTGACTCCGTACCAGGCACACAGTGGATAAACCAAATTGGGTAGAATTATTGTGTCATGGAGGGAACAGAAAAACTGCAAACTGCTCCTTTGCAGCTTCATATTGAAGAGTATGTGTGTCTTTGCGGAAGGAACCCATTTCAGACAAAGAAGTGCTTCGTAATACGCTCACTTGTAAAGCAGTACATGGAAGAAAGTAAGTCGAGGCTTTCTGAGCCTTGCGTCCCTTGCTATGAAGTGAAGACCCCCCCCCCACACACACACCCGCACGCGCACGCGCACGCGCGCAGAAAACATCCCTGGTCGACGCCACTCTGCTTCCTGGCAGCCCACAAGCAGCTTCTGGCGGCTGTCTGCACCCAGTTCTGCAAGCCCTTGCACCAACTCCATCAGAGCATGTGGCTCCTCTGTCCACGTGTTCCGCACTGTGAGCACTGCCGCAGGGGACAGCGAGTGCCCAGGCAGGTTCCCTGCGCTGGTTTAAGCCGCTTCAGGCTCAAGGCTGGCCGGCTTGCAGTAGCTCCTCTCGGTACTGGGGAGCACACTGCACAGTGCGGGGCTGGGGCGGCATCTGCTCAGCAGTGCTGCCCACGCCCTCGGAAAGTCTGCCCTGAACCGGTGTTTTGCAGCTCTGCGGTTGCATCACCCTCCCTGCCGCCCAGCACTCCTCGCCTTAGCACCTTCGAGCCTCCGGACTGTGCACCGCGGTCTTCTGTGACCACCTGGCAGAGGAGCTGGGCTTAAAACACATGCAACTCTGAACCCAGAGCGTCTAGTCTTTACCCTGGCCGCTGGGTGTTAGAGTGGGAAATGCTTGTTTAACGGAATGGGGAGGAGGAAGTCAGAAAGCAATTTTATTCCGTTCAGCCAGGAATCTCACTCTGGAGGCCTTCAGGTGTGGGTCACTGGAGATCCTGTCTTCAGCATCCAGTGAGGAAAGAAAAGGATTCTTGGCCTGCTCTCTATACATTTCACAGCTTGTTATTTCTGGAAAGTGAAATTCCAAACTGGCTGGTCATGGGCTAATTCTGGAGAGTAATCTACACCCAGGGTTGTCAGGGATTCCATAAAGTCTTGTGCGCACTCTCATGGCCACCATTGCTCTTGCTATTTCTAGGCGGCCTGTGAACATGCTGTTACTTGGTGATTCTTCCTTATGTGTGTGCAGGAAACACACACTTACATTTATGTGTGTGAAACACATCCACTCCTTTCCTACAAATGCTGGTTTAGCTGGTGGGTTGACTTTGGTAATGCAAGCGGAGAAGAGAAGCTCTGTGGCAATGTAAAATATAGTTGGGCAAAAAGGTTTCATATTTTTTTTCTATCAACAAATAATGATCTTTAACATGCTGGATCTCATCACAAATAGGGTTGCTGCTTAGAATCCAGTCTTAAATCGTGAATAAATAGCTACTACCCACTTTAAAAATCAAGTATCTGAGAGAGAGGTCTATCCTATCAGGATAAATGTGGGAATTCAATACATAAGAAAAACCTAAAATAAACTCCAAACTCTTATTTGGGGATATTATAATAACTTGTGAATAATTTGTGAACTATTTTAAATGTAGGCTATTTTCTTGAGATAATATGATAGCACAGTTCAATTTAAATATGTGGTAAACTAATCTTACAAAAACTCAGTACGCTGACTCTAAGACTGAATATAGAAATTCTCATAATTTGCAAGAATAGAAGAGTTTTACAATTCTCCAGACTCTCCCTAAGACACAGTTTTTGTACTGGTTTATTCCCAGGTTTTAAAACATTTATAATGCTTAATGACAATCCTGCTGCAAGTGCCTGCTGGATGACAGTTTTCAGGCCAAAGTAGAGAATCCTAACCACATACTGCACATGTCATTTGAGGTCTTAGGTCAGGCTCCAGCTCACGGCTCTGACACCCAGGGTAGGGGTGAGTGTGAGGGGCTTCCTAGTCCAGCACCGCTCTGTGGCTTCTCCCATGGTTCCCGGAAGCCACGGTCAAGATTTCTATACAACAATCTGGACTTCGGGGCAGAAGTCCAGTTCAACCTTGCTCTTTTTGAAAGTGCTTAGAGAGAACTTTTCTCCTCCTCTACTTCGTCTCATTTTAGAAGTTTGACAAGATGAGACACTTCTTTGCTCCAAAACCAAAAAGCACAATGGGTGGCACCCTTTCCTCCTGCCTAGTTTTTTCTTCAGAGTCAACCTGCTCCCCTCAGGTCTCACATATCCTTCCGGAATTCCATTATGCAAATTAATTATTTTTCCTCTCCTTTTAAACTGGTAAATTATTATACAAGTTACTACATAAAAAGCCCCCACGGACAATATATTTTCCACAGCTGTATATTTTTCCTTTTCTGCTGACAAAGCTCCTCCAGGGCAGCTCCCTGTCCGGCGTCTTCACATGCAGAGTGACCGGGAACAGAGCCATGCTGGCCACAGGCTCCGCACAAGCCCTTGACGGGGAACAGCCCTGCTGGTCAGCACTCCCTGGCTCACCCGGGGCTCCCCTTAAACACCTGCAGTCATTCCTGCAGGACTGGTGGGAGCCCATCCGCTGCACGTTCACACTGTCCATTGGACCTCCGGGGTCCCATGGCAGTGGCCAGGGCAGCCTGGTGCCAAACTTTCCCCAGGGCAGGCTGTGCGGGAAGCAGGTGAAGACCTGAATGGGTAAAAGCGCATGGTTGCGGGAAGCATCATCCCACACACATTCCTTAACCCCACGCTTTACTCCTACCACTCCCAATGGCAGGCCCAGGATTCATTGCATCCTGGGACTCAGGGGGCACCAAAAAGGCCTAAGCACCAGCAAAACAATCGCCACCACTGAGCTTTTGGCGTGGACCCTGGGTTCCCTTTCTCGAGGGGAAGGATGCTCACCATTGGGCAGAGCTTGTGCCAGTGTTGCAGAGGGAACTGAACTCTAATGAATGGGTGTTGAACAAAAGGCAATGCCCAGCAAAGGACACTGATTCCATGTAGGAGCCTCCTTCCAGGCGGATCTACTGCAGAGCCTGAGGCTTGGAGTTCCAGACTCCTGCCCAGCAGCAGCCCTTGCAAAGCCTCAGCCTAACTTGCACTGCTAACCTTGTGTTTGCTTTTGCAAAGAGGGACCTTCAGGTCACATAAGCTTCATGCCTGCCAACCTGGAGCCAACCTTGTATACTGCTGCAGCCAGCTGTCTGTTATCTGCGAGCCAGTTATCAAAATATTGGTTTAGCCAGGTACAAGTTGTTTCAGCCTTCAAGGCAAGATGTTCTATGTAACGCCCTGGCCTGTCCCTTGCAGAGGACTGATGGTTGAGGTTGGCAGATGGGCTGCCTCTCCGCCGTCTCCCTCCATGTGGGGACAGAGGAGTCACCCTTCCAAGTGCTGAGTGCTTGAGTGGGCTGGAAGGGGCCCTTTCCAGAAATGAGGGGCTCCCATGCCTTCAGGGGACAAGAAAAATAAATACTTTGAAGCCACCCGAGAAAGACCTCGGGGCCAGTGACAGGACTTCTTGGCTCTGTCCAAGAGGATAAATGAAAATGGACCATATTCCTGGTTTTGAATTTAACTAGAATTCTAAAGGTTGTCAGGTTGGTCCTTTCATGTTCCCCCCCCCTGGGGATTTTAAAAATCTTTTTGTGTTTGTTTTTAAATCACTCCTTTTATCCGGCCAGTGAAGTACAGCATAATTTCATCTCCGAGGCTGAGTTCAGCTTTCCTGAAATCAATCTGGCTTCATAAAAGCAGCCGTCAGAGGCAGCTGGGATTTTGTCCCAGTTGCTGTGTATGTGACAGAATAAAAGGATCTTCAAGAAATTAATACGGTGTTTATCTCCCCAAGATGGCTTTGCATCCTTTTGAAGATTATCTTTAATTTTTAAAAAGCAGAAAAAGAAAGACTTAAAACCGTGTCACACATGGGTATACTCAACAAAGGACTCTATTTATAATATATTTTAATGATGAAATAAGAAGAATTTTTACGACCAAATAATATTTGGGGTGCTTAAAATTTGTTTCCGTTTGTGGATTTCTGCGGGAAAGTTTAGATTTTCTTTTTGGGTGGGATGTAATCGCATTTTGAAATTTGTTTTGCAGGGCAGAGGGTCAAAGCCAGCACCTCGTGTGCGCCTGGCAGGTCCTCTTTCACTGAGCCCCACTCCCAGCCCCCTTCCGGTTTTCCAGAAGCAACGTTTGTCTTAAAGGCCATGGATTGGTTTGGGACTTTTTATATTTCACACTTAGAAATTGACTTTAAAATTCCTTTTTCTGTTGAAATACATTCTTACATTTTTCACCTTTGTTTACTTTAAATTATTCATCTTAATCATTTCTAGCCAGCTTTGGTTTCTATTCTTTAGTTTGCAAATTCAAGGACCCTGTAAGGAATTTACACACACAGGAAAACCTCTAAGTAGCTCTCAAGCTATGAAAGGCAGGCTGGCCTCATAGAAAACATCTTTTTAAACAGGCTCCTGACGCTGGATGGGGAGGTTCTGAATTTGGGGACCCAGCGGCATTGATGATTGCAATAAGACAGGCGATGGAAGGAGAACCCACTTGTTCCCCATGGAAAGCAGTGCTGTGGGGCCCCACATCTGAGGATGCCTGCCCTCCAGGTCCCCCTGCATCTGCCATGGGAAGGAACACTGAGGCCCACACAGGAGGATGGAGACGGGAGCCCTCAGGCTTTAGCTGTTTCTTAAGAGGCCATTTTGTTTCTGCTCATCAAACCTCACTGCACTGTCAAGTTCACTCCCAGAAGCAACACTTTTTGATTGTCCTTAGTGGTTATGGACACTGGTACACAAACAGGGTGACTAAAGCACAACACTTTCTGGAAAAGACTCAGAATTATGAAGTCCTCTCTCTATCTTTTGTAGGTAAGACCCGGTTTCTTCCCCTCTGTCGACATTCACCCCAGGATCCCTTCTCACTCTTGAGAACCTTTAAAAGCGGTAGCTGCCTTCCTCGACCCTGGTATCTTAGAGATAAACTGGGGTTTCGCGGGGAAACATACCACGTGAGGCGGGGCTCGGGCCAGCCTACCACGGAGCAGTGCAGTATCACATTCTCCTTCTCCCACACCGTGTGAGAGCGAGGTTTGATGATGAACTCCGGAGCGTGGAGAAGGTGGTCCTCATTTAACTTCCCGTGGTATGCCTGGGTTTCTTCTAACTGAAACAAGCACAGCAGTTACCAAGAGACAGCTCAGGTATGGTCACTCTGGTGCTAAAACAACATGCAGACGCAAAAATTTGGGTTTTCCCACCTGGTTCTTTCTCTATTTACATACCCCCCCACACTTCTAAAAACAGATGTAATTATTTAACATTTAATAGTTAACATTCCAAACCTGGGCAAAATTTCTAAAGAAGATTTCTCAAGGTTCTTCATTAGAACCTTTCTTTCTGTAAAATCTGGAATTCCATGAGATTTAATGTTTAACTTTGGCCTGCACATCTTGATGGCTCTTTCCTTTTCTTCAGTTTTGTCACTTATCTCTGTATTTGAAATCACACACACACACACACACACACACACACACACACACGACTTGTTCCATGCCTTTCCACTTGTGTGTGCATTAAGCTGTCCGTCCTTACTGTTTTCCTCAGTGACAAGAGGTCTGCCTTTTCTCGAATGGTGACCTCCCTCGACTTCTTTTCCAGGGTTTCCTCCTGTTCCAGCACGGACGTGGCCTGTTTGGACTGCATGGACCGCTTGGATGCTGTGAGCTGCTTGGATGCCCGGATTCCTTCCTCACTAGCAAGGAGATTTCTCTGGGCTATGTATGCAGCTGCTTCTTTGATTCGCTCCTCTTCTGTGTCTGTCATCCCACTGACGTGCACTTGCCTAAAACATAACAATAGCAACAACGGATGCTGCAGATTGGTCAGTGTTACTAAGTTCAGAGTGTCAGGCCTCAGACACTGTCCAGTGCCCAGAGCAAACCTGACGTCAAAAATAACTGGGAGTTATGTGTGCAAGCCCAGCACTATGGGGGCTGAAGCAGGAGGATCGTCGTGAGCTCAAGGTCGACCTGGGCTACATAGTGCGTTAGGATTAGGTTTACTAACCCTACCACTGCATGACAGATATATTCTGAACTCACATAACAGCTGGGCATGGTGGAGCACATCTGTAGTCCCAGCAATCAGGAGGCTGAGGCAGGAGAATTGCCATGAGTTCACGGCCAGCCTGAACTACAGAGCGAGATCTTCTCTCAAAGGAAAAAAGAGCCTTATGTTTACTGGTTTTCTTTCTAGGACAGTAAAGGCTGTGTGTGTTTTCAATCTTCATTTGTATTTGCACTTACCTTTAATGAGAAGGAATGGTCAACTTGCAGTGGAAGTGGTAATGTTTATAACAGTAACATTTTTATTCATTATCGATTATAACAGATGAGTGGTAACATCCAAAAGTGCTGTGTGTGCTGTGGTAGTTGTGACAGATTTTGTACAGGGACTTATTAGTGTTGTTAAAAACACTGATTGTGTCGAGCTTCCTTTAATGCCTTGGCTATAAATTCCATCGCATGTTTCAGTGAGTTCCTGATGTTGAAGACTCTCTTGAAACTGTCGTGCAGGCTGCTGCTGAATTGACTTGGGGTTTATTTATTTCCCTAGCGCTGGGGCTTGAACTCAGAGTCTTGGACCTGATAAGCTCTACCACTGGGCCACACCCTGACCCTTACAGGCTTTTTTTTCCCCTACAAAATGAGAGAAAAGAAAAAGACAAAACACCCTCCTACTCCTCCTCCACCCCTCTCCATCTGCTTACACATGAAGACTCACTTCTGCAAGGGGCTGATTCCCAGCATGCATATCTAACACCTTATGCGTGATTCTCTGGAAGTTCACATCAAGGACTCGGGGACCTCAGATGAAAGGCTAAACCCCCAGTGTTATCTATCCCTGGTCTTCTTATCTGGGTGCAGGGCAATAATAACTTAGGTCTCTGAAAGGAGTCCACAGGGCAGCTGGAAGAGGTCACCCACATCACAAGTCACTTCCTGATCCCAGGGAGTGAATAATGAACCAAGATATTTTTCTTCTACCGAAGCCTATCATCTGGCGTTCCATGCTTTTTTAGTTCATTCAACGTTTTCCCCATTTCTCCTTTTTTTTGGTGGAGGTGGGGGTGGTAGTACTGAGAACTGAACCCAGGACCTTCACACTGAGCTACATCCCCAACCCCACCCCATTCCCCTTTTTAAAAGATTTTATTTCCAGACAGGGTCTCCCTATAATGCTAAGGTGCCTGGGCTTGGCTTCAACTTGTGACTGTCTTGCCTCTGCTTCCCAGAGCACTGGAATTACAGACGCTTTATACTTTTGAACCTTTCCTTATCTATAGTTTCCAACTGTCAGCATCCAAGACTCCTGACCCATTCTGACCAGTCACGGGGCTGACATCAAGGTCTCATGGCTCTCTGGGGTCCTACAGGCTCCCTCTGTCACAATGAGTGCAGCTTGCCCTGCTCAGGGCTGCAGGCTTCCTAAGAGCTTCCTCATCCAGGGTACAGAGAGCGCCCCAAAAACCCCAGCTCTCGTTATTCCTGGACACCATGCAGTCCCGACCTCTAGCAAACAATCCAAGCAGAAAGGGAAAGCTCACGCACCGCCCGGAGTAAATGGGCACCAGGTAACCACCTGGCAGGTTCTCCTTCTCCTCTCCGGACAGAAGACTGTGCTTCGCTCGCTTGGTTTTGGGGCTCGAGATGGACGAGTAATCTTCTAACAGCAGACTGGAGTCTGTAAGTCTGAAACAGAGCCCCAGCATCAGACAACAACAAAAAGTGCATGTAAGACATTCAAAAGGATGGATCAAAGATGGTTTATACCAGGAAAGTTCTTCCAGGACCTTAGATCTTAAATTTCTTTCCTTTTATCTTGACAAGTAAAACCGAGTTAGAAAGATCTCAAATGCATAAACGCATTCTGAGACCCAAAACAAAACAGAAAACAGTAAGTTATCTCATGGCCTTTCATCCCTTCCTGTGTCAAGGTGAAAAGCAATGCTTGTATAGTTTTGAGTAGCCTTTATTATTAAATTAGTGTTTACTGTGTAAATCTGTCAGCAATGATTTTAATACATCTTGCATCCAAATCTTCTCAGAGGGTAGTGAGGAATGCCTGCTTTTCTGAAGAGGGACCCCAGGCGATTCTGACTACAGTTTCCCACTGCGAGATGGTAAAGGGTCTGTGCTCACTGCAAGCACATTCCTGCGTGAGCCAGAGGATGACTGACCCCTGGGTCGGACGGTGCGGAGTGCACCCCAGACCCCTTGGTCAGTCTTTCTGTCTACTTCTGCACAGTGCTGCCAGTATACACTGACAGGGAGCTGGCGGTCTAAGCCAGAAGCTTTGCAAGGGAAAGAATATATAAGAGAAAGATCACAGAGCAAAAGTGCTGCTGAAACCTACATAGCTCTTGAATGAGAAATGCATTGTCATAGGAAACTAACACTTGGCTCATGGACCCCTGGAGTCCATCCATAGACTCAGGGTAAAAAGTACAGTAATGATGATGTTAACAATAGATGTCTCCATGGAAACTCTGTCCTATCTGTAACTTTCCTGTAAATTTGAAAGTATTATAAAAGAAACACTTAGCTGGGTGTGGTGGCACACTCCTGTAACCCCAGCACTTTGGAGGCTGAGGCAGGAGGATCATTGTGAGTTCAGGATCAGCCTGGTCTACAAAGTGAGCTCAAGGCCAGTCTGAACTGCACAGTGAGACCCTGTCTCAAAAAGACAAACAGAAAAGAAACACTCCTATGCAGAAAAACCCTTAGTCTGGAGAATCCTTGAGGAAGAGGCAAGGCAGGTGAGTGTGGTACAGGAAGGGGAAACCAAACTGTCCAACTCCAAGCAAACCATTCAGACCTTGACTATGCCCTGATCTCTGAAAATAATTTGGAAAAGCAAAAGGGATCTCCTAAGCCAAAAGAGGACAGGCCGCACATGCGCACAGTGCTAAGACAAATGGATCATAACACAAGAAAATAGCAGGTCAGCCCGAGCTGTAGGGGCTCCAGGCAATTGCAGAGCGCCCGGTGCGGGATCCTGCCTTGGATCCTTCAGAATAACCTGGTGGAGATGGAAACTCCCTCCTCACTGCCCAGCCCAGCCCCAGGGGAACCGCTAGCCCTTTTTCTATGATCAGCATTAAGGTCTAAAGGTTAGACTTGAAGCGAGGCTCATGGATTGGTTACCAACTGAAAGCCAAAGTGAAATCTGTCCCTGGCTAGGGACTGTATTCTCTGCCCGGCAGTCGCAGGGTACAGGCTGTGCTCATTCACGCAGGGCTGAGTTTAAAGTGGTATTTTCCTCTGCCGCTTCACGACGATGTTCAGGGTTTCTCTGCTCTCCCTGCTTCTGGAACACTTGGATTTTCTAATTTCTCTTTTTCACTTTTGACTGTATTCTCTTTGCTTCCCTTCTAGTATCTATGGTTACATTCTCATAAGCTCATTTTCAAAAGTTTGTTTTCATCAAAATAGCTATTTTTTATTCTTTTTGCTGTATTGCTCCTTTTTCTATCATTCACTCTTCAAACAAATCTTTGTTATGTTCTGTTTATTGTCCAGAACATGCCTAGAACGTCATTATTTCGTTTTCATGCATAAATCACAGGGTTGAATTTTATGCTAAAGATTCATGGAACTTAAAAAAAAGAGATCCATGGAATTAGCTTCCATTTCATACTTCAGCAGGAGAAAAGACTTCATAAAATGTAGTATGATGTTACGTATTAAACAGTATGACCTAGAAGACACTAGATTTCCACCCTTGTTATATTCTGTAAAGTTTCTTCACACTTTTATTTCTAATTTTAAAAACATGTAAAAGATTAGATGTTAAAATACCATGAAGGACCACGTGCAGGCCACTGCTGGAGTGGGCCACGCCCAGGCCTCTCTCTGTGAGTCAGTGCCGTTCACAGACTGCAGAGGGAGAGAACCAGGGCTCATCAGGAAGCGATCTCCCCCAGGATCATATCATTTTCATGTTTTGTTGGGTTGGGTTTTATTTTCTTTTGTTTTGTTTGATTATATTAAATCTGATGGCATGAGCAGCTATTTAAAAGACAGCAAGATGTATTATGGTAGTCATTTTGGATTTACTATTAGCTTATTTTGAAGTTCTTTATTGCATTCATTGTTTTGGTTTTATTGTTTCTATTCCATTCTGTTCTGTTCAATTTTTAATATGTCTGAAGGTATTTGCAGCTATTTTGAAGACAACAAAAAGCATTATGGTAACCATTGTTGATTTTGTAAGGTTTTGAAGTCCTATATTTCTTATATTGGTTTATTTTGATTGGTTTTATTCTGTTTTATTTTCCTTGGTTTTACCCTCTTTAAAATAAAAAAATTAAAAAAGATTAAAATACCATGAAGTAGACAATTTAGGAATGCTAAGTTATTTATCAAAGTTAGCCAACAAAATTAAATTACAGAAACACAACATTTTAAAGAACTGTATAAATAATATCAATGTAATTACTTGGCAAAAACCTGTCAATAGTCTATCTTGTCATGATTCATTAATGCTAACGTCTGACATTTTATACTACCAAATTTTCAAGCTGAATAATGTTTTTAGAGGAATTAAATAAAGTATGTATATTTTAAATTTCTTTGCACCTAAAAAGCTAAAGAAAGGCTTATTAACCATTTGGACTTTTAGTTGCATTTAACTTTGAAAATAATCTTTAGCTCAGTTTCTGAGTAGATACTCAACTTGATAAGAATGGGTCCATAAAACAAGCCTTTTACTTATTAGAGCTACTATTCATGATGTATTCAGCCTAGATATTGAAATTTCCTGAATTCCAATTGAAGTAAGCAATGAAATTAAGCAGTAGGTAAGGACCAATTTTTGTGTGTACTCATGCTTCTACCTGTGTCTGTCACTGTGTCTAGGTACATCTTTTTGTACTCTGCTACCAACTGTGATGTATTCTCTGTTGATGTTTACAGTTAGCAGATTTTAAATGCATCTTCTGGTGAATACGATATTATCAAGCCTAGGATCAGCAATACCACACAGAAGGAATATAGTCAAGACCCAGAGAACAGTCTCTGGAAATATTCCAGGAACTCAGAAACAAGCTCACACTTGCAGCTAACTCAGATTCTCAAAGGAAAAAAGTATAATCTTTTGAATGAACTGCATAGTGGTCCTTGACAGGAAAGCAACAACAAAAAAACCAATAGAATCCCAGAGCTAGCAAAGATTTCAAGGACATTGATTACGCTTGGGCTGTCATTTTATAGATTTAGATGCCAAAGCCTAGTCTTTGTAAGTTGGCTTCACACAGCAACATGGGTGCTTCCCCATCTCTTCTTGATTTTCAGGTTGGTGTTCTTTCCACTATGCTCTCCAATTTTTGTGGCTGATAAATTTTACTCAAAACATATTGAGGTTGGAAAAAATAAGCAGACATGCGTGATGGCACATGCCTGTAGTCTCAGCCCTTGGGAGGCTGAGGCAGAAGGATCACTTTGAATTTGAGGCCAGCCTGGGCAACATAGTGAGTTCAAGGATAGCCTAAACTACAAAGTGAGACCTAGTCTCAAAAAACAAAACAAAAAAACAAAACATACTGAGGGTGTGCCACTTACGTATTTTATTTATAAATTCTATGTATATACCACTGTATAAATAGTCTCATTTCATGAAACATTACATTGTTTGGGGGGAAAAGATCAAGTTCAGTTAAGGAAAAATGAAGCGCTAGTTATTCCTCTTTTTGAAGATCATAATCCCATGTCACTTTGCCCATAATGACGCTGATGTTGATTTGCCCTTCCTGGATTAGAAATTGAGGTTTTGAGATGATCACAATGCAAGATTTAAAAACTCATCAAATATCACAGAAATGAAAATCTAGTTTCACAAAGTAAGGCTTAGCATCACAGAAGCTTGGGAAATGGTCCCGGGTCCCCTGATGAGTGAATGAATTCATCCCAGCTAGGTATGGAGCTGCTTGCTGATGACGTCAGACGCTGGCTGCCTAGCAACGCGCCCCACGGGAAAGCGGAGCGGCGCCCCGGGGCGACTTAGCTCCACACACAGCGCCCCTTCCCGGCAGCCCTCCATCCCGCTGCACTGCACTGCGGGCTTCTCCCTCCACCTGCCCTGCTGCGGGTCCTCAGGACCATGTCCAGCACGCACACTGGTACAGGACACTCCCGGGATGAGGCGCAATTGAGAGTCATCCCCCTGCAGCCATCCCCAGCTCGGGAATTCTCAGCCCTGGTCTCACCTTGGAACCAGCCGGGGAGCTCTTAGGAATCCCCACGCAGAAGCCTGTTCCCGAGACCACGGGTGGGTAGCTCAGCAAGCAGCCCCTCCCTCCAGAGAGCAGAGAGAAAGAGGCGTTTTGTCTAAAACTCAGCCACGTGCCTGGAAATCAATCGAAGGCAGAGTACACTCAGAAACGGTTATTCACAAAAAGCGAGCGGGCTTCCTGTGTGAGCTGTGTGAGCCACGTCTATGCTGTCCGCATCCTCTGGGAGGTGGCAGAAAGCGGAGGAGCGTGCACTGCGGGGGCACCGTCTGGGTTTGGAACAAAAGATGCTAGACCGCATAACTCACATCCCTGTCTGATTGCACCGTTGGGTTCATGGGGGCACAGTTGTAAAGCGGAACAACAATGTAAAGGACGTGGAGCTGTACGACGACAGCAAAGCTTCCATATCTCACTAGTATCCAGTTAGTATAAATACGGAGTAGTGTGCACTGTAATGCT